AATGGCAGAAGATATAATGGTTTATACTATTACGACTAAAAACCCTGAGTCATATAATTCTATAACAACAAACTTACAAAGTCCTCAAGGACGATATTGTAAACTAACTTTAAACACAATGACGACTAAAGCCTGTTTTGCTCTTTTGACACCAGAAGACTTTATTGTTGTGAATGGTAAAAATACTCCTTTGAAGATACTTACTCAGATATACCCACAGGTTTTGTTGACTTATTTAATACTTTAAGGACGGGTGTAACATGTGCTGCAACTAGAGCAGGTTTCATTATGTTTGGATGTCCGACTGAGTTTACTATAAACAATATGAGCTATAATACAAAACTTATATCTGGTTTTACTACCAACAGTTTCCTATAACAGGAAAAGGTGTCATACAAGGAATGTCTATTCCATTGACATTAAGCACACCAATCTTATATATTGTTTCAAACTTAGGTTCAAAGTGTTATTCGAATGTCGACAGAAACTATTATGACCAAAAGATACTTATGCGTATAAACAATACTTTCTCTGCTGGTTTGCCTATTGTTCATTCGAATGCAGAATTTTCAACCTTAGTGAACTCAAACACTTTGGCAAGTATAACGTTGACATTAGTTGACGCAAACTTTGTTCCTGTAAAACTTTTATGTCCTATGTATTTGTCAATGACGGCAGAAAGTTTCGAATTGGAAGATGCAACTGGTGAAAGTATTGTATTACAAGAACAACTTCAACAACAAATAGCTCAAGAACAACAAATGCAACAAATGCAACAACAAAGTCAAGAATAAAAAAAATATTTTTTTTATTTTTATAAAAATGTACAGAATAGATGTTTCAGATTTTTATGACTTCCAAGCATTCAGAAATATGTATCCATTTCGAGACTATAACAAAGCAGTCGAGAATTTGAAACGTTTAGTCATTTATGTTGACTCTGCCCCAGAATGTTATGTTATGAAAGAATGGGATGTAGTCTTTAACAAACCTAAAGCAACAATAGTTTCAGAACAAGAATGTAGACAGAAACTTAAGAAAATAAAAGTCGTACAAGTTGGCATGAAGATGTTAGATGCTTGGGATATCTTATTGTCAAAGTTAGAAGATTTTTCAGTTCGTGGTATAAAGTTTTATACACCTTCTCCAAACTTCTATTCTATCTTCACTGGATATAAATACGAACAAGTAGAATGGAAAGAAAATATTATAGAAGCTTGGTTAGACCATGTCAAAGAAATTATATGCAATGGAAACGAAAGAGTCTATGAGTATATCTTATGTTGGTTTGCAAACATCTTACAACATCAAGTGCTAAAAATGAAACTGCTCTCATTATAATTGGAAAACAAGGAACTGGCAAGAACACATTCTTTACAGATATTTTGTGCAAACTGTTAGAAGGTTATTCGAATCCGAATATGACAAACTTAGAAAACATCTGTGGTAAATTTAACTCCTCAATAGAGAATATGAAACTTATAGTATGTAACGAACTTCAAAGTATAGATACAACAAAAGTTTGAACTCAGATGCTTTGAAGAGTCTTATAACAGACAAAGTTGGAGTTGTTGAAAGAAAGTATAAAGACCAAAGAGTTTGTGAAAATGTTGCAAACTTCATTATGGTTTCAAACAATTCTGTTCCGATGAAGTTAGAAAAGTTCTGACAGAAGATATGTAGTTGTCAGAACGTCAGATTCTCATATGCAAGATACAGAATATTTTGACGACTTAGCAGAAACTTTGACATCTGACTTTTACAACCACTTGTTCTCATATTTCATGACATTAGATATTTCAAAGTTCAATCCAAGACAAATTCCACATACCGAAGAGAGACAAACATTGTTAGAAGCAAACAAGAGTGTATATGAACTGTTCATAGATGAAACTGACTTTGTGTCATAGATGAAAGGTCATTGTACGATTCGTATAAACAATATTGTCAAGAATATGTTATATGACAGCGTCTAAACGAACATTCTTGGCAAATGTCAAAAGTCTTTTAGACGTACAGAATGGTGTATATACAAAGAAAAATTTTTATGAGTAAATTTTAAAAAAAATATTTTTTATCCGATAGAAAAAGATGGCAAAATTCATCTCAGTAAACAAGTACATGTCAGGACTTAAAGAAGAACTAGACCCATTCACATATTTGAATGTTTACTTCTACCATTTTGAAAAGTCTTCATTCAGCAAAGTTTGGGAACATCGAACCAGTTAAGTTTGCTATTGTGACTAAAAATGGTGCGAAATTTGAAGACTTAGACATAGAAGGTTTGTTAGCAGTCAAAGAAAGTTTTGACAGAAGGTTTTCAAACCTTAAAGAAGGCAAAGCATACAAAACTTGTTATACCTTATGAACCAAAGAAAGCAGACGACTATGAATATTATGAGTCTAAGATAGTTGAAGTTCAAGGTAAATTGGGTAAAAAGATTTTAGAGTCTAAGCCAGTGTTTGCTCCTAAAGAGGAAGAGAACATTGACATTGACCAGAAATGTTCTAAAAATAAAATTTTATTTTTACATGTCAAATTTCTTTTTCTCTGGAACTGGTTCAGGTTCTTTCTTCTCTTCTTCTTTTTTTCTCTTTCTTTTCTTTCTTCTTCTTTCTGGTGGAGTTATGTCAAATTTGGCGCAACTATATTTATGTAAAAGTTCTTTGTCCTTTAATAGCTCATCTATTCTGTTTTCTATTTCATCTTCAAGAACAGCGCATGTGTCTTCTTTGCATTCTAAGAAATTTTGTTGGACTTCATCTTTCCAAGAGGCGTCATCTCTGTCAACAAGTCTGTCATTGACAAATTTTAAGACTTCTCTGCCTAATGTTTTATGGTTCTTGTCATATTCCCAGAAACAGAACTTTAGAACAAATTCCCCTTTCTTGTTTACACTATGTAAGATTTTATGGTCGACAGATGTTTTGCTGTCGAAAAGCTTGTCTCGAATATAGATAGCGAAATCGCTAGACATTTTCTAAAAGATAAAAATTTTTAATTTTTCTAAAAATATGTTTAGAAAAAAAGTTTGCTGACATTGACAAGAAATTTGAGAATGTTTTAAACAAGAACAAGAGGAAGTTAGAAAATGCTCAGATAAAACCCATACATGACAAGTTCTTATTTGCTCAGAATGGTATAACAGGTCTAATTGCACCACCTGGGTCGGGTAAGACTTTCACTTATCTTAAAATGGCTGCACAACAACAAGAACTAGATGAGAAGAACCCATTTTATGAGTAGTGTCATTTGTTAGTACTTCTGGTCAATTTGACCAAACCGTCAATTCGTTCAAAGATATTATAAAGAAGTCTAAGTTAGTATGTATAAAGGATACTGAGTTGTTAGATTGGATAAAGAAGTACCAAAGAAGAGTTTTGAAGTATAATGCTATAAATGAGTATATAAATTCTAAGTTTAAAGACCCTAATGAGGAAATGCAGAGAATATTAGAGAAGAAACACTTCAGAAACAAACAGAAAGAGATAGAATACATTTCGAAGAAATTGCAATCTTACATGGAAGACTTACCCTCATAGATGTCTTCTTATCTTAGATGACTTTGCTTCTCATCCTTTGTTAAAGAACAGAGAACAAGACATGTGTCGAATTCTTAAGAAGCTCAGACACTTTAACATCTCAGTTGTCATTTGTGTACAGACAGCAAAGAGTTTAAGTAAGGATGTTAAAAGAATACTTACTGACATTGTACTTTTCCCCGGATTGTCCGAAGACGATTTCATGGAACTTATGAAAGAGTCCATGGCAGGTAAGTTTGACAGACATGAACTATGGGAGAAGTACAAAGTCATACAAGACCCTCATACTTCTTTCAGAATTCATATCTACGCGAACAAAGTTCAAATTGTAAAAAGTCAAGCTTGAAAAATCTAAGTGTTCATCTACCCTACTTGTTTGAAGTTGTCAAAATACTCTGTTATTTTTCACGATTTTCATGAGTTTTAGGCGACCCAGAAAAAAGTCGGTCTCGCTGTTCTTCACTGTTTTCATAGAGTTTTGGCGACTACGTTTTTTTACGTACTCGCTGTTCTTCACTGTTTTCGTACGGAATCTCTTCTCTCGGTTTTCCGAGGGAAGCAAGCATATGCCATTTTTTGACGAAGTGAAGGTTGACACTTCGTCAAAAAAATCCCTGAAATCATATCTTTTATACAAAAAAATACAAAAAAATGACACTTTTTCATTAGATAACTGTTATTTTTTGACGAAGTGAACATTGACACTTCGTCAAAAAAATCCCTGAAATCATATCTTACATACAAAAAAATACAAAAAAAATGACACTAACTTTATTTTCTGACTTTCACAAAAGACCAAAAATAAACGCTTTACATGTATTTTTCAGCAACTTCGTCAAATAATTTTATAGCTTTATCTATCTCATCTACTTCAAACGTTTCTTTACCTTTTATGGGAGCACCATACATTTTCTCAAACTTTTCAAGTAGTTCTGTTTCTGCAGCTCTCATATCATTAACCAACACAACCTTGACTCTATTGACTGTACTGTCATATCTTAGAGTTATATTATATGTTCTTCCTATCTTATATCTTTTTGTATTGAAGTCCTTCGGTTTCTGAACGATGTAAAGTAAGCCTTCACTGCAACGTTCCGTATCGAATGAACCATATGTTATGAAGTTATATCCAACAACTGGGTCTAACCATAACAAAACTATTGGTATAAGACTTTTGTCGATGAGATATGCTGTAGTTCCATAGAATCTTACCGATATCATAAGCTCAGGATTTCTTGTCAAAATTTTCTGAGTAGAAGCATTTATAACCCAGTGGTTTGTTTTCTTTCCAAATGGAGATAAAATGTCTGACAAAGAATATTTGTTGTATTTCTTTGAGTATCTTACGTTTAAATCACCTATTCTAACCACTTTGGTGTCATTGTCTATCTTTCCAACTGTTTCAAACTGAATGTTTGACATATCTTTCTTTAAATCTGCATAGTCGTTTCTCATTCTTTCTATCTCTTTGACGGAGTAGTTATATTTCCTCATTGCTGCTTTACATTTAGAACATTGCGGGTTCATTTTTGCGTTATATTCTGAAACCTTACCTGCTAAAACAACTAAAGCGTCAATGGTTTTCTTTAACTCAAAAGTTGCTGGTTTTATCTGTTTATTCCATACTTTGCCTCTTCTATCTTTATCTCTTATCTGCCATACACATTCAGCAACTAACGAAACAAAGTTGTCGTAGGTCTTAAATTCTTCAGATTTATATATGTCAGAACCATTCTTATATACCATGTCGCAATCTTTGTCCATAACCTTATGGTTGCAATGAAATCCTAGAAACTCATAGTTTACCTTTCGTATGAACTTCTTTATTTCTACCGAGTCAGTTGCTTTGACTTCTATTTCATCGAATTCAGGAATAGTTAGTTTTTGTTGCTGAATTTCAGGCAATTTGGGTAAATGGTCGATGAGGTCCTCCATTTCATAAAGATACTGTTCATTTGTTTCATCTTTCGCACTACAGTCTAAATTACATGTTAAAAGTTCTTGCTTTATCTTCTGGATTTCTGTTTCAAAAGTATATGAAGAAGGAATGAAGCTTTTCATCTCTACTAACATTGACGTAGGATTCATGACTAAAGAGTTTGGTGCTGTAGTTGTTTGTATTGCTGTTGTGCCGATTGTTGACATTTTTATTTTTTTATACAAAATAAAAAAAATAAAAAAAATAAAACTAACTTTATTTTTTATTTCGGGAAAATTCATGATTTTCGAGAGTTTTAGACCATGTTAGAAAACGTGTTAGATCTAACCATCTACCCTAAAATATATTTTTGGGTCCTTTACGCTCATTACGATGAAGAAGTCTTGACAAAACATGTACGAAGAAGTCATGACAAAACATTTACGAAGAAGTCTTGACAAAACATTTACGATGAAATCATGACAAAACATTTACGTTCATGTTTGACAAAGCATGTACGTTCATGTTTGACAAAACATTTACGTTCATTACGATGAAGAAGTCTTGACAAAACATGTACGATGAAGTCATGACAAAACATATACGCTCATTACGATGAAGAAGTCTTGACAAAACATATACGAAGAAGTCATGACAAAACATTTACCCGACATTCTCGTCAAATACAAAAATAAAACTAACTTTTTCATTAGATAACTGTTATTTTTTGACGAAGTGAACATTGACACTTCGTCAAAAAAATCCCTGAAATCATGTCTTTACATACAAAATAAAAAAATAAAACTAACTTTTTCATTAGATAACTGTTATTTTTTGACGAAGTGAACATTGACACTTCGTCAAAAAAATCCCTGAAATCATATCTTTACATACAAAATAAAAAAATAAAACTAACTTTTTCATTAGATAACTGTTATTTTTTGACGAAGTGAACATTGACACTTCGTCAAAAAAATCCCTGAAATCATATCTTTACATACAAAAAAATACAAAATAAAACTAACTTTTTCATTAGATAACTGTTATTTTTTGACGAAGTGAACATTGACACTTCGTCAAAAAAATCCCTGAAATCATATCTTTACATACAAAATAAAAAAATAAAACTAACTTTTTCATTAGATAACTGTTATTTTTTGACGAAGTGAACATTGACACTTCGTCAAAAAAATCCCTGAAATCATATCTTTACATACAAAATAAAAAAATAAAACTAACTTTTTCATTAGATAACTGTTATTTTTTGACGAAGTGAACATTGACACTTCGTCAAAAAAATCCCTGAAATCATATCTTACATACAAAAAAATACAAAATAAAACTAACTTTTTCATTTTTTTTTTTTACGAAGTGAACATTCACTCAAAAAAATCCCTGAAATCATATCTTACATACAAAAAAATACAAAATAAAACTAACTTTATTTTTTCTATCTTAAGGAAATTCATGTCATTTTGAAGCGTTTTAGACCATGTTAGAAAACGTGTTAGAAAACATGTTAGATCTAACATTCTAACATAAACTTTATTTTTGGGTCCTTTACACTCATTACGAAGAAGTCTTGACAAAACATTTACGATGAAGTCTTGACAAAACATTTACGATGAAGTCTTGACAAAACATTTACGAAGAAGTCATGAAAATTCAAGAGGGTGAAAAAGAGGTGAAAAAACAGGTGAGATCTAACCATCTACCCTAAATTATATTTTTGGTCCGGGAACAACTTTCTCTCAATTGGAGCTGTAGCATACTCTTTGCGTAAACGGTTCAGACCTTCTTCGAACTCTTGGTCTCTCTTCGATTGGGATTGAGATTGGAATTGCTGAGGTGGAGCTTGCTGGAACATCCAAGGGTTGGGGAAGTAAGGCATAGGCAGAGGAGGGTAGTTCGGGAAGCCTTGTGGTGGGTAGTAACCTTGAGGTGGAAATTGGTAGTAATTTGGTGGAGGTACTTGCTGGAACTGAGGTTGCTGAGGAGACTGTTGTGGTTCTTTAGGTTCATCTGGTTTGGGAATGGACTGGGTTGGTGGGACGTGGGACATTCGTTTGTGTCCTGTCAGAAGGAAGAACTTTTCCTGTTGGAAGGAAAAACTTTTCCTGTTGGAAGGAAAAACTTTTTCTGTTGGAAGGAAAAACTTTTTCTGAAGTTCGACCAAAAAGTTCTCAATTTTCGAAAATTTGAATGGTTTACGGACGGACAACTGGAAAAATTTTTTCTGTCTTAAGGAAAAATTTTTTCTGTCGGAAGGAAAAATTTTTTCTGTCGGAAGGAAAAACTTTTCCTGTTGGAAGGAAGGACTCGGAATGCCAGAAGGATTTGACGAGGCAGTTTACCTAATTGAAATTAACGACTGCGTAAAAGACTACTTGCGCAAGGTCATGAAGCCCAAGGTCAAGTTCACCACTATTTCTGGAAGGGCTGTCTTGAATCTCGAGACTTCGACTGAAATTCCAATTCAAATACCAGACGGGACAGCCTACGACGACATAAAGCAAGCAAAGAAGGAAGCCATTATAAAGTTCTTTGCCAAGCGTCCTTGGATACTACTTCCAAACAGAGAGAGTCCAATTCCACGAATTATACAAATTCTCAGAGCACTGTTCCACTTCTCGGGTCAGCCGTTCTACATAACCTGTGAAGGCGACATCCAACCAGTTCAGTAAACCTTAACGTTTAACTTCACTTTTTTATGTTTTTTGTGAAAGTGTCAAAAATAAATTGTTTTCATGAGTTTTCTACGATGTTAGAAAAATGTTATTTTCTAATATCTTCACATTCAATACTTTTTCAGCACTTTTCCGTAGTTATATATGAAAGACAATTCGAGATAAAAGTCATAGTACAATGGAATAATATGTTGCACACCATTTGTTGTGAACCAAACTTGAAAGTCAGAGAAACTGTTACTAGGTAGTTCGTAGAATTTAGAAGCAAAGTCATAAAAGTCCTTACCAATACATAGAAAACTATTGTTGCTTGAACTGAAACTTGCATGACACATAACATTTTGAGGGTCAAACACGTTTCTATAAACTGTCAAATCTGCTGGTGGAAGTATAAATTGAAATGGACCATCTGGTGGTAATGGTTCGTTCTGGTTTAGTAACCGAAGAAATTGTGCCCAAGAACGTTTGTCTACTTTCCAAAATAAAAACTCTGTATCTCTTGGAGGGTTAATTTCAATCTTTTGAAATGAAACGGTGGAGTTCATCTTGTCATATTCTAGTTTCAGATAGTATGTTCCATTTAGTAAAGAGTCGTATTTTTTCTTGAAATTCCCAATAATATTTGTTCATTTGAGTTTGAAAGTCATTTAGAGTTTTCTCAAGACTTTCGTCTGAACGAACTGTAAAGATTCTCATTTCGTCAAATTTGTCTATTAGACCATCAGAACCTTTATACTGCCCATGAAAATATACTGCGAACATAAATGCGTTAGTTCTATTTGAAAACAAAACTCTTCTAAATCCTATTGCCTTTGCATCTGAAGGACTTTGAAGCCAACGAATTGGATAGTCAAACCTGTATACTCGGGATGAAATTTCTTCATCTGAAATAGTCCTACCAGCATTTGTAAAGATATAGTCTAACGGTTTTGTATCTGCTACTTTTGTTCTTTGTTTTTCAACCTGAAGCATTTAATATATGTAAAAATATATTGTTTTAAAATGGTATGCCATTTCATATTTCTCATCTAACAAACAAGTTTCCCAACGGTCTTCTCCAACAAACTCAGCGTACATTTCAAATAAAATTTAAAAAAATGTCACTTTTTTAAAATAAATTTTTTACTTCATGCAATGTTTAACACATCGAAAGGCATGTCCATAAGACGTTCTTCTTCTAACCTCTCTAGTCTGTTTGGATAATTTGCACGTGCTGTTTCCAAATCCATTTCGTAGCGAAGACCAGACAATTTGTCATAGACTTTTATGGGTCTTCCCTTCCTATATTTAAAATTCTTCGAAACTCTCCAACCATATCTTTGCAACTCTGCTTTTATTCTAGCAGATTTTCTATCCATTCTATATGGGGGCATTTTATAAAAAGAAAAAAAAATATTTTTTTCTTTACTTAACATAACCGCTGCTGCCATAAGTCTTTGACGCCAACCCATACCAGCTAATGAAGGTTGACTTGGTTTAGTTTCCAAACTAAACTTTGGTTTTGGTTTATCTTCAGTTTTTGGTTTTTCTTCTTCTATCGGTTTTTGTCACTTTTCGGTTCCTCTGACTTTACTTCACTTGCAGGAACAGTTGTGTCGTCAACATCTTCATAAATATCATATGCCATTTGTTTTTGTTTTCCTTTCAACTTTTTGTGTTTGTTGTAAAGTTTAGAATATTTCGACTCTAAGTCAATGAGATGTTCTATAATGAACTGTTGGTCAGTGAAGTAAACTTTTCCATCTGTTGTCTCGAAAGCTCCTTCAGACTTCAATATTTTATTTGTGAGAGTCTGTTTCTTTTTTGAGATACTAGCCGTTCCATTTTTATGAAAAGTGACTTTTGTAGTTAGGGTTTGTATTTCCAGACCTGGCACTTTCTATTATTGAATTTTTCTCTTCATCTGTAAGTTCTTTGACAGGTTTTGACAATGGTTCTGAACTTTTTGTTTGTGGTGTCAAATCTACCGTTTCAACTTCTTCGGTCATTTCATCTCAGTAAAAAATTTTAGTTTGGTTTGTTTTCAACTGGTTGTTGTTGTTTTTTAAGTCGGTCTAAAACTTCCTGAGGTATAGGAAGAACTTGACAAACACGTTGTGTAACTGCTGGAAGCCGACAAATCCATCTTGAACCCATTTGTCTCAATGCTGTATTGTTCATTTCATCTCAGTAAAAAACTTTACATTCCCACGTTTGAGGCGGTTGAGGTTGGTTATTGTTTACCCATTGTTGTGCATGGTTATATCCTCTGTTAAAGAATCTTCACCTTGGTCCATATAGTGTCCTGCTTGGTTATAGTAGTCATTTGCTTTGTTATAATAGTTTCCTGCTTGTCTTCCTACATTGTCCATCCATCCTTGAACTTTTCCTCTTGTTTCAGGATTTGGAATAAGATTTGTTGCATCTCGTGCTACATCCCAACCTTTCTGTACAGTTTGTATAATAGGTTGTGCTTTCTCTTTCAGTATACCTAATGTACTCAAAATCTTCCTTCCAACTCCAAATACACCTCTGGCTATTGTTCCCACTGCGGGTAAAAATCTAGATGCAACTCCTGCTAATGCGCCAAATAAACCCATTTCTTATAGGATAAAAAATGACGAATCCAAACAAGGACCCCTATGTTTCTAAAGCGACAAAAGAAAGCACTCATGATAAAAATCTTTAGTTCAACACCAAATGCTTGGTTTATGGATATCTTGGAAAACATTCCGAGAGTTAGAACAGATGGACCACCATACTGGCTAATATTTGTCGGTCAAAACACAAGATACTGTGAAGCCATACCATTATGGTCCAAATATTTTAGATGTGAAAACTGCTTTGACAATATTCGTTGACAAATACCATCCAACAAAACTGACATCTGACTGTGAAAGTTCTTCAAATCAGATGATGTAAAAAACTATCTGCGTTCAAAAAATGTAAACCAATATTTCATTGTCGACCAAAACCATTCTGCTCTTGGTGTCATTGACGGTTGTATAAAAATGTTAAGAGACTTTAAACCAACCACAAGGTGGTGAAGCAAATGAAATGTCATATGACGACAAATATAGACACTTCTCCATGGCAAAGATGAGACAAGTTTTAATATTTACAATAGCCGTAAACAAAAAGGTTTGGGAAACCACTCCCCCGAAGAAATGAAAAACAACCCTGACTTAGAGAAAGACTATATATTTAATAATTTAGTCAAAAGAGACAAACAAGAAAGAATGCCGGGCTTCAAACTTCAGAAAGGTGACAAAGTAAAAATAGAAATACCTAAACGCGACCCATATGAAAATACTATTGACTATGACAACAATGGGAACCCGACAGGTACTCACATTCGTGTTCGTAAAAAATAGAAGAAAGTATACAAGAGAATATTATGAAGTTTTAGGCAAACATGGCAAAATGTACACACTGCAAGCAGAAGATAAAACTACTATTGTCAGACCTCGTTTCAAACTTGTCAAAGTTCAAGGTGGTATACTTTCAAAGACAGTTCCTAACAAATATAAGACAACTCCTGACGAATATGCTAAAGAAGTTGAAAATGACGACTAAGCATTTCTATACCATGCGTAAACTGTCATGTAAGGTGGCATGTATTCTTTACTTTGTCCCGTTGTTTGCGTATATCCTGAAACGCGATGTGTATGGTTTTCCATCTCCCTGAGTGTTACCCAGAAACAATTTATAGCAAACTGAACGTTGTCTTTAACATCATATCCTTTACCTTTTGTCATTGCTGACCAATCCCAAAATTTATGCTTATGCCAACCTGCTTGAGATGTACTTAAATCTATGTAGTGACTATGTGCAGGTAAATTTTCACCTGAAATCGTTTTACTTCCACCTGTTTCCTTTGAAGAGTTTGCACAATACAAAAACCTGTCGACTATTTGAGTCCAAGTTCCAAAACCAAGTACTACTTCTGGTCTGGTAGAGTTCATTGACGTATAAATAGAGCCTATAGGATATAATGTTTGAAGCATTTCTGTCTTTAATGTTTGAAGCTCTGTTTTGTCTGCTTTCTTGTCATATAAATCTTGAGCAGTGAATTTAATATTATATTCATCCTTCATGACATAAACATCTTTACATCTAATGTTTCTCATCGTCGTTATGTCGTCATCCGATGTTAAACCTTGTGGAAAGTTAGGAGGTTTACAATATAATGCATCCCCACCAGTTTCTTCAACCGTTCCTTCAATACTTTCTATAGCAACAGTTGTGAAGAAATCATGTGTATGGTTCTTATCTGCTTTCTTTTCAAGGCTAACGTTTAAGTCTGTTATTTCAGAAGATGTATGTGTATGTCCAACGGCACTTTTACTGTTTAAGGTTTCTTGTAAGTTTGTAATATTTGCAATGGTATGTGTATGGTTCTTGTCTGCTTTCTTTTCAAGGCTAACGTTTAAGTCTGTTATTTCAGATATAGAATGTGTATGTCCAACGGCACTTTTCCTGTTTAAGGTTTCTTGTAAGTTTGTAATATTTGCAATGGTATGTGTATGTCCAACGTCACTTTTACTGTTTAAGGTTTCTTGTAAGTTTGTAATATTTGCAATGGTATGTGTATGTCCAACGGCACTTTTACTGTTTAAGGTTTCTTGTAAGTCTGTTATTTCAGATATAGAATGTGTATGAGTCTTTTTAGAATATTCGTTTTCAGCTCTTGTCACTTCACTTGACATTTTATTGTCAACATATGTTTTGTCTGCTAGTTCAGGATGAGTATGTTCTTTTGTTGCATAAGCATTGTTAGCTCTTTCTTCTTCTTTTGCTATTGCATCGTCTACATATTCTTTGTCAGCTTTGTTGTCAACATCTGCTTTCAAAAGAAGTTCATTTATAGGTTTCTCGTTTAAAGTTCCTTTTGTTGGATTTATACAGACAGTATTGTTCTTCTTGTCTTGAAATAGAAACTCATCTGTCATTGGGTTTAATGTCAGTTTTAAGTTTCCTTCTTTCAATGACTCAGATATCTTAGAATAGTTTGAAAAGTTTGTTGTGTTCTTATTTAGAGCTTGCATAATGAGTTGTCGGTTGTGTTGTATTTCTCTCATGGAAGCAATATCTTTCGACATTTTTATTCTAGATAAAATATGCTTCCAATAGAAAAAGAAAATTCAAGAGTTGCTACAACTAAACCATTAGATGAACTTTTTACTAATGTCGGTCAAAAGTTTGAGACAGAGACCGTAAAGCATGAAGGCTATCGTTTTGACTACCCATTAAGATGGTTAAGAGACCCATCTGTCCCAAAAGCTATTGGCTTTCGTAGAATGAAGTTCATTTCAGAAGCCATACATGGTTTCCCATTTACGGTCGGTTTTGAAGTTCGATACTATAACAAAGAAAAACGTATGTATGAGAAATTTGAACAGGGAAAACTTTTACAAGTTAGTTTGCTTGTAAACTTAGAAACAACTCTTCAAGCTTTTCAAGAAAAAATAAACGATATCTATATCGAATATGCAAAACAGTATAACATTGACGAAGGAGAATACCATCTCGATATTATTTATGACAGGAAAAATGCAACTGTTAAAATCAATAGAATAGAAGACCTTGGAGAAAACGTTTATATTTCTACAAAATATAACAACTTGGCATGGTATAGATTTATGAGGATGTTAAATCAGCCTGCAGCATATCCAGTACACCCAGACTTTTATGAAGTCGAAAACCCTAATGGAACATATGAAAATGTTTTCGACCCAGCTGCTATTATTGTTCATGCTTCATTTTCTGGCGCCCAAAACTCTTTCTTATGCTTGGCAAATGACTTTTACGAAAAACCTACAAAGTTATACGAACCACCAAGTGGAAGTATTTCAGACTTTCAAGTATGGTTTACTACAGATGGAAGAAAAAGAATAATTCCATTATACCATGCGTTTTACTTAGAACTTAGTTTCATATACAACTACTATCGAACGGTAAAAATATAATTTTTTAATACGGTTGAGGTGTTGGATTTGGTTGCCAACTAGACTGTGGTGCAGGTTCAGGCTGTTGTATAACAGGAGCTTGTTCTTCTGGTTCAGGGTCTTTAGGTATAATACCAACGAACTGACCTACCCTTTTACCAATATTTTTGACACCGTTCCAAATTCCTCTTCCTACGGTTTTTATTCCATTCCATATACCTCTTCCAACATTTCGAAAGAAGTTTCCTATCTTACTGAAGAAACCCATTTTACTATATGTAAAAATCTAATGTCCGCCTAGTCTTTTGCGTTTCCTGTTGAGTTCCATAGCATTCTTTAACTGGAGCTCATACATTCTGTTTCTCCTCTGGTAGAAAACATATTCTGGGTCAACTCCTGTGTTCGCGTCATCTGCATAAAGTTGTTTATATCCCACTTCAGGGTTTGTATAAAACTCTTTCCATCTCATATTTGCATACCATGGTGGCAAACCTAACGCAGCGTCATTTGACATGGCAGTTTGCATTTGTACATCTGTTGGCACTTGACCATAGTTTGCCATTGCAGTTTGTATTCTAACTTCATTTGGAATATTCTCTGGGTTTGGTTGTCCAGGTTGCTGTGCATTCGCTAAGTTCTGTGCGTCCATTTAATATTAGATAAAAATATCTCTTACGAGTACATATACTGAACATTTGCAGGCATTGGTTCATCTTCATATTCTCTATATCTTTCTGCCACGTCAAATAAATAAATGACACAATGGAAAAAACCTAAAACAAGTAGTCCTATTTCAAACCACATTTACTTACTAATAAAATTTCTTTGTTATGACACTTTCTCCGGTTTATAGGACCTCTCTCATATTCTATCTTGTCATATCTAAACTCATAGTCATGTATGTCCTCTAACCATTTCATGACACTTTCCAAACCACTTTTATCGGATGTAAAGTAAAAGCATGGATGGTTATGTAAAACGTCTAAAGTTTCTAAAGAGTCTCTCAAAGTCCAGTCTACTTGGTATTGAAAATCCCATGTGTTATAGAACGGCGGGTCCACTATAAAGAAAACATTTTCCTTGTCTTTATATTTTTCATACAACTCTGTCCAATGACATCTCACAAACTCTATACCCTCAATATATTTTTCTATGTCCTCTTTGAAAACATTTGTATAGTTAAGATATAAAACTTTTGACATAAGTGTTTCAATGTCATGAACTCTTATAGAACCACTATATAATAGTCTAGCAGATATACTATCCCAGTCTATATATTCTGCTTTTTTCAAAACCTCTCTCACAATATTTTTGTTATCTAATGGTATACGTTCCATCTTACCTATAGGTATCTTTTCTTTTAACTCTTTCAATATATTGTTTGTGTCTGGTATATGTTTGAGACGGTCCATATAGTTGTCGAAGTCATTGCATATAATCTTTGAGTCTGGGAATATTGTATGGCACAAATGGGATATATAGAAACTTCCACCGAACAAATCTACAAATGTTAGACCATTCGGTAGTTTCTTAAGTTCTCTCAATATAATATCTTTACATCTACTCTTATTTCCAAAGAACGGTAACGGAGGTTTTGTAAAATTCATTTATATATAATAATAAAAATGTTTTTACCCGAAAAGTGACAGAAAAGTGACAAAACATGAAAACATATATAATTTGTGAAAAGCGACACATTATATAATGTTTTCGACCCAGAAGAAGGCTTCTTCCCAGAAGCAATGGAGGAAGAAGAAGAGTCCTCCGAATTCACACCAGAAGACTAACAATTTTCCGAATAAAAACTTCATTTATACTAAACATCTTCGGGGCTAGAGGGCACGAAGTGCCTGGAAGCCCCACTACCTTTTTTTTTTTTTTAATTGATAATGCAATTGATATATAATGGAATATCTTTCCTCCAAAAACTTCAAAAAGAATTAAAATTTTTGAAATTTCATCGAAATATAAAGCAATAGAAAATGCTTGAAAAAACTTAACGGTTAATACTAATATATATGCACCTGAAATCCTCATTGCTACGAAAAAATTTATGAATGAATAATTTGAAAAAGAAATTAGTAAAGTATTTATAACTGTTAATATGCAAAATATTGTGCCTTTATCCTTCTTTTCGGTGTTGAATAACCTTGTTTGTCGAACAATTGATGTAAATACATACATAAATGGAATGCAAATTAAAATTGATGAAGCAAAAAATCCTATGATAACAGCATTATCACATGTCGGATATATTGATAGGTGACACCTTGATTTAATAATACCAGCCACTATGTGATTATCGCTCATTTCAATCAATCAATCAATTAAAAAAAAACCTCCATTTGATAGGCGCAAAAAAGACGAAATCGTAAGTAATCGCTTTGAACTTACCTCCATTGGTTTACACAAGCCTACAAGTATGAGACCAATTGATCATCAACAACAAAATTTCGATGAAAAAAATTACTTTATGTTGCCAGTAGATAGCGAAGATTATATTGGACTTAAAAAACATCAAACAAAAATCTAATCATTAATATAACTTAATTCGTTTTAATTAATAAATGAATTTTAATTATTGTTCATATATTTGTGATTTCATTTAGGGAAGTTCTAATTAACTGTTGGAACCAATCTGATTTGTTATTTTATATAGCGTACAATTATTTAATTTTATTTTAATTCTTTTTGTTGTAAGGAAAATGTTCCTACATCTCCAAAATTTGAATAGTGTACATAGTTTTTTTTAAATAATGAGTTTAGCACTGAATAAAATTCATCAAAAATTCTAACTCGTCCTGGAGGCGCATCCCATGCGCATGTGCAAGATATGTATTCTGATTGAAGAAATAATTTTGGTCGTAGAATGGCGATAGCTGTTGCAAAGAGTCTGGTCGGTCATTTATATTTCTCAAGAATCACATAAGATTCGCAAAGTCCAAACTTTAGTTTAAACATGTATAAAAGACATTATTTAATTATACATGTATAATAAGACTATTCTGTGATTTGTCTATGATATCCTATTTGAGTAATGAAAAATGAAAAATGTCACAAGAATTTATATTTGTAACATTAAATACATATGAAATAGTGTCCCATTACCAATATATTAGGTTTGAGAAACAGAATTAGTTTGTTTGAGGATATTCAGAAGAAGATTATTTTTAATGTCTATCATCTGAGGTATTTGTACAGATATCGTACCCCAGATGAGGAAAGAAGACTTCGAAGATTGTTCTAAACTATCTTCGAAGACTTTAGTCGACAATCAGATGTTGACTGTTGAATTTGTTCCTCATCTGAGGTACTTGTTAAGATATTGTACCTCAGATGAGGAACAGTGACTTCAGAGACTCTTAAGAAAGATCTTTTAAGTCTTTTGTCGACAATCAACATCTGATTGTCAACAAAAGACTTCATTCAGCATCTGATTAGAGAAGAAAGGCTGTTTAAACTCTCTCAAGAAGCCATTAAAGTCTTTGCTCCTCATCTGAATTGCAATATCTCAACAAGTACACCAGATGATGAACAAAAACTTTAATCAAATTGTAATTTGAAACTCTCTTGCATCAGCTAGTTTATCTCACACATATATTATATTGCCACACCATATATATATCATTGCTCAACCATTTAAATAATCATTAACTCATATCTTGAATCTTATATTTTGTGAATCTAGCAAATCTCTCAGATTTTGAATACATTAGTCTATTAACATCATATAGAAACTAAATTTTCATGTTTCAAACCCTTTAACCCGAGTGTTGAATTTTGTTCAAAATCTTTATTATGCAATGAATAAATCTAACTTTATGGTCTGAGACGATAGACATCTTTTAATAATTTTTCTCGAATTTTTGGCGCTAGTTTCAGGTCGAAATTCGAAGTTTTGTCCGATCAAACTGAAAAAATGGCTCACTTTTGGAGATGAAGGTAGGACGATAGGATTTTTTTGGATACCTCTCTTGTTGGAAGTAATTTAATACAAGAAAAAGAATATTTAGATTTTAATAAAACAAGATAATAAAAATAAAAGTTATTGACCTAAGTTGATTTGTGCATAGCCTTCGTTGTATGCAACATAAATGTGGTCGTAGTTGATATCAATGTTCTTAATGTTTCTGAAGCCAGGAACTTCAATCTGTTTGACCATAGCAGCAGAGTGTAAATTCCAAATCTTAACTTTGCCGCCGATGCCACCTGATGCAAAATATGCTTCGTTCTTATCAATCTTAAGTGCGTAGACACCTTTAGAGTGTGCTTTGTATGTGTGAACAACTTCGAACATGCGAGTATCGATTGCCATGATAGTTCCTTTAGAAGTGCCAACAATCAAATGATTCTCCAAGTATGAATAATCCATGCAAATCGGATCTTCTCCTTTAGAGAATTTGACACTTGCTATCATCGCTGATGAATTTGGTAACAAACAATCCCAGAACGTAACATTGCCTTTGCACTGTTCATTAGGGATTTGACCACATGCAAACAAACCACTTCCTTTGACAAAACTCATGCATGTGATTTTGTCTGACCATGTATCATAATCAGCAAATAAATTTCGACCTTGTTCATTAGAGTAAAATGAATAAATTCTCGCGGTTGAGTCATATCCTGCTCCAAACATAGTTCCATCGTTTGAAATGGACAATGAATTGATCTGTCCATCACATTTCGGTTCGAAAAATGTTAGTTTAGAAGGATCATGATAATTTCTCGAATAAATTTCTCCATTTTTATCTGCAATTATTGCGAAATCTTCTCTTGGATGACTGATGATTATTCTTGGATTTTGTGGTTCTTTTCTTTCTTTAAATCTAGAGAAATCATCATCAGTAATCAACGGATTATGTTTATCAGAAGGAAGTTCGAATCTTGTCATCTTCATGTCTCCTGTCAATGAAATAATTTTATTTCTTGACATTATGTTTCTTATTCCATGTTTTACGTCTTTATCGACTAATCCTTGTTGTGTTGCAATCATGATTTTGTTTCCTGACTTATTAGAAGCGATTGAGAAAACTTCGGACTTGAATTTCTCAGAGATTTTGTCTTTGACGTTGATATTCATCATGACTAATCTTTCTTTAGGCAAAATTGAGGAATTCGAGAATTTATTGACCAAATTCTTGCAGAAACTAGAAATGACCGATTTCTTGTCATTGTTTAACAAGAAACTATACAATGAATTAACTTCGTCGTTTCCATAATCAATCTCATCCAAATTAGTCAACCATCTAATAACAGTTGAAGAAAGAATCGCGTATTGGAACAACTGCATGTAAATGTCTTTGATTTTACAAAGGAATTGATACATTTTTTCAAATTCTTCGCTGTTTACATGCAACTTTTGGACCTGAGAAACAAAAGTATCATGTAACAAAAAGTCCAATAAAGAATGAGCAAAGATTTTGAAGCCTGCTTCATCTTCAATTGACTGTGATTTGCAACTTAATTTAGAATTACTTGATTCTAAAATATAAGTCAAAAATGAACCGGATTGAGTATCTTCCAATTGTTCATTTTTGATTTCTTCCAAAGTACAGTTATCTATCTTCAATTCTTCATCGAATTCTTCAGGGAAACTTGTTAAGTTCGTCAAATCCAAACTCAACAACAAATTCATCATTTTGTTCTTTTGATAGAAGAAAGCGAACATGAACAAAGCAGTGCAAATTGATGCAATAATGAAATGGGACGAATCAGTTTTGCTGATATCAACAATTTTCGCATTAACAAAAGTAATAATTATATGAGCAGTTTGTGCTAATTGCGAAATTTGTTGCGGAGAAATATGGAAAGAAAGCATTTGATCAGGAATCAAAGAAATTGATCTGCAAAGATGATGTATATAGAATAATTTGTCTGTATCTGATGTCATCAACATAATTCTCCTGTAAATGAAACATCTTCTCTTGCAGGATCTCAATAAATAATCAGATAATTGGTGGATCATCGATTTCGTTTGATCTCCAACAGAATTTATTTCAGGGAGAATTTGGAAAATGTTGGGGACATCTTTCAAATCCATACCATATTTAGTTTCGAGGAAATATTCAAGTCTGTATCTGCAAATGTTGAAAAGAATGATTTCATTAAACCAATTGTCAACAAGAGAACTTTCGAGAGCTGTTTCTTGTGGCTTATTCTCTTTCTTTTCTTCTTCCTCATCGTAGTAATAATCTGAAGAATATTCATCGGAATAATACTCTTTTTTGTCGTCATCTTTCTTTGTTTCTGTTTGTGGCTTTTCGTCTTCAGATGAATCAGAATAATCATCATCGAAATCATCAAAGCCTCCTCCTGTATATCCAAATGGATCGTTGTTAAATGATTCACTTTCTTCTTCTTTGTTTGAGTCACTTTTTGGTTCCTCATCTTTCACTTCACTTTTGACTTCTTCTTCAACTTTAATTTCTTCTTTGACTTCTTCTTTTACTTGACCTAATTTTGTGTGTTTTCTGTGGTGATGGCCTTGTAAATTACTGGTTGGTTTTGTGGCTAAAATTGAGGATTTCTTGTGTGATAATTGGCCACTTTTCATTTTAAGGTTATCACTTGTAAATGAGCTATCATCTTCATCTGAAGAAGTGTCACTTTTTCCTTTTTTAGGGAGAATTTTTGGCAAATAATTTTGGGAGAAAGAGTGAACTGACTTTAAGAATTTTATGTCAGTTTTAGAAGAATTTGCAGAAATTGCGTGCAAAGATTCGAAATCTCTTGACAGAGATTTTTGCATTTGCATTGTATCTGGTCCTTCTTGGTACTCAGTTGCTTCAACAGGAAGAATTGTATCTCCGTAGTAAGGAAGATACTGAACAGCCAAAAAGATATTACCAATGTAAAAAGCAGACTTCAAATAGTCACTTTTCATTGAAATTGTTGTATTCAATGATTCGCAGAGGTTAAATCTCATATCACCATAATGGGATGATTCTGGGAAGAAGTAACCTGGTACTGCTTGTGTCATTCTTGGTGCCAATTCAATTGGATTCGAGTTATCAATTATGTGTTCGAAAAATTCTTTGGCGGCAAAATCTTCTCTTTCTAAACATCTCGGAATAAAAGCTTCGTTAATTATTTGTTTCAAGTTTTCTCCACAAATATAATCACTATTGTTGACATCAACTTTGTTGTTGTCATCTAAACATCTGCATGCTAAATATGCCAATGTATAAGAACCTAAGTTTTTCAGTAAAACACGAACACATGATCCTATTTGGCCGGCCAAATAAAACATAGCAGCAGCAATATGATAATCATGTTTTCCGAGAGCTGAATAAGCATTTTTCTCAGCACTTTTCTGGTTCTTTTGCAAGTCAAAGTTTCTTACAAAGAATTGGGCTCTTGTATCATCACCTGCCTTAGAAAACAATCTCTGCAAAATCTTAAATCTTTTGCCAAGAGTTAACAATAAAATTGACAAATAACGTGCTTGTTCAAAAACGTTAACCGCCAAAGGAGTCAAAAATTCAAAAATATCCTTCAAATCCTTGCACCAGAATATGCAACCGCTTTTCTCGACATTTTCCCATGATGTTAAATCGAGAGTTTTCATGAGTTGCATTTGACAATAAGTCTGGTAACCGAGGATGATTGCGTCGAAAGGAAGAATTGTTTTTTCTTCAAGTAAAACAGCTCTTGAAACAACTTGTGCTCTTTTTTCAAGTGCCATTATATCAGGTCTTTGCAAGTTCATTAAGTTCTTGACTAATCTTATTAATTGTTCTTTTTGTTTGTCACCGCAATCCAAAGGATTTTCGTTTTCAAGTTTTTGGACGAGTTCTTCTTCCAATTTCGAAATTTTTTCATCAGAAATGTTGAAATCGAAACCTTCTTCAGGCATTTTGAGCAAATTCTTCGTGTACATGCCCAAATTATCAGGAAGATTGTAGTTTTCATTGAGAAAATCAAGCATCGAATAAACCAAATTCAATCTTCCAGAAGAAGCCAAAGGAAACATTGTCATTGGATGGAAATCTGAAGGAGATCTTGCTCTTATTGCCAATCTATGATGAATTGTTCTGACTTTCTTCAATTGTATCGAATAAAAGAAAGAATCCATGAATTTAGTGAACGCTGTTATCTTTGTGTCACTGGCAACAATCAAGATACCATCAAGACTCCATTCAATTGCATTTATACAGTCCATTTCACAACTTGCAACGAATTCCCAGTCACTATGTGTATCAGGAAATGTCGATCTCTGTCTTATGGAATGATACAAGTTGAGAAATGTTTTTCCTGTGTGTACTTCATCACGTGTGACAACAGCTATCAAACCTGTTGGAATACATGCGGCTGTCAATGGTTCATGGGTCATTTCGATCTTTTGAATCAACTCGAAATCGACTTTTTGTGAGGAATGTCGCCATGTAATGTACATATGCTTTTTTGTGATGATAAACAGGAAACCAGGATGTGCAAAGTCAAGAGCAACAATCTGTTCATCAATGTGACATACTTTCTTAACAGAAACTTGGAATGGAGATGTAGATTCCATGATTGTCGTGTAAACATCATTATTTTGGTCGGCAAAGAAATATATGGTGGCGCCCGGTAATGGGAATAATGTGGATATATACGCTTGAGCACCAAATGTATATTTGTTCGTAAATTTCTTCAAAAGTGACACAGTGTCACTTTTGTTGTCGAAATGGAGGATATAAAGGGTATTAGGGAGTAACATTATGAATAGAGAGCCGGAATTCATGGTAGTGCAATATCTAAAGTCAATGACTTCGTTAATTGGGTTGTTGTTCTCTCCTTCTGTGATTTGGGGCGAATTCCAGATTAATTTCGCTTTAAGAAGAGGAGCAGCATCGATAGGAACATCGATTGAGTAGAATTTTGATCCGTTAAATGCAAATAACTGTCTGTCAATGCCATTCCAGTCTCCTGCAATGATTTTCGAATCAATTTTACTTCCGAACTTGGTTAAAACAGTAGGATCGTATACATCTGTATCATCGTACTTCCAGATTAAAGCTAAGCCGTCTGTATCCATTGTAACCATGAGAGGTTTAGTTTGATGGATACGAATCGAGCTGATCGGATGGGAATGGCCTTGTGAGCGACCAACAACTTGTACTCTGTCGTCTGGTAACGAAACATCGACGTTCTCAATCATATTTGTCTTCTGATCTTGTAAAATCAAAGAAATAGATCGTGGACGGCCAATGAATGTCTCATCGTTGAGATGTGCGAATTCGCTTTCGAGCGTACAAACTGCAAACATTTTCGTGTAATTTCCCGGATAAATTTGTCCGGAAACTTTTATACGCTTTATACAGTTGAGTTTTGGTGTTCTACGTACTGACGTGCTGATGCCTGAGAGTTCCCAGAGATTTATGTAGTTTTCGTTGTTTTTTGAGTCGCATGTCAATAACCAGCTAACATTTCGCTTTAATTCTTGATTGGATGCGATATCTGCTTCACGGTTGTTTAAATCTTTGAGAGGTAAGTGGCCTGTTCCAAAGGCGTAGTTATCGACACTGATACTCGATTTATGCTGCGGATCTTGAGCATTATTCTTGATCATTCTTGAAGATGTAGTAATAAACGTTGCGGATATCGTTCCGTATTGGCTTGGGATGGCTGCAACCACATTAAATGACAATTGTTCATTTACGCCTGTTTCTGTCCAAATTCTAACGACATTATCTTCCGCTAATGTAAGGAAAGAGCATCTTTCGTGAATTTGATCAGAAGTACGCCAATGAATTGTTGTAACTTGAGATGGGTGATTTAATGGAATTCTACGTAATTTATGTCTATCGCCAGCGGTTTTATGCCATATAAACACTTCTTTTGATGATTTTTGTAATGTTAAAATGAATCTTGAATCTCTACTAAAGGAACAGAACGAAATTGGAACAGGATCTTCGAATGTTGGTTCGTATTCTTTAGTTTCGATGTTTTTCATCAATGTATAAATCTGAAATTTCTCTGCTGCGACACAGAATTGAACATCAGTAATTGACCAGGACATGCAAACGCCTGGAGAAGACAATTGGATTTTGTGTGTTTGTTTCCAAGTGCCATCTATCGGATCCCAAATGATTAGCTCGCGTGTATTTGAACATGAAGATAATCTTCCGGAAAACGGAGCCCAGGCGACGCATGTAACAACTGAATTATTACTATGTCCATCAAGAGTTGATATGACGTTAAGAGATGTTGATGCTATGACAACTAAATGAGAAGAGCCATACGCAATAACAAGTTGTCCATGATAATAAGTCATACCAATACAATTTATGAAGTTTCCATTACTTGCACCTGAATTCAGATACTTCTGCTGGATCTTAGCTGGATTATCTGACATTCTTGAGGCGCAAAAATCGATCGTCAAAAATTGAGATAAAAAGGTGACCACAGATTTTACTCATTTTACTTGGGATTGAAATATTTTCTTTTTAGAAACAAAACCACAAGTACATGAACATTTGAAATGGCGAAGAGATTCGAGCAGAAGTGAATCAATTGTCAATATTGAAATGGATTATATTGATCTATACCTTGGATTACTTATCCAAGTATATGTTAAATGGTGTGGATGCATATTTTTGTTATAGTCATAAAAAAATATGGACAATTGTTTAAGGGTCCACTGTAAAAATTGAAAGTCTCTCAAAATTGAGAGGCGATTTGCAAATAATCGTTATCATCTTTTTTCGAAAATCCACTTTTCCTAGTGTTCTGATTAATATTTTGTGAATGGAATAATGAAGTATATGTTTTTGTAAGATGGTAATATATTCTATCACTTCAAATCGGATAAAAATTGCAAAATCGGCGAGTTTTATAAGAACATGATTTTTTCGAATTTTTTCGCTTTTGGATGCGTGTTTTGAAAAATAGATATTTTCGAATTTTGATTTTATCTTAAGTATAAGTTTTATATTAGGAATTTTTTTGACCTATTTCCAATCATTAATTCCGATGTTTTTTTAGGAATTTATTTGAGAAGAAATTAGGAATTTCGCTTTTATGCTATTACAAACTAATATTATGATGCATGTAGTTTATATTCATTGAGGCCAATGCCGGGATATCTTGCATTAAAAAAAAATTCAAAGAATTGACAATTAGATAGCACAAATTTAATTCTCTAGACAAAGTATTATTGCTTATATATTCAAAACATTATCCTTAGTTTTGATATGTTGGCCAAAATTTTCGTGTTATTTTTTGTGTTTAAGCATAAATTATGTATTTACTTATGAAGGATAAGCATTTTATTCATTGTCATAAATATGCACCATAACAAATTGATAAAATTTTAAAAAATTGTGTATTTTAGCGGGTATTATTTTGGCCAATGCCCGTTGTTACAAGATTTAATATTAACCATATCAATAGCAGACTCAATGTAAAAATTTAGATATATTTTTTTTTTTCATTATTCAAACTTTGATAAAGTTTAGTATAATGAATGATTTTGTTTCGTGTATGATACAGAAATGAAAAGCTTAATTAATATTATTTTGCATTTTTTCAAGAATGTTAGAGTATATCTACATTAAAAAATCAGATTCGAACTGCGATACTGCATCAAATTGATGCATATCTGATAAGGATCTCAAAAGAGTAAAGTTAATTTTTTTGAGTTTTTTTAAGTTTTGGGCCTTAGTAAAACACCATCTCGAGCAATATTTTTGGGACGACGATAGGCCTTATTTGGCCTTTTGTTAACAATTTGACGAATTATACGATAATAGTTTGATATTATGTCGAAAATTGTAGATACTATGAAAATCATATCACAAGGTTTTCTAAAAAGTCAAAAAAAGTTAATTTTTCTTTTTATTCAAAATATAGTATAAAATTTACTTGGATTGTTGCAAAAAAGAACAAAATTATTCATTTATATCTTGAAGAGTTGAAAATCCGTCTTCAGTATTGTAAGTATTTATAGTATCAGTCTGATTGAAAACAATATCATTTTTGAGCGATATTACAACTGTAAAAAGCAATTAAATACAATTATTGACTCGTGTTTGAGCAAGATCAAAGCTACTTTTGAGCATATGGCAATATCCCTGAATGAATTTAAAGATGAATTCAAATAAACATGAGTGCATCGATTAGATTTATGCACATTTTCACTCTCATTTTGATATAACCTTGTAAAAACTATTTTAGTAAATCAACTATTTCTTGATGACCACTTTCGGCTGCAATATCTTTGGCATTCATTCGTTTGCTTCTACTATCTTTGTAAAGATGTTTTAGAGCACTGTGTTGAATAAGTAGTTTCGTAACTGAAATACTGTTATATAAGCTGCAATACATTAGTGCAGAATATCCTAAATCACTCTTTAAATTGAGATCTGCACCTTTTTCAATAAGAATTTTTGCGATTTCTGTATTGCCCAAAATAGAAGATATCATAAGAGGAGTTTCACTTTGGTTGTCACTCAAATTTAAGTTAATATCTTTGAAATTACATAAATAACTAACAAATGAAGGTATTTCAAAATGAATTGATGCACGAAGTGCTGTGGACTTGAAGTCATCTTGGTCATTAATCGTTTCATTATTTCCTAATTTATAAATAAAGAATTTCATGTTGTAACACTCGGCACATCTCAAGAAAGGGAATTCTGCTGAATATTTATCAATCAAATAATATGCAATTTCGTCATTATGGCATTGTATGGCTTTTAATAATGAGTTAGAAATGATTTCAGGATTTTCACCAATTTTTTGTTCAACAATTTGGAAAATTTCGAAATCTCCTCCAATAGATGCATATTCGAGTGTATAATTATCAATTTTTGCATCTTTAAGTATAAGACTCTTAAAGCAACTAACAGAACCTAGCATCGCGCAATAGTTTAAATAAGATTTGTGTGCATGTGTTGCATTTGGGTTGAATTGTGATGATTTGTTATTAACATATTCTAAAAAGCCATTAACATCATCATTAACGAAATATTTAATTGGAATTTTATTGAACTTGTTGAGAATTTTCTCGATATCAATATTTTGATTTCTTTTCGGATCATTCATATCAAATTTATAATATTTCTCTAGTGCATCCTTTAAAGTTTTGTTTTCAGTTATGATTTCTTGATTACTTTTTATGAATTCTTGGTTAAAGTATGAAATTATTAAGTTAAAATACAATTTCAATCTTGATTCTCTGTATTTAGATGCACAAATGATTATTCTTAGTATTTGCTTGTTACCAATAGAGTATATCTCTTTGCATTGATTAATTTTTTCAGAAAGTACTTTGAAACTCTCTTCATTTATATCAAATATCATATCAGTCATTTCAATGTATTGACCATATTGTTCTGTCAGCTGATCATTATCATTCAAATTCATAGCAAAGATAAAAAATGTCAAATTTTGTTTGGCTCCATAAAATATTCAATTTATTGGATAGTTTAAGTGATTCAATCTCGAAATACAAATATCGTAAGAAGAAATATCCTATAGTAACATGTACCCATATGAACTAATGCATATAATCAGGATATTTATACTGAATTAATGTAAATACATCCTGTGAAAAAATGAAACTTAGGTCCCACAAAATTTATCAAATTGAAACTTCAAAATTTTGCTGCACCATATGCATTTGATGTGTTTCTAGAACACTGCAATTTTTAAACATTTAATTCTATTAAAAAAGCTTTGATTTCAACATTCAACATGATTATATCATCAATTGAATAATAAATCTGCTTGTTGCACCATAATATGTAATTTCTTAATGATTGTAGAATGTGTATCAGGTAGAAACATGATTAATCAGTTATTTCACCATAAATTTAAAACAAAAATCATTATACTGATGAAAAATATAACGGATAAGGCTAATTAGATCTAGAGTTTATAAAATAAAATAAAGAAAAAGAAAAAATAATAAAATTTTAAAACAAATTATACTTCAAAGTCCAACCTTCATCTTGAGAAGTTCGATTGTAATTGTAAGTGGAATATGCTTGATTCCTTGGTAATAAGCGAATGTCCAGCACTGTGGGATAGTTTGATTGTAATGGATAACTCCTGATGGATAAGAGAGCATAGCAGCAGCTGGAATGTAGCAAAGTTGGAGGATAACGTTGAAAAAGATTCGAATATATTTATCATCAACGAGTATGTTGACGTAATTAGTGTAGAAAGTACCAAATGTCTTCTTTGAAACGTTGAATATGAAACCTTTGCAGTAGTTGAGAAGCAAATTGCAGTAAAGTGCGTAGATAATGAACTTAATATTGCCTGTTGCAAAGACTTCACGAACTTCTTCGTATTTCTTGAGAGAGAAGATTGGGCAGAGTATAAGATGGAGGAGGAAGAAGCTGCATGGCGTTAAGAGAAGTGTGAATAATACTGGTTTATCCTTCTTGATTGAAGCAAGGAATGGAATTTTAACATAGATCAGGGTAGCTATTTCTTTTGTAATTGCGAATGTTCCTTTTTTGATTGTGTCATGCCAGAATTTGCCTGAAATGAAGAATAAGAATGGAAATGTATGATATCTAAATATCCTCATGAAGAAAAAGGCAACAGCAGCACCTGTGAATTCAACAAAGAATAATTTAACCCACTTCTTATAGAGAGCACTATTATGCTCTTTTACTATCACTTTTACTATCACTTTCGATATAATTGAATGATCGGGAAAAAATATGGATATCATAAATCAGGCATTTTGATCTTAAATTATGATTGGATGTTATCAGAATTTTTGAGACAAATTTGTGATGTTTACATTAGGACACTGCAATTAAATATGGTAACACACAATTAAAATGCTCCTACATTTGGTATATTAAGCTGACGCGCCCGAAGGGCTAGCGCTGCCGCCGGAGGCCCGAATTTTTTTGAAAAAAAAATTATTACCAGTTGAGTTTCCCAGATTTTAATGGTTTTAACTAGAAACGACCACTTTACGGTATATATTGACAGCACAAATGTTATTATGAAATTAAACAAAAAGAGACTTTTTTTCACAATGGTCACCTTCAGGTAAGGATGCAGACTTGGCAATTCTGAGGTCATTTTGGCAATTCTTAAAAAATTTCCGGCGAAATTGGCGTCCGAAGGGCGCCAATTTCGCCCAATATGATACATATATCATAGTTATAAGTATTTGGTTTTAGGACCTATTTTTTTCTCCTTTTTCTTCATTTTATTTTTGATTATATTGTATTTTAATTTCTATGTGAAAAATAAATCACACTCTGTTCATTTTGATGAGAGCCCTCTGCTATATTTTGTGAGCAGTTAAAAGAATTATTTTAAAAAATTATTCGAAATATAATAACCGAAATGCATTATCTTATTGAGAATTGAATATTACTTCAACAAATGTATCATATTCACAAAAGAACTCCACAAAATAGTTCAAATTATTAATATTATTCCAAAATAATCAAAAATTTACATAATAATTCATGTAAGAAGGCCATCTCAGATGTGAGAAAGAATTTAGTCTTAAATTCATGTTGACTAAACGAAACAATAAGTATAAATATATTGCATTTTTAATAAATGAGCCTGATTTGATTTTATGTGTAGTTAAATATGTTTCAGTGTCATTGTTTCAGCTTTCTTGAAGCTTATGGCAATTGGGCAATTCTCAATAACGTACAATTGCCAAAAAAGTTTAAGGTTTGGCAATTCACTCAAATCACTGCGAAAAAAAATAACGTACAATTGCCAAAACCAAAATTGCCTTGGCAATTGTACGTTATTTTAAAAAGAGTTTACATTGAGTATCTCTAGTTTCGCTATAACCTAATACACAACATCACAAAAAACATAAATCCTTCGGCAAAAATATCAAATGATTCAATTTCAAATATCAAATTTCTAAAAATCATCAATAATGCCACCATTTTATTTCATAAATATATAGAAACTAAAATATGTCATTCTCTTGCTTCTTTCAGACTTAAATAATGCAAATTTTACTATTTTTTTTTTCAAAACTTCTCTCATCCAAGAATTGCCAAGCTTGGCAATTCGTGATGAACAAAATTTGCGCTTTTGGCAGTTCCGACATCCTTATTGCGTATCAATATTAATGATCGAATCATCAACACAAAGAAGTCTTCAGCGATTTGTTTTTCAGAATTAATCAAAGAAAAGTATTTTATTGATAAATCAATCACATCGTTGAATACACGTTTATATATTATATGTCAAGATTCTATTGATATCCTTTCAAAGTTTATAGAAACAGGAAAACTTGAATTTGAAGCAGATGAGGCACATTATCATGATATGTTCGAAATCGGAAAATATTTTGGAAATCAACTACTCACACATATATATGCTAAACATGTTAAATCAGACAAATCTCTCACAAATGAAAACGTTTTTAAGAAGTACGAAGTTTCTGCATACGAAAACGATTCTACGACAATGAATGAATGCATTGAGCACATCTCATCACATTTCTACAGTTTGAAAGATGATGATATCATTACAAATTTTGTCAGCAATGGATTTGAATTTTGTGAAAAAATTTTGAATTCAAAAGAATTGAAAATTGAAAATGAAGACAAACTATGTTTGTTACTTTTAAATGCTTGTAGAAGAGACAGTACATTATTTGATTTATTTGGCTATGTTAATTTACAATTTTGTTCTTCACAAGTTTATGATGATATTTATAATTTTTCAGTTGAAAACTCTTATGAATCAAGCCTTTTAACCATTTATAATGAAACGTTGAAGAATTATTATTCAAAATTAAGAAATAAATTTGAAATTTCAAATCAATCTGTTACATCTTTCGAAAAAACATTTGATTCAAAATCAATTTCAAATATCAAATGATAGTTTTAATGTTGGTATACCAAAATTTGTAGAAAGAGTTACAAAAGAAATTAAAATGGAAATGATTCCTTCAGCTGTTGGTGGTGGAAAAATATCCGAAATAAATTCATATTTAGATGATGATGTTCATTTCTTTACAAAAGGCGAACCTAATTTATGGGTAAAAGCTGATCTAAAGGGTTATAAATTAAAACCAAAATCATATATTCTACAATCAACATGTGAAGGTGATTATCATTTATTGAGAAGCTGGAAGCTAGAAGGTATCAAAGAAGATGGAACATCCATTGTATTAGATAATCAAAACTATGAATTTAAACAAAGCGAAATCAAAGAATTTCCACTTCAAACTAATGATTATTTTGTTGCTTTCAAAATAACACAAACAGGAAAGAATTCAAGTGATCAAGACTATTTCCGTATTTCTGTTTTTGACTTCAAAGGAAAATTAATAAAAATTTAAACATTTTTTCTTGCAATCATTAATAAACATATCTTATATAATCGAAACACACTTATAACATAGTATTTTTAATCTTAATTCCGTAATTGACTAAAAAAAATAAAATCTCAGTCAACAAAAGCAGTTAGATTTAAAGAAGCAGAGAATAACGTCAATGAAGAGATCGATGATGAAAAAAAGATACTGTTTCTATATTGACGGAATCATATTGTAACAGATGGAGAAACTCCTCTTATTAAAGCTGTTAGGGTGAAAAGTCTAGAAATATGTAAAAAAATTGATTGAAAAGGGTGCATATCCTAACATTGGTAAACAATCAGCGTTTTTTTTTCTAATTTTGTTAGAATTTGCTCGTGATGATTTCATGTTAACCAATTCATATTTTAAGATATGATCTGGATACATAGGAAAAAGCTAGCTAGATTCTCAATAAAATTAATACATATTGATGAAAGAAGAAACCATGAGTTACAACTGAGTCTATATCACGAATGAAATTGAATGATGGAACTAAACCCACATGAAATAATTTTGAAATTTCTTCTAAATTTTGGCATCATTTTTTTATTTTCAAGTGATTTGTAAATGAAGCAAATCAAGTTTGATTGGACTGAAAACAAGAAACTAATAAATAAAATGATTTACCTTGGTGATGAGCCATTCATTTTTGAATCAAGAGTCATTATTAACAAAAATTATTTTCTAAGTATCAAAATACATCCAAAGGAAAATAAAATTCAGAAACTAAAGTGTACAATTCAAGTATTTGATGCCGAAAAACGATTAGATCCAGAGAATTTTACCATAGATTTCACGAAACATTTAAAATACCCATTGTTTTTTGCAATTAATCCATCAAAATTTGTTTGCATGGAGTTTTCAAATATTTCTATAGTTGAAAAACCAGATTTGCAGAAAATAAAAAATTCAAATCTGAATTCAAATTATATTTCAAACAATTCTACATCAATACTAGATATGTATGAATACAGATCGAATACAACTTATCACAATAACATCCCACAAGAAAATATTCCTAAACCAATTCCGAAAGAAGAAAGCAAGGTAATTATTAAACAAGATCCGATTAAGGAAAATATTACAGAAAAAGAACCAAAAATTAAAGAAAAACCCGAAAAAATAATTTCCGTTCCAAAAGTAGAGAAAACAGTTGCTCCGAAGAAGCCTAGTTTTTCGCAACCTAAGGTTGGTTTTACTTATACTCCGCAATCTCAAATTCCTCAAGAAATTCCAAAACAAAATTACGAATTTCATTATTGCGGACTTATAAATCAAGGAGCAACATGTTACATGAACTCATTCCTACAAGCGCTTTATCATACTCCGATTTTTAGAAGAAAATTTCTCCAAATGAAATCAGAAGATCCTGTCATTAAAAGTTTACAAAATCTCTTTCAAATGATGAATAATGAAAAATATGTCTCAACGGAAGATTTGACAACAAGTTTTGGCTGGGATAGTTCAAATGTTTTAGTTCAACATGATGTACAAGAATTCATGGTTATTTTAATTGATTATATCCAAGAACATATAAAAGGAACTCCATATGAAAATTTGATAAAATCAATTTTCGGAATTGAAAATGAAACAACTATTATTTATCAAAATAATGATACTCATTCTCTTAAAGAATCACAATTGAACATAAGTGTTCAATTAACTGACTCAATAACTCGAGGAATCGAATTATTAACAGAACCTGAGTTAATGGGAGGAGATGATGCCCTTGATCATAATGGAGTTAAAATGAGTGCTACAAAAATCCTTAATTTCAGAAGATTTCCAAAAATTTTGATGATTCAATTATCAAGATTTTCTTTTGATCGCGAAACATTTATGCCAATCAAGTTAATGGATAGATGTTCGATCGTTCAGCACATAGATATTGGAAAATCTTATTCCTTGTATTGTATTGTCACTCATTTGGGGAACTCGGTTAATTTAGGGCATTATGTAACATATGTTAACTCTCTAGATGATGATTGGTATTGTTTTAATGATCAGTGTGTTGACATTTTGAAACATTCTCCTCTCAATGATGAAAGTATCACAAATAATGCGTATTTATTGTTTTATTATTTAGATGAATGTAAGAATGAAATTTTTCATGAATAAAGAATTTTGATGTTTGTTTGAGAACTTTACAAATTGGAATGATATTTTTGTTGATTATAAAAATCATCTCAATTTATGGATGAATAATGAGCAAACATATGAAACAATTATATCAATATATCGTACTAGAATAGAGCTATTATATATCTGAGTTTCAAACCAAAAGAACAAAGGGAACCATCAGATTCAGATGAAGAAAGTTTTGGTGATTTTTTTGTCTGTCTAAAAAAGTGCTAAAAAATTTTGTACGTTAGAGAATGAGTCGACCTTTATTAACTCCAAGGAGACAACTTAAAACAACTGATACATTCGAGCCCGCAGTTAGTGAATTTCTTAAAATGCCTATTTCATTCGATAAATTTGAAGCAAATCCTAAAGATCAAAATGAAATTCCAAAGAAGAAACATCTTTCAATCAGAGAAAGGTCTATATCAACAGCAAGAGAATACCAATCAGATAGATACCTTGATAAAAGACGTCGTACTTTTGATGTTGCTTTTGAAAGAAAATCAAAGCTTGCTCATGAACGTTTGGAAAAGGAATGGAGTGAAGCACAAAGATTGCGTGATTGGAAAAATACAATGGCAAAACGTGATTTAAAGAAAAAGACTAAAAAAGTTGATAATCACGTTATAGAAAGAATTGTTCAAGAGAGAAATGAGTATTACCTTTCCGCATCAGCGGATCCTGGAGTTCCTCCTAAGCCAAACGTTCCAAATATTAGGTCAATTCCAAAAGAAGTTCGTGCAACAACAATGTACTCTGCACGCCCTCAAACTGCACGTTCTTTCACAAGTTTTCATTGATTCTCTCTTTATTTTTATGTTTTTCTTTCACTCGGCTTGTTTAATAAAATTTTGTTTGCTATTTAGTATCAAACTTTGATATTTTTAACAATATCTCGATGCTTAATGTAAGTATATTGGGAAAATGGATCAATCTAATTATGATTCATGAAGTTTTGAAAAATTAGGATGTCATGTGAATAATTTTTCTAGGCATCTAAATTTCTGTTTTACATGTCGAAATATTTATTTTCATTCAATTTTAATATGCTTATTATATACATGAGTTCATATAGGAACATAATGCTATAGGATATTTCCTCTAAAACTTTTAATATGGCTAGATTGAAGTACTTGAACTATCCCAAAATATTAGAACAAATACACACAGACTCTGAACTTGAAAACATATGTTAATTGATTGTGAAACGTATTAAGTGTTTTTAGGTTGTATACGTATGATAATAGATTGGTTGAATACCGATCAAATTTCATAAATTGAAAATAATTTTTTCAAAATTTACTATAATCTTTATTAGTATTAATAAAATAAAGAAAAACTAATTGAAAAACATAAGCGTAAGATGGTTTTTTACTAAACAAATATTATAAAAAAATTATTTTGTTGCAAGAGTTGGAGGTTTGTAGAATAAGAATAAGAAAGAGTCGAGAAGTCTGAATGCTGCAAGAACAGCGCCAATAACAGTGAGTAATCTGGTGCAAAGATGCAAGAAAGGCTCTGTATCGTAATAATCAATTGCAGAAACAGGATTAATGGCATATCTGAAGTAGACACCTGATGAGAACTTCGGAGGATCCATTAATTCGTATTTATTTGCTGTATAAGTGTTATCCATGATATCTGCTGAATAAACAACTCTCCACGAGCCTTTTCCTGTTTGGATACTAGTAACATTATCAAGTGGGAACTTTCCATCGACTCTGTTGAATCTAAAACTCCTAATAATATGGGTTAAATTAAGATCTTTGGATTCAGAGCCTAAAATAGTAGTATTATGTGAATGCCATCCTTTGTAGAGATAATTGTAGCCAGGAGCAACATGGAATTCCGATGCTAAACGGACAGTTTGGAAAGCAGAGGTTAATTTGCAGCCTTCGTCCTTCATTTCTTGAATAATAGCTGCTGTAGATGCACATTGTGCTATTGTTGAGAGCGGAGGAGGAAGAAGTTCTTGATTTTTGTGAGCTTGAACAACATCTTTGCAAGTCTTGCAAACTTTGGTATTATTGGCTGCGTAACATGATGTTGAGTCTGAGGTTTTTGCATTATCTGGTTCTAAAAACTTCTCTGGATGGAAATCTCCAATATTCTTTCCTGTTTTGTCAAGGCGTGCGAAATTATTAGAAATACTTTCCATTGGAAGGTCTAATTGTGAAATTGGATCAACAACATCAATATGAAGAAGGTAACATGGAACATTTGGAAATTCGATATCCAAGTTAACTGAAAGCTTTCTTTGGTTGGAAGATTTACCACTAATACCCATTGGTTTTGTATTATCGACAATAAATCTCTGACGAATTGGTGGATTCAAATAAGTATGAATTTCGGAGAAAAATAGAATAATAGTGACTGTGATAGAAGCAATAGAGAGAATGCCACCAAATGATGTTGAAACTCTATATTGCCTATCTAACTTAGGAAATACGTCAAATTTTCTTAAATCCATTTAATAATCGTTCTGAAAAGTGACAAAAATATTGAATTTTTGATTAGAATCGGATAGTACCATATTTGCATCATGGCATTGTTGATTTTCAAAAATCTTGGATAGAAATCGAAATATTGAAGAAATTAGGACAAGGAAATCATTGTACAACGATATTCTAGTATTGCTTCTTATTGTCAAGAAGTGCACTAAGTAATCTTTAATAAATGTATTCGAAGATATTGACATTAAATAGAATTTCTTCGAATTATGCTGAATTGTAAGTGAAATTCTGTTTGATATTTGGCAATTTTGACTAATATACAGTCTTATATTATTTCTTCATTTAGCAAAACTTATTTTTTAGTGAAAATAAAGCATAATTTTTGAAATATAAATGTTTTATACTAAAATCTAATCAATTAATCAAAAATAATTTGAACATTTTATGAAAACACTCTATTTATTCTTAGCAATTGAACAGAACAAAAAAATAAATCGAAATAAAATTTAATTGAAAGATCCTTTCTTAAACCAAAGAAGGAGATCAGGATTAATGTGTGGCTTGAGGTCGACATCCTCATATTTAGCCTTAACTTGTTGAATTAAGTCCAAATCAATAGTAAGTGGCGCTGTTCTTGAAGCACGGACCATTAATCCAGCAGATTGGATTGCCTCAACGATATCATCCTTCTTGAGCCATGTTTTTGCACTAATTACGTTTAAATCAGTAGATTCGTCTGGAGATTTGAGAATTGTTGAAATAACAACATCTCTCCAGTAAGAAAGGTATAAAATGCGTCCCATATCCGATAATGGTCGCTCAGGGCCAAGAATTACTCCAGATCTAAATGAAATTTCGTAACTAAGTGAAACGAGGAGTCTTCCGTATCCTTTCTTTTGGTATGGAGGTAGAACAACGATGCAAGAAAGATTGTTTTCGACCAGTCTTGATTCAACTGAGTAAAACGCGGCCAAATGAGCACCGTAGTCATCACATTCGCAAAGAACGTAGTAATTGAAAGAGTCAACATCGAAGTACGAATTCTTGTGTTCAATGAATAATTTGCCAAGAAGGGAAAGACACTGACAGAACATCTTCTGCTTCTTTCCTTTGACTTCAAATATTGAGATATCTCCATTTCTGTATATTTCTCTGCCAGGCGGCTTTCTCTCGAAGATTTCCGCGTAATGAGAACGTAAATCTTTTAATGAAGTGAAGTATTTCATGCAGTATTCGCATATATAGAGCTTTCTAACTGATTTATCAACAGGATATGGTGAGTAATACCATGCATCTATAACGTATTTCCCAACTTGAACTGAATCTATGTTTCTTATTTTCTCCTTTTCTTCTTCAAGCTTTTCTTGGTCTTTTTTCTGTCGCTCCTCATCAACTACGATAGGTGGAGGCAATGCTGTGAGTTGAGAAATATCAAAATACTTATCCAAGCGTCTATCTTGTGTTTCAAAATGAACATAAGCCTTATTTTCGATGATTTCAATAATTCGCCCTCTAACAGACTGATGCTCAGGGGTGTTTACCGTAACTTCAGCTCCTACTTCCATGAAAATGTGACAATAAAAAAATTCAAATAGAAAAGTGACAAAGAATGGATGAGCTTACTCGCAGATTTTTAAAGAGTTTCATGGTCAAAATCGTACCATCCGAGAAAAGTCAAAACAAAAAAGATTCAATTGATACAATTTCAGAAACAGTTCTTGATATTTTCGTTGATGCAACATTTTATTATATGAAGTGCATTACTAAGCAGGCTACAAATGTTGCTGAACATGCAGGAAGAACAGAAGTTCATGCTGGAGACGTTTTTGATGCATTATGGAACTACCACGAAAATGTTGAATCTCTTTGTCAATTTATTGTCGATTTCCCTAAGGTAGATACAATCCAGGTTAGTCCTTATCCGATTGAATTGTCTGAAACGGTAACTCCAGGTGATTATCCATATAGAGCGGATGCAATCGTAGAATTTGCTGGAGAGAACCAAAATAAATTACCACCTCATGTTCCTCAATTCTTACCCGCAATTGCTGAAAGTAATTTCGACGACATTACAGAATTCAACGATCCGTCCATTGAAGTCACGAATGAGACTTTTCTGGCTAAGATTAACGTCGGAAACTGTCCACTTGTTGATACGATTATTCAAAGCCTGATGGCAAAAATCGAACAAGAACAAGATGCTCAATAAAATGTTTAGAAATATATTGTTTATCCTTTTGTCAATGTTTTTTATAACAACTGTGCTTTTCGGAAGATTTTTTGAAAAATATTATTTGATATAGTACAATATCTTTATATAAATTACATTTATGGCTGATACAATTGTTGATTATATGAAAATTTAAAGATAATTTGATATATCTATTAAAAATATCTCATTTTGGAAATTTAATATCAATTTGCCTCAAACTGGAAGTTTGTACAGTAAGTCTAGATGTCTCTATTGCGTGTCATTTTCAGATCTTCGAAACAAGTTCAGAGAAGGAATTGCAAAAATCTCTGGCTTCGATATCAAGAGTTTACCAGAAGATGACGAAGAATTAATTGATAGTGCATACAGATCTGTAAACGAAATTATGAATTCAGAAACAGAGAAAGTCACACAGGATGAATTACGTGTATTGAAGGAACAGACAAACATCTTTCAGATGTATTCTCAGACATGAGATCTAAAATTGCAAAGCTCGATGACAAGTGCAGTGCAATTCAATCAGAGAATGAATGAATACAGACACAGACAGAGAGAACTATGAGAGACAACGAACGTCTCCAGTCATCACAGGAAGAACTCCTTGAATGGAGTAGATGGGGAAGGTCTTTGTTCAGACAGATATCAGACATGTCTCCACAAGGACAGAAAGACAAAGACATAAGGTTGACAATCGAGGAACAGTTCATTGGTGATCTCGGTTTCGGTTCATTGAGAAGCAAACTCTCAATTTTGAGGAGTGAGAAACAATTCTTGCTCTCTCACTCGATTCCTGGATCATCAAAAACAAATACAAATTCGATAAGACCTGTTGCAATGGTAATCGTGTTTTCAAACATTTTACAAGGAATCTCTGGAACTCAAAAGCCTACGATATTAATCAAGGAGAAGAAACCTGCTCCAAAATTGTAATTTTTAAATATTTTTTTTTGCCTATATTTTTCAGCTTTTGGAACTATGAAATAAAATTTGATGATTTTTCTGCAAATCTGGATAAATAAGGTAATAAAACTGTGATTTGTTTTGATTCTATGAAACAATTAATTGTATAAAAATTGGGAAACTCATTTAGATCAGAATTACTGTTTTCATTTTTAAATGTAACAATTCCTCCTGTACTTGTTTTTGACTTTGATTGAACATATGAATCAGTAATAGTCAATGTGTAACCTTCCCAATAAATCCAAAACATATATGCTGCAGTGTTATTTAAAAATACGCAGTGATCAACATTAGTATTGTATTGACAAGAAAATAGAACTTGGTTACTGTCTGTTCCGCATTTATTTCCAATAACATTGCAATAAGAAACTGTTTGTATCAATGAAGGAGAACGACTGTTAAATACAAGAGAATAACTTCCAGTTTGGTTGTTTTCTCTGAATGTTGAGTAATTACAATAACCTGATTTTCCATCAAGGACGAAACTTATTGATGAATATTCCCAGCATTTGTTGTAAGTGATGTTGTTATTCTCAAAACGTAGATCTCCCCATGCAATATTAAATGTTTCACTTCCTTCTGATTCACTTTCTCCGCATTTTGAAACTGAAATTTGAAAAGCATGGTTTTTATTAGTAGAAGAAGATTTAACTTGTTGATAAAATGACATGTAATAATTTGTTGCTATTGATTCAGAATAACAATTTCGTTGTTGAACAAACTGTCCTTTATAGCCGTAATAGTAAACAGATCCACCATCTGAAGTGGATTTGCATTTAGTAAATATGTTATCTTCAAGTAATGTGCAGATTTCGTTAGTTCTTCTGATATAAATTGCACCGTTTTCTTTGCATTCGTAAAAAATGCAAATAAAAACGTAATAACTCTTAGTACCTGTAGTATTAGAGAATGCGACTCCATCTTTGGTTTGATTGACTCTATCTTGTTCTTCAAAATAATCTAGCCAATTGAGCTTTCTTGCCAAATTCATACTTGAATTGAACTTCTAAGCATGTGAATTGAAGTATTTTAGTTTTGATCTGGTTCTGTATGCTTAATGTTGAATGAGATATGAACATTATTGTTCAAATAAAAAAGTGACAATTTACCAATGTATTGAAATTTGAAATTAAATACAGTTACGGGAAAAAGCCATGTGAAGAGAAAGCATCATAGCAAGATGGATTTCCATTTCGGACTACTCTTGTCAGATATTCTCAAATGATGTCAACATGTATTTGTTTTCTGTCTCTCAAAAGATATTGATAATTGAGATGTTTACGCACAAAAAAATTATAATGTGGAACCCCTGCCTTTTCTTTGAAATTTTGGCTACTATATAGGGATTCATATGAGATAATTAAATAATATAAAATTACTTTAAAAGCAACCTGCAAAAGTTAAAAGTAAAATTATAAAAATATTATAAATGTGAATAGATTTAATCATATTTCTTGAAATTGTGAGTTTCGTGTCTCTTATATAAGAAAAATATAACATATGCTGTAATCTCTATTACAGAAATAAATAGTAATATGTTGAAGCCGTGTTGTTCATTAACAATCTCTACTTCGTGTTTCAAAGATTTCTTTAGTTCTATTGGATTACTTGTAGAAAGATTCAAGTTCTTTGCAGCTTCTAACACTTCTTTCTCTAAGTTTTCCAATGAAATCTTTGTTTCAACAGCAAGTTCAAGTAACTGTTTCTTCAATGATGACCAAAGTTCATCCAAATCTGTTTCTGTTTCATCATATTTCGATTTAGCAACTTCGATCTTTCTGACTGCTTGTTGTATAGTTTCATTAACTTTCTCGATGATAAACTGGCCCAATGCTTGTGGAGTCTCTGCGCTCTTCATTCTCGATGCAGCTTCATCGATAATCGAAATTGCATCTTTGATTTGTGAATTTGGATTTTCGTCGAGGAGTCTGTTCAACTCCTTTGATAGTTTGTTGTATTGGTTTGAGACTGGCATGTTAGCTCTGCGGTTTCTTTTGTGAATACGACGTATTTCGACCATATCTTCGATGTATTTCTTATTCTTTGATGAATAATCGAATGTTGCGTTTGGATGATCGCAGTCACTCATAGAATGAACACGCATTGAGAGTAAATCGTGTTGCATAGAACGAACTGCACTTGTTTGGGCTGAAAATGAGAAATAGCCGTAATCTGGAATTTCCGTGACATCAACATCAAGGATTCGTTCAAGGATGATGTCTTTAGTAGCATCAATTGTAAGTTGATCAAATCGACGAGAAATCATAAGTCTCATTGGTGCAGATGTATTAGAAAGTGCTTTAACTACCCCGACTGGTTTTAATTGATATGGATTGAATTCTGTTCCATTTCCTTTTTTGAAATACACTCCGTTGTTTCCATTTTCATCAGTTGTTGTATTTACCCAGACAGCAAAGCCATTGTAGACATTTGCACGATCTGGACAAACTTCTTCTGTATAAAAGAACCATAATCCAGTTCCTTTATCTTCACTTGATGAAGTTGCTTTGATTTCAACTTCAGCAGTCCATTCTTTGAATAGTGTTGGGACTCTTTGGCAGATGCTTCCGAATGAAGATGGTATATCACTTGTTAAGCGAATTGCATTTTTCAAAATTAACGCAGTACCTCTTGTAGTCCAATTTCCGATTGTATTTACATCTGTAGCCTCAAATGGTGGAACTAGATTATAAGCAGGTTGAGGCTCCTGCATTGAAAGATAAGTAAAGAAAGGAAGCATAGAAAAAAATTTTTTAGTCTGAAATTGGCTCTGTAATTTCATGGTGTAAATAATCAGATCTATAAAGCTATGTTATTTCACTATATGTTTTGTGGGCAAAAGGTTAATGGATATCACAAATTGACCTCAATCTCTTGAATGATGTATTGTAACTTACAATAAGTCTATCCCACCTCAATATATAGCTCGCAAAGAACTATTGCATTATATTTTGATACTTCAAAGAAAAACTTCATAAATAAGAAGATTGCACTGATGATTTACTTGTTGATTTGATTCATGCTTCTAGTCAAATCATTAAAATTTGTTTAATTTCTTTGAAAGATGAGTACTCGATCCAATTCATCTTTGAAATATGTCATACGCTAATAATTATAGTTAAATAATGTGCAAAATAATGTAGTTTTGTAAAGCTCCTGTTGAAATATATAAAATCCGAATTAAAAAATTATATGTAACGAAGATTTCGCTTTTGGCATAATAAAACAACAAATTTTATGATAACACAAATGTAGATGGTACAATTTTGCATTGAAACGTTCTGAATTTTGTTAAATATAAATCAGATTTTCAAAATCCGTATATTATTTCTTATCATTAGGATTAATTTCTATTTTAACATCTTTCTTATCGTCTGGTTTGGTATCTGCTTTTGTTTCTGGTTTTGCATCTGCTTTGGCGTCAGGTTTTACATCTTTCTTTTCCAAAGTCTCTGTTAAAGTAGCATTATCTTCTGGCATATTAATACCAGTCGAATCTTTAAGTTCATCTAATATATCCTGTGCTTCTTTAATATCTTTTTTCAAAGAATCCACATTAAAGCGAGATTCTGCAACAAGTTTTACTAAAAGTTCAAGTCTTCTCTTTAAACTCATATTTTCTGCTACAACTGGATGAACACGATTTTCAAAATCTTTTAGATCTGTTACATCATTCCAAAGCGAGCTTTGATAGACTAATTTATTTCCTGTGTATGCTGCTTGTATTGTAGGGCTAGGTTGACCCCTCCTGACTCTTTGCTCTGGTTCTTCTTCATCCATTCGTTTTTTAATTTTTTTTTATTGCACTGAAAAATAAGATAACAAGGATATTACATGATATGCTTATATTAGACATCCTCTTTAATTTTTAAGAAAAGAATCCATGGATGATCAATAGACCTTGATTATTGATTCAATCGCTGCCAAAATAATGTTATTGCGGATTATCAATCTTCTCTCTTTCATTTATAATCTGGTCAAATGACTTAATATCCTTAAATTTTAATCATTGAAGAAATTCGATTTCAATTTCAAAAAACTACTGATGAATAGATAGGTTTAGTAAAATAAAATATACAAGTATATGTTAAAATAGATGAATTTGGTAGTTTTTCTGTGTTACAAGAAAAAATTACCAAGATGAAAGCAATTTTGCTCGGCTTACGAACTTCTTAGGTTCTTTGTAAGAAGTACTTATATCTGAAATAATTGTTTGGATATGAGTTAATCCATTCTTTGTTTGGTCTCTAATTCTTTTTGAAATCTTCTTTTGCTGTTTCTTGATTGAACTGACAAACGCGTCCCTTTCTTTGGAATCATTGAAAAGTAGTTCGTATATATTTACATCTGTGCGGAGATGACACGCTTTCTCAGCATAAGTTTGAAATGCTGTTGCTTGAAATTTTATCGAAGTAATAGGAATACAATCTTCATATATGAACTTTGTTGTATACATTCCTGTTTTCACCTTTTGGACAAGCAGAAGAATGTCATTAAAGAGGTAAGAGCATCCTCTTTCTGTCTCACGTCCTGTATTATGATCAAGATACGTGAGTTTGTATTTTCCTACAAATTTTCTTCCAGCTCTCATAATTTGTAAGTATGATGGAGCCTTTGAAACAGTTTCTGAGATCTGATATAATATATCTTGGTTTGCATCATCAGATTTTGCTTTATTCATTTCAGATCCGAGACCAAGTAACTGTTCAAGCAATTGTTTATATATTTTATGTTCTTCTACCATACTTTCTGGAAAATATTTGAGGGCTCTTTCAAATAAGCACTTGTAAGCTGCAATTCTTTGAAGAGGAAGGATTAGAAAGTCTTCAATTGAGCGACATTTTGCTTTAGGATTGTAAATGCACCTTGAAACAAATTTTTTGAATTTTTTATGCTTACGAAGGCCATCCAAAATGGCATCAGAGTTTTCATTTGTTTGTAAGTATGCTCTATAAAGAGTTTGCATGTGTGGCAAAATTTCCAAAAATTTGTTGGCCAAAGAGATATAGAGTTCAGTTGGAGCAAAATGTCTTCGCATATCTGGGAGTATTTCATCCATATAATTTAAAAGTCCGACTTCATGGCATTCTCTGATTTTATCGATATTTCCAAAAAGAGAAGAAAGAGTTTTTGAATCAATTAATGGTTTCTCAGTATTTATTGAGCTGTCAAGTGGTTTATAGTATATTTCTTTGCAAGTTGTTAAGCCTTCGACATAATTTCGCTCGGTCTGTATTAATTCGATGAAAATAGATCTTCTTTTTGAGTCTTTCATTTCTTTCATTGCCTTGAGCCGTCGTAAAACGAATTTGGTAATGATTCTATAAGCTCTTGTTTCATTCATACTCATCGAATGTTGTCTGAATAAAATTGTAAAGCATTTTTACGAGCCTATTGAAAAAATAAATGCTGCTATTACTATCAATTGTTAAGTGGAAAAGTCAATTTATCATTTTATTCGTTTATGAAAAAATTGAAATAATTATTTGGGAATTCAATGATATCAAAAAGTCGATCATATCATAATTATTATTTTAATCCATATGCAAAGTATATTTAAATGAAAGGATTTTGAGATGTATAATTTTCTCAAATTAAAAATAATTGTGAAGGGATCGATTGAATTTCTTTCTCTCAATTATATTATATCAGTTCTAATTATAGTAAGCTTCTATTTTTGTTTGCATAAAAAATTGACGATATGGGCATTTGGCCGATGTAGGGTCTTTTGAAAAGATTATATCCGCTTTCAAATGAAGTTATAATATTTCCACCAAATATGAGCGTAATACCTAAAAATACAATAGATTGGATGCGAAACTCCAATCAAGTTATTTAGTGCTCTCTAATACTGAAGTTGGATATCAAGTTTTTGAAAAAAGAATCGAAATAATTAATCTCAATTTGAGAAGTTGATAAGATGCAAAATTCAATAATGTCCTATCTATACAAATCAAAACAGTGCTATATAAATCAATTTAATCCTAATAATTTACAAAATACGTAAAAACTCAATAAAAATGGTTTTGGAATATAAATCTCTAGTCATTTGTCTCTACATTAGCGCATTTATATTCATATTTATGCTTGAGGCCATAAATTTCAAAAAAAATGATAACAATAACATTTTCTTTTGGCCTAGTGTTACCTCGAGTGGGCATTTGTAAGTTTATCAAATAGAATAACTAGATGTAACGCCGAACCATTCATAGGCTATTTACCGATTACTTGAAAATCAATTGTCTTTATTAAAAAAAATCCATTAAATTATGTGTTTATATGAATCATTAGACAGTATTGTTTTCTGAAAATTTTACACTTCCCTATCAAAATTGAGAATGATCTCAAAATTAAATTCAGAGCTTTTGTAAAAAAATTTATATTGATTTTATATGTCCCAAGATCAGCAAGCTCAAGTCGCCGACCAGTTAATTGTTGAACAAACACTCCCGACAGATCATGCTCATAATGATCAAGAAGATCCAACGCCAGTTCAATCCCCAGAAAAAAAGGGAGATTTTGAGAAATTTGATGCTGAAGAAGAGCAAGAAAATGAAGGTTATTTTGGTACTATCATGAACCTATTAAACTCCATCCTCGGCATAGAAATTCTTGCAGGGCCTTTCGCTTTTCGACCAACAGGATTAATTCCATCACTCTTTCTATTAGGTATAATGGGTGCTTTATCAAACATTGCTACATCTATGTTAATCAAGCTTGAGAAATTATCCGATTCAAAAAGTTTAGATGACTTATCTTTCGCAGTCCTTGGTGGCACTGGCCAAACAATCGTTTCAATACTCACATTGATCTTCTGCATCACATGCAATCTCGCTTACCTCATTATTGCTGTCAATAACATTGTTTTATGGTTTTCCAAAGTTTTGAACCTCGCAGAACCACTTTGGAGGCGATCAGTAACAGCTTTGATATACTCTCTCCTTCTACCTGTCCCTCTTTCATTCCCTAAGTCAATTCGATTTTTATCGTATTTATCAACTTTCACAATTTTACTTATGCTCTTCTACTTTGGATCATTTATTGCTCAGGGCATCATTTATTTCGCGATTAACAAGAACAAAGCTGCAAATACTTTTTCATTGGGAAGATTAGGCGATGGAATCAATGTTTTCCAGTCAATCTCACTTTTGAGTTTAGGCTTTACCCTTCCACTTACTTCGCTTCCAATTTTAGAGAAATTTAACAAAGAAGTCAAACCAAGAAGAATTTCTCTATTTATTACAACAATACTCGCGTTTATTATAATTGCTATACCTAGTGGACTCGGATACGCTATGTTTGGTGATGATACGAAGCAGATTATTTTGGATAATTTTGATAATGATAAATTATTCATAGCTGTTGGTGCTTCTTTCTTCATTGCAACAACATTTTCGTATCCATGCCTCAATAGACAGATCCTTTCATCATGGTCAGCCATTATTTACAGTGAAGGAGACCCATTTAAACTTGATAAGTGCAAATATGCTGCAATTCAGTTTATTTCACACGTATTCCCTGTTGCTCTTGTTATGGTTGTCCCTAGATCAGGTCCTGTCCTCCAAATTTGTGGTGCAATCGGTGGATGTATCGTAGATTTCTCAATTCCTGCTCTTCTTTGGCTTGTTGGCAAGCGACCATCATGGAAACAATGGGATTTATACGCATGCATCCTTCTCTTCTTATTTGGACTTGTTTCTTGTGGAATTAGCTTGTATTTCGGTATCAACGACATAATTGAAGAAGTTAAAGGTACACCGAAGAAATAATAGCATATACCATGAATATAAATATTGTTTTTTGTAAATAAAAGATTATTTCTTTCTAAAATTTACATTTTTTAGATTTATCTATAACAATTTCATCAAATTCTGCTATTATTTTAGTCATATGAGACATTCATTGTAATCATCCACAAGTCAGAGCTAAAATAGAACTCAAATTAAATTTGGACCATAATTATTAGACATACTTAAAGATTTATTTATTTGTACAATAGACAAAATAATATGCATACACTATTTATGCGCTTTATTTGTTATCTTTCAGTAATTCAATAATATTATTGTCGAAAATAGTTAATAAAATGTGTTTATTTGTGAGAATTAGGAGTTCTTAACACCATGAAGCAAGTTTCTTATGAAACAACCATATTGATTTTATTACTGAATCAAATCTTTATTTGATTCTCTTCAAGCAGCTTCGGCATACACATGATTCCAAAACTCTTCAGTTCCTCAACCAAATGACTCAACTTCTTCGAATGATGATAAAAATTCTCATTCAATTCAAGATCCTAAATTGATATTTATTATCCAATTGAAAGATAACATTGGGAAAACACGACAAGTCAAGTCTTTATAAAATGTTGTCTGCAAATCAAAATTCTGAAAGATCAACAATCGTATCATTTTGGACAGCATGTATTTCTAAAATTCTCAAGAAAGTATGCCGTTTGCCGTGAGACTAAAATAATATGGAAAGGGAGAACTTCTAACTTTCTGATATTCTCTCACTTTTGTTATCAGAACTCGGAAAAAATTATTTATCCATTTCTACACTATTTTGATTGATCCCGTCATGCGGGGATATGTTGTTATTTTCATCTTTGATATTTATTTGTATTCCTTTGGAAATTAAATAATTATTTATTCCAATTCTATCCTCCTCAATCGCCCGCTGAATAGCAAAGTCAGCGTTGACAGAACTATTTTCAAAATGTATTGGATAACTCGAATTTAGTATTTTTATTATATCAATTACATCAATTTCTGCACCATGTGAAAAAAGAAATTCTTCTATTTCTGTACATCTATAAGCCAAAGCAACATGAAGAGGAGTATGTTTATCATTATCTATTGCATTAATATCTGCCCCATATGAAATCAATAATTCTACTGAATGTATTCGATTATCCAAAACTGCAGTATGTAGAGAAGTATTTCCATGATGTTTATAATTGATATCTGCACCATGAGAAATAAAATATTCATATAGAGATGGAATTGAATATTTTGATAAATGATAAAATACTTCATTGATATCTTTGTATTGATCCAAATAAATTAAAGCTGCTTGGATATTATTATATCTGATACAATCCGATAATTCAATGCTCAAATCATATTCATTCATCAAAAAAGTAACAAAATCAATATTATGTGAAATTATAGCAAACTACATATATCTTTGATATATATCGAGTATTGTTATTTCTTTCAAGCATTCATTAATGATGAATTGATTTCCGCCTAAAAATGATACAATAAGACATTCTTCAGTGATCTTTGAGTGGAATTTTGTTCGTAAAAACTTAAAACATTTTTCTGCACCATAATAGCAGCATAATCTAAGCAATGAATATCCATCAAATTGATCCAACCAATAAAATAAATTATTAATTATCTCCATATTTTGATCAAATCCTTCCTCTTCTGTATGTGATATAAAAGATTTGACATCATCATTCATTATTGCTCCGTAAATCGTATTTTCTGGATATAGAAATAGTTGATAGTCTAAAATATATAAATAGGAATCACTATCTTCTTCTGGTTCAAATTCTTCGAAATCAGAATTAGTTTCGTCTAAAATAATTACATATTTTTTGAAAAACAAGTAGTTCATTAATCCTAAAATATTTCTGACGTTTTTAGGGTGAATTTGATCATATAAGTGTTTGAGAATTGCTAAATAAGAATTAAGATTTCGATTATTTGCTAAAATGCACTTATTAATTTCATAAACGATATCTTCAAATGAAAATATTTTAGTATCGATCAATGTTTCTTTGATCAAGTTTGAAAAGCCTGAAATTTCTTCTTCGTTTTTTGTTTTCAGCTTGTACAAATCATCAAATAATTTAATATAGACATTAAGTTGTTCAAAAAGCTCGGAATACATGACGTTTGAAGAATATGATGCCATTAATTTGTAATAAAGACACTTTTTGAATAACTGTCAGATTTTAACAAAATGTTGGTAAAATAACTCGTAATTTCATAAAAAATATAAATTACATATTTTATTTGAAAATTATCAAAAACCAAATTTTTAGCAACTTTTGTTAATTGATGTTTGCACCATGAGATATAAAGACTTCAGCGGTTTTTGAATTATTGAAAAATGCAGCATGCAAAAGAGCGGTCAATTCATCTTTTTTAATGCATTAACTTTGGGGCAATGCCAAATAAGATGCTTGCAAATGTCTTTATTATTTTTCTCTGCTCCATAATAAAGAGCTGTTTTGCCATAATTGATATTTTTGTCATTGATATTTGCTAATGACAACAACTTCTAGCATATTATTCTCTGTTGAATAATGAAGAGCCGATTTTCCGCTCTTATCTTTTTCATTAATATCAGCATCATGTGATGTGCGATAACATTTTTATTGGCGATCTTGATTTTTTGAAGTTTTCCAGTTCTTATCTCTTACATTTTAATCATAAAAGTATTTGTGTGCACATATAATATTGATCTCTGCTTTACTGATGAGAAAATTCTCGATTATATTAATATCATGCAAATTATTCCTTCGCTTGATAAAAATATGAAAGAAATGTCATTTTGGTGGTTGCGTGATAACCAAATTCCTGCTTTAAAAATAATTTTCTAATACTTTGGGAAGATTACGATTTGAAGATAATAAGCTGCTAATCGTATAATTTCATCTGCTACTATCATTCGATTTGTTTGATTATATTTTTGGAACTGAGAATCAAAAACTATCTGTGTGATTTACTGATTGCGCCATGAGAAATAAGAAGTTGTATGATTTCTTTATTATGAAATGACTTAGCATAATCAAGAGCTGTATTATTATTTGAGTCAATGTCATTTATTGAGGCATCGTGTGAAAGAAGCAGCTCGACAATATCTTTGCTCTTATTTGTTGCTGCAATATGTAGAGGTGTTTTTTTGAATGAATTCTTCGAATTTACATCTGCGCCAAATGAAATTAGAAGCTCTGCAAGATCTTTTGTCTCTTTTTTAGCCGCATAATGAAGTGCTGTGTTTCGCTGTTTGTCTTTTGCATTGACTCGAATACCTTTGGAAAGAAGGAATTTACACATTTCTATATGATCATTATTCACGGCGTAGTGGAGAGCAGTCCACATGTACTCATCACGACTATTGATATTTAATCTGTTCGAAATGAGAACTTTTGCTGTTTCTATTCCATTGGATTCTGCTGCAAGGTGAAGAGCTGTCTTTTTGTAATCGCCAATCCCCGTGATTACATCAGCTCCATGAGAAAGAAGAAGAGCTACAATTTCAAAATGATTCTTTACTACTGCATAATGGAGTGGCATTTTCTGGGTGAGTTTTTCTTTTTCATTAACATTTGCACCATGTGAAAGAAGTAATTTTGTCATTTCTTTACAATTATTTTCTGCTGCATAATGAAGAGATGTTTTCCCTTCTTCTGTGACGGCATCAGCCATTGCTCCATTTGAAAGAAGTAAGTTTCCTATTTCTGTATAATTCCTCTCAGAAGCTAAATGAAGTGATGTTATTCCTTTATCCATTTTGACATTAACATTTGCGCCATGGGAAATAAGAACTAACAGTGATTCTTTACAGTTCTTCTCGGCAGCAAAATGGAGAGCAGTTTTGTTTTTTAAATCAATCGCATTGATATCGGCTCCATGAGAAAGGAAAAATTCGACTATTTCATGATTGTTTTTTATAGCAGCAATATGGAGAGCTGTTAATCCATATTTGTTCTTATGATTGATATCTATACCATGAGAAAGAAGTAGTGTCGGTATTTCTTTGTTAGTGTATCTAGCTATATAATGAAGACAATTTGAGTTATCCATATCTGTGACTTTTATATTAGCTCCATGAGATATAAGAATTTTTGCAATTTCAGGATTATTATATATGGTTGTTACAATAAGTGGGGTTCTATTCCCATTTCCACTTGCTTCTATATCTATTTTTATTCCGTTTGATGGGTCTAATAAATAGTTACAAAGTTCTATATTGTGATAATAGGCTGCATAATGAAGGACGGTCCAATCTTTGTAATCTTTTTTACTAAAATCAAGATCTTTGTCTTTCAATAATTCAGTGGCTTGTGAAAGGCCTGCAACAAATGGAATAATCGAGTTCTTATCTTTCTTGTATAAAAGAAAAGCTGCTTTCAAATTTTGTGAGACAATAATGTCTTTTATACAATCTGTTTTGATCTGAATTAGATCATTCTGTAAAACATACTCAAGGAACTTATTGTTGTAAGATCCAATAGCATTTGCAATGCATTGATCATCGACTTTACAAAATTTTAAGCACTTGTTTGTAATATCTGTGTTTCCACCGATTACGGAATTTTGGAGACATTTAGGAGTGATCTTTTTATTGAAATTCTCATGAAGGAAGTAAAAAATGTTAACAGAACCAAAATAACAGCATGCTTCAAGAATCGTAAATTTTTCCACAGAAATTAAATTCTCAAAATCATTTGGAAGAGAATTTTCAGATACATAATTCTTGAAAGCATCAATTTTATCGTGCATTATCATATAATATATGCTACTCTCTTCTGGATATGCTTGTAATAAATCGAATTGTACAAGATCATCATTATGTTGCTTAACTTCTATTGGACATGGTATAAATATTGGATAGGTGCTCATACATGTTGAATTTATTGAAAATTTCGCTAAAATATTGTTGACGATTTTAATGTAAATGAAGATAGACCGATAATTATACTTGGCAGCGCACAATATGATGTTGATGATTTTGAATATTGGCTCATTATATTTGTCAATCAATATATTTGTAAGATTATTCAAACAATCATTTGAATTTTCGCTCGTTTTCATGTGAAAGAACCTCTCTAATGTCCCTATGAACTCCTCATATTGTTTGAGGAAGTCATTATTCATTTAGGAGGATAGGAAAATTCAAATGGGTTTACTAAAAAATTGAATGGTTCTTTTGACTGATTTGAAAATAGATAAGAGTTTTGGTATTAGAAAACATTGCTTACTTTAAGTAAAAATAACGTGTTGATATATGAAAGCTGTTGTGACGATTATTTTCCTCTCTAATTTTTGAATATAAATAAAATATATATGTTGAGTTCCAAACAATCACGAAATTATGTTGCAAACTCTCTAACGACTAAAATAATGATAAAAATTAAGTTCTGAAAAGCTATATCAAAATGTAAAGACCTTCAAATTCTAACATGCTTAATAATAAGAGGAAAAAGTCTGGATAGAAACTTATTTAATATCCTCTCGATAATGAAAATAAACGATGTTTTCTGCAAGTTCTCAAACTGTTATCAAGCTTTGATGAGTTTGGACGAGCAAGTCTCATTCTTGAAAATAACGCTTTGTATAACAGCAAGAGCATGTGTTGATCGTGAGCCATATTCTCTAATAAATTTTTGGAAGAAAATGGAAAATTAATTTCTCAAAGCAAGAATATTGAATAATTCAATTGATTATTTGTTAAGAAGTCAGAATAGCTTGTTTAACACCTTCAGTTCGTTAAAAATCCGAGAGAAATTTGTCTGAAATAATCAAAATTAATTAGATTCAAGATTTTAATAAAATATATGGTAACACATCAAAAAAGAAACTAGATTTTAATATAAAACAATGGAAGAAAGATATTCAACGAGAAGATTTCAATAGCTATTCAATTCTGCTATTTATCATTATTGTATTGCCAACATGTAATAAGAAGTTGAAAATTGGGATTTTAGATAATTGAGAACTCATTCAATCTTCTTAAAAATCTGATTTTTTTCTGATCTTAACACTTTTTTCAAAGCAAATTCAATTTAATTCGCACTTTAAAAATAATAATTGCAAATGTTATATCAAAAAAAATTAAAGCGAAAAAAATTTTGACTAGACTACATGAATCTTATGCTGTGCTTTAGCAATCCTTCATCCAATCTGTAAGATGACATTAAACCAGCAGAATTATTTTACTGAAACTGTGAGAATAAGAAAAACCCGAGTTCTTTCACACCAAATTTAGATTTGAATAATAGTTGATTTAAACGCTTAATGGACTTCAAAATGAGAATGAACATTGCGTATTTCAATTCAAAATAAGGTATTATTTTCAGAGAATGTTGTCTGTAAATTAATCCATTAGAATAGATATTATGTTATTCAATAATTATATGACAACAGCAAAACTGAGATCCAAATTATCTACACGAATAGTATAATCCAATATTTGTTGTACAGATCTGCCTGATATGAAATGTTGTTGGTCATTTTGATATAGACATTCTAATATATTGCATTAAAAGCAATGAATATGTTTTCGAACTAGTTTTAAAAATCGATTTTGAAAAAATAATAATAATTTTATAAATAATAACTCTATTCTTTATTTTTCTTTGACTGTGGGCATGGAGTATAGTTATCCCAAATGCCTTCGCCATTTTCTGGAAGTGCATCCCAATCTGCTTCACTTGAATCTTCATTTGGAAGCTCATCATTGCGTAAAACGAAGCATGTTGGCATAACCTTTGTATATGCAACCTTTGCAGCTTCTTTAAGTGTCTTTGATGTATCAAATAAATGAATTGTTCGAGAGCAGCATAATGAAGCAACAATTGGAGCGCTAGGATGCTTGGCAAGGTCAACAATACCACCAGTCATGCCGTAGAATGATCTGTCAACTTTAACATTTGTAATTTTATCTTTTTCTTCGTCGTATTCAACATGTCCATAGCGGAATTGGCCGGATGTGTCTCCAAAAGCAAATATATTATCGCCAAAGTTCCTCATAACAATTGCCGGGAACTCTTCGAAAACTTTAGCGCGAACAATGGGTTCACTGCCAGCACGAAGGTCATAAACAAGAACTCCACCTTGTGCTTGGCCAACAAGGAACATTTTATCATTGTAAAACTCAATAGAAGAATCATCATCTTTTAATGGAATTCCTAGCTCATCATTTGGTGGTGGGGCTGATGTCCAGATGTCTTTCTGTTGCTCAACATCGTAAACAACGCATCTGTCATTAATTCTGCCGTAAGCTGCAAGATTTTCGAAAGAATTAGCGCATGATGCTTTGATTGTATCAAATTTAGTAATAACTTTCTCTTCATTGAATACTGCAACATATCCGTTGAAGCATCCAACGAGTTTGTCTTGATATCCATGTAATGAAAATGATTTTGCTTGTTCTCCGATGTCTAAAATAGATTTTCTTGTGTTATTTTGGAATTCGAAGAATGATGCTTTACCTGAATCGTGAATGACTGCTGCTTCATCTGGATTAATCATGTAAAGTCCTCCAATTCTCCAGTTTTTGTCTGAAATTTCATCATCACTGCCGCCAATAGTGCAAATAACTTTATTCTCCCATACATTAATTACGCGAACTTTACCATATGCGTCAGTAACAATCGCGTGCATAATTTTTGGACACTTTTTTTTGGAGGCACTTTCAAAAAATTTATAATTTTAAGAATAATATATAATACATTTTTATGTATAGATTTCAAACAAATGTTTGATTTTGCTCAAACTCCAAAAATCTTGTGGATTTTTCTTGAATTCAATTGTTATTGTAACTTTATAAGTTGGTTTCACCAAAACATAGTGATTCATAAAGTATTTGCCCATAAACTCTGATTAGTTCATAGATATATTTTTCTGTTATTTGGAGTTATATTATGAGTCATAATAAACTTAATTCTAGAGAAACCACTGATAGATATGGCATTGCATTATAGCTCAAATCATTAAAGATTACCTTAATAAAAAATATAAAATAAAGGTGACCAAACTATTTTTTGAAAGTCCGCCATAACTTTAATGGTACTATTTCAGCGTGTACAATGAATACAAAAATTCTAAGAGTGCCACATAAAATAGTACTTTAGACTTGAGTTAATGCTACCAAGCAAATGTTAAAAAGATGACTTTAGTGTTTTGATAATCAAAGATTAAAATCATTATTGTCTAAATCAATAATCATAACGACAGAAGTTAATGTTTTTTCATAAGTGCTTTAAATCCACTTTAAAGTATACCTCAAAAATCAAAATATCAAAAAAATTGGCCGATAGGTTTGGCTTTAATTTTGTCTGCTTTATGATTTGATATGATGTTTAATTTTAAAAGTTAGCCAAATTCACCAATAGATTTTTGAGATTTGCAAATACTCAATATTTTCAGCGTTTATTTTATTAAAACTATTGGTGTATATATAAATTGATATTTACTTTCTATTTGAACCTTCATTTAGCTAATGATTAATAATACAGATTCATCTAGTCCTTATAAGAGAATTTTGAATTTGTATAATAAAAAAACAAACAGATATAGCTTACACTTCTATAATAAAGATACCTTTTATAGAAATCAGTATGAAATGTGTTTTGGCTTATTGGAAGCATATCAGACATAATCGCCATAATCAAAAAATCTATATACCCAATAAGTAATAAATTTGTCGATATAGATTTTCCATAAAATTAGTTTTTAGTCTGATCTTAAAATAAATTTAATTTTTTATAAAAAAAATCACATTTAAAAGTACCTTTTTAGTAGCTCGAAATCCTGTTGGTGGATTTCGGGCGTACTTCAAAATTAGCTTTTCTTCTACATATGCAAGCTATATTTTAAATATGGAGCAAATCGGATCGGCGAAAGGAGTTTAGTTACCTTTATATAAAATAAAAACGTTAATGAAAAAAATTGTATATCACAGACTAAAGCATCAGAATCCTAAACAATGCGCAAAGTTAGATCCGGTATTATTTAAGATTAACAGAAATTTTCAAAAAACCTTTCAAAAGAATGAGAGGAGATTCATATGTAGTGAACAAAAAGTAAGCATTTAAATTCGAATTTACTGATGCATTAGTGAAGAAAGATTTTTGTTAATTGATTTGAAAATCAAATCTTTAAATCGTGTTTGTATCATCGTTGTCATTTTCGCTTGGCAAGCCTAACCGATTCTTGCACATATTACCGCAGCGAAGTCTTTTTTCGACGGTCAATCTTCCACGGGTTCCTTCCATGCAGGATTTAACGCATGTGAGCTGGTTGTCATCCATAAAGCCAAATCCGTTGTGTGATCTACGTGGGTAGTAACGGAACATTAACACACAAGCGAGGAGAAGTAAGAACATTTTAAGATATTGTCAAATTGACACTAAAATCTTGTCAAATTTGACAATTCTCAAAAACGAATCTATTTCTATAAAACAGATTCAAAAATGAGATTCTTGATAGAAATATGTTGTTTTTCCAAATTTTCTCTTTTATCTTATTTTGAAATTTTTTCATTATTCTAGGAAACATTGATTTAGAACCTATCAGTACAAATGAATATTTGTCCAAACAGGTAAATTCATATCATGTACCCTTTGTGCAGATTATGCTCAACTTTTAATAACGAATTGAATGAAAATTTGTTCTTTTGGAGCATTTGAAGCCAAAATTACTTATGTAAACATTATTTTCTCAATTTCATATAATTTATCACATCTCATGCACTAGCAATTCGAATTGATCATAAATTAATCAGATTGAATTTGAATAAAGATAGGATCTATGCTCTTTGAGATAAAAGCCATGATATACCAGTAAACTTAATGAATCAATTGGAATTCAACTCAAGAATATAAAATTTAGATCATTTATAAAATATTAGAGTGAATTCTTTCATGATAAAGTGTAACAGTAATTGTAGTGCAAAATCATAAAGAAATAATGTTCAAAAATTGGAAAAAGCACTGGAATTTAAAAATTGTAAAAATATTGAACTGAACATAAAGAAAATATGTATTTATACAATTGTATTCGATAAGATAGAATATTTGTAAACAAAAAAATCAGAAAAAAAATTAATTATTATCATTTTCGCTATAACCAGTACTTTGAAGTGCCAATTTGAAATCTACTGGTACAAATGGTGTTATTGGAGGTGTAATCTGTTCTTTGACGACACTCTCTCCTTCGCCAATTGTTTCACAGTCGATACTCAAAATGAATGGCTTCAAAATACCGTGTTGGACCAAGACATTTGCTGTCTGGGGTTCACTTTCAAGTAGGAAAACGGCGTAAGAAGAATTCTCTTCCACGGTAAATGGAACTCCAAACGGTTTGCATTCGATTGCCTGGTTTTCTTTACCGACGAAACTGACCTCTATGATCTTTACTTCTGAATGTGCCTGGAGAGAACTTATCAATTCGGCAGATTTAGTTTCTGGATTGTAAATAACTTTCAATTCAAGGATATCCATAACAGTAAAGTCAGCAGAGGCCTTTACTCCGTTAGCTTCGACATGTAATGTTCCGCTATGTTGAGCCAAAATTGGCAAAATCATTGTATGTCTTCCAACAGGGACATTTTCGAATGTTAGACCTGTTGTCGGCTCAATCATACCTCCATCTTGCAATCTAAGACGCGCTGTATGCGAAATAAGGCCTGAAACTGTCAATGCCAAGTTTGGAATTGTTGCATTTGCAGTTACAATGATTTGCGCGTGCTGGGTTCTGTTGGGGAGGAGGTATTCTGGCATATCGATCGCCAGTTCAACGTCTTTTGGCGATGGATTTGCAATAAGAATGATATCATTAGGAGGAAAAGAGATAATGATCTGTAAATCTTTGCTGCGGAAACCAACAACTTGAGGAGTATTGAATGCTTCATGGAATGCTCCCGTAAGTCGTAGTTTTGCACCGTCATATAAAACTGCTTCTTTGCAGGTGAACCAATTATAGACAATTTTGTTCTCCATGTGATGGTCGTGTCTCACGTTATCGAATCCGATGCAGAAAAGCTCGACAGGAAGCTTTCCTGGGAAATCCCAGTTTATTTTCGCTTTTATTTTACCGTATTTACCAATAGTAAACGGTTTGTAGTCAAGACTGATTTTTATTGGGAGGGATGTGTTTAAATAAATGGTCGGACCTTTGTATCCAGTCAAATTTTCTTCCAAAATGGAAAAAGCAAGGTCGTAGTACTTCGTAGCCTTCGCAGCTAAAAAGTTGAACGCACAATTAAGCTGTAAATCCTTTGGAAGCTCTGACATCTGTTCTTTTGTAATATCAGGTAGTAAATTGTAGTACCCGTACTTAACAAACGTAGAAATCGCTGTTTGGAAGAGTTGCATTTTATCTTTCGTTAATTTTAGAAGCTCAAAACATGCCAAAGCCTGAATACGAAATAGTGCCAAATTATTTGCGACATTTATCAGAGTAGTAAGTTTCGAAATTACTTCTTTGATGTAAGAGTCTTGGGATTCGACGATTCTTGATATAACTAAGAAGCTATTACTGACTTTTGTTTTTTCTGATGATTTTACAATATTAAACAGGGTCTCTAACTCTCGGAGATACCAGTTTGTCGTGGAAATCATGAACTTGCTGAGCTCCCCGCCTTCATCTGACTTACAAACCGCAATAATATTTGTCAATGCCTGGCAAAGCCAATAATGGAAGGCAGGTTCAGGTGCGTTATAGAAAGCATCACCGCTATTGGCACATCCGTTGATGTAAACAAGGAAATCCAGGGCTTTTTTCACGCATGAATCGGTTCTTCTCAAATGTTTGAGGTTTTGGATTTCCCTCTTGAAAAGTACGTATAGGATATCGTAATGTCCGGCCATGGATTCGACAATTGCTTTTTCATAGTCTTCGATTTGAGTTGTAAAGTCGAAAGGATAGGAAAATGACTTGTCTGAGAAGAAGGATTTGAAGAATTTAGGTGAATTTTGAATAACTTCAAAACTCATTTGAGAAAATTCGATTGTTCGATTATAAAGAGTTGCTTGTTGATAAAGAAGTGATAGATTTACGTAGGTACGGATTGTATCGACACTATCGATTTGTCTGATGTTATCTTTGAGGAAATTAATTCGATCTTGATAAGAATTTCGAATTTCATCGGTAACGGCTGCCCAAACTTTCGCCATTTCTTCTTTTGGAATTCCTTCGGATGAATAAAGTACTGTCATGAGTTTTGGAATCTCTTCATTAAGAAGTTGATAAAAACTGTTGAAACCGCTGAAAATATTCTTTGATTTTGTAATTTTTGGATCATTAATAAACACAACAAGTGGATGAATATATAATTTTGTATTTTGACGCAGCCATGATCTAATTTCTTGCTGGAATTTCGAAACGTAGATCTGTCTTGATGCGCAACTGAATACATAAAGTAATGCATGTGGTGCCTGTGTAATTTCATCAAGGCTTAAATTTTTATCGCGTGGCACATACTCAGGATCTAATTGTGCAGCGAGATTGACACCGTCATCAAATGTACCTGCGAGATTTTTCGGAGCATTTTGTCGAAAGGACTTGAAGAATAGCTCGTAATCATCATTATTTGCTTTAATGACAATCTTAGGTCTCAACATGATGAATAAAAAAATTGACAATATTTTCAGGGGGAATTGAAAAATAAACACTGGGGATTCATATTGTAAAAACATCTTTTATAATCTATACTATATGGTAGTTAATATTTTCATAAAAAATTCAATTTTTATTTTGGCAGTATTAAAAGTGACAATAGAAGTGCTTCAACCATAAAGCAAGCAATATTGGACTTATATTTTAACTATAAATTTGTTGATTGCAATATGGGTTTCACACGTTGTGAAATGTTCCAGTTCGAAGATTTTTCTGATTATTATATTTGATTTTGATTAGACTATGTGTTTAATAAAAAGAAAGATACAATATTTTGTGTTTTCAAAAATAAAATTGTTTGATACATTTGAAAATTACGTATTAATATTATATAGCAATTTTTGATGAATCTATGAAAAAATACTGAAAAAACAAAATTTCAATAAAATAAAAATTAAGCTCATATTATTTAGGATTTTATAGTCTATTAGATTTCTTTAAACAAAACATAGATAATTCTCTTCACAAATTAAATAATTGATATCAAAATGGGCAAAGGTATGAAATTTTCATCCCTCGTTATTCTTATATATGCTATCACATTCATCTAAGCATATTCATATATCCAAAAGTCTGTTATAGCATTATACATATCCAAAATATTGTACCTAGAGCAAATACTATATAAACATAGAGCTATCTGATTTTATATTTGTTTTATAATACTCAAGAGTAATTAATTATCGTTTGTAATGCATGGAATTGGTTTATAATGAAGAAAATTGTATAAATAATGTTATTTAATAAAAATAAACAGAACCAACAGTCGAAAAACAATAAGTTCCGCAAAGTAATATAAATATTTAGGAATTTTGAAGAAAAATAAAAATTATTTGATTTTATAATATAAGTTAGGGGTTAAATATCTTAAGTGTTATATTAACCATTATGTATTAAATATAATAAACCACTTCAAAGGCAGGCAGCACCTTCATAAGGCAGAATTTCATTCAAAATTACATAATTGGTCCAATGTGTCATAACGAATAACCGTCGGGAAATTACCATTGAATTTTTTGTTCTACTCATTATCCTGATTTTAAATAACTTAATTTGCAAAACATGTGTCAGAATGGTTTCTATGAGTTTTCTCTAAGGGTTTCGTTTTGCGAAAAAAACGTACAATACGCAATTTCGCTAAAAAAACATTTAGCTAGCAATTTCGACCTTTGACTCCACTCAAGACGTCACTTTTTTAATTTTGCGGTATCATATTTTTGGAAAATCTTTATGAATATTATATAAAAAGTCTCTTTAATATCTATATTTCATATTTTTATCGATTTTTAAAGTTTTTGCGAAAAGTATTCAATTATTTTTGCTATTTGGTCGGGTAAATGTCAGATTTGCGACATTTTCTGATATGATATTCAGATTCTACGTTGATAATAATGCTTATAGAACCCTCTTGCTATTGTGTCAAAATTGCGAAACCGATAGCAAAAATATCTCGCAATATCAAAATTGAGATATTGAGTGAATTATGCATTATAGAGATTAAAAATCTGATTTGTGAAAACATCTCATCAGTTTCTAGCTAATTCAAAAATCTTTACTATCTTATTCGATTAAAATGAAAAGGGAATAGTTTCATTATGCTTTAAATGACAGCCTTATAATATAATCATAGTTTTCGCTCAATATGCAGCATTTTTTTTTCGAAATCTATGGTCAATATCCTAAATACTGATTGCTTTGCATTCATATCTCTTACATTTTCTATACCCACATCACTATTCATTGCTATTCCTATCTTTTTCATTTTTGTTTGTTTCTCATAATAGTAGTATATATGATGGGTTGTGTGACTTTTTTTGTAAACGTAAGAATTCATACAATATCGAGCGATTTTGTATCATTTTTTTTAACATATGAAGTAAAAAATGTATGATTCTTACGGTTTTTTATTCTTACATTTTTGAATAAATCAAGATTTAAAAAATTTTCAAAATTGTAAGACATTTACACTCAGCCCATACATAATGAAATAAAAAATAATTTTTTTTAAAAATCATTTTAAAATAATTTATTTTATCTTTTATAAAAGAAGCTATATATAGATGATGTCAGATATTCCGCGATTAATTAAACATTGTTTAAATCCTGAATGGAATCAATGAATTCATAATCAAAGACCTCATAAACGAGAAAAATAAATGAGAAACTAATGATTATTTGAATTTATGAAATCAATTATTTGATTCATTCTTTCTTCAATCTCTTCTATTCTTTTTGTTAAATCATCAATTTTCATTAATGAGGTGATTCTTGATTGGGGAATAGATTTCAAACTAACCACTCCTTTTATTTTTGAAATTTTGAATCCATCAACTTTAAACATTTTATTCAATTTACACGTTGTCAATTCTTCAAATAATTTTTTATTATTGGCATAATAGTCATTAAATTCTTCAACAGATGAAAAAATTTTTGTTTCAGTAATTGGTTTAACAACGTTTATTTTTTGTTGAACATTTTCACTTTCATTTATTTCTTCCTCCCCTGTTTCCTTTATTTTTAAAATCGGTTTCATTTATGATTAAATAAAAATTAGAATATAAGTGATGAAATATATTTTTTAATTAATATTAAATCAAAAATGGCGGCAGGATTCTTTAAAAAATTATGGGATGGAATTAAGAAAGCTGCGGGTTGGGTTTATAAAAAGGTTATTAAACCTGTTGCAAACTTTTTGGCACCAGTAGCGAAAACGGCAGGAACTATCATAGGTGGAGTATTAGGTACTAAAGCAGGTAATCCAGCGATGGGAGCACAAGCGGGTAACGCAATTGGTGGAATTGCTGAAGGAATACTTAATAAAATAGGAGGTAATAGTGGAAAAATAAATATTATTTTTATCTTAGTATCGGTTGTAGTCTTTGATAAACTTTTTCTCCTTTATTTAAAATTTCTCTTATTGGGGCAGCTTTTGGTGTTATTGATTCAGCTACGTCACTAATTGCTTCTTTATTCTTAAATATCCAATTTGCTCCTTCTTCATTGTTTCCCAAACTTTATCGCTCCTCTTTTTACTTTATCCCACAGTTTCTTAAATATACCTGCAGCCATAGTTGATTATTTCATTAAAATTAAAAATTCATTTTCATCTTTTAATTTTGATTTTTTATTAATAAATGACGACTAACTATTTGTGCCAAACACTAAACCGATTAATGGAAATGTGTTTCATTCATTCGAAAAGATAAATGAAATATTCGCAAAGAATGACGGTAGAAGATATTATAGAGAACTTGAAAGTTCATGCTATGACTCTGATGCTCCATATTTTGATGATAAACAAACTCATTTAAGAATTACAAATCCAGCTCATGATGTGAACCAATTAGGTGACACATATATTAAACGCAAAGTTAAAGCAACTCTAGTTTCAAATAAAGCTTTCACATGTGATGCCGCTTTTAAATGCATGCGTTTATTCGTTGGTTACAAATCATCAAATCAAAGCTTTAAACAATTAGAAGTAGAAACCGAAAGAGGTGATGCCGGTTATCTTCAGATGGATTGCGCCCGTGAATCTTTCGCATTTGCAACATATAAACCAAAATCAGAAAGGAAAGTTAAAAAGTTTGTTCATTCGTTATATAATAATGTTCAAAAATATGATAACTCAGTATGTGGTAAATATATTGACCCTTCAGAAGTTTTCAAGAAAGCAAATGAAGAAGTTGATGTCACTTTTGATATGATTATTCCGGTAAATGATTTGTTAGCATTTCAGGCGTTCGATGATTATCCTAAATCATTTGGTGATATCATTCTTAAATATTATGTTTTCAGGGATACTTTAGTATTTTGTCAGGTTGACCCGTTAAGAGTTGCTGATTTACAAAATTACGTTTATGAAAAGATAACTGATGAAAATTATGAAAAGATTATGAATCATGTTTATAAATATGATCGCAAATTCCAACAAATCGGACTTCCTGCCAAATTAATTACAAGCTTAGCCGCTACATCTGCTGACGCAACAGTTGATGACGTTATTATTTCATGCACAAAGATGGAAGTTTTAGAGGATAAATGCATTACACCAGGATACGGTTTAATTGAAGAATCAGTTAAAGCAATACCACGTTTATTCAGTAAGGAAGATCCATTCATGATTCCAGCTCAACATATTGACGTTCGTTCACTAAATGGAGGTTGCATCACTCCTGAAGGTATTAGCTCAGATTTCTCATACGCTCTTCATAATGTTACAGATGTTGTGTTAACATTTCCGAAGAATGCAATGCAAAGAACAGTTTTAGAAAATCCAATGCTTCGAGGTCTTCAGGTCACTATAGATTCCAGAAACTTCCCCGATCAAGCGATGACCACAGTGGGTGACATATTCTTTACACGTATGCTTCAAGCTTCTGATTTAGATGGAGTGAATGAATGCACAGAAGAATACGAGGACTCATTAACTAGACCACTGAATGCAGATGATGGCACGCCATTAGCTAGAACATGGAAAGACCAAACTTCATTCTTATGCACTATTCCAGTTCAACGTGATGGAGCGGGTATATTCTTTGATGGATTAGAAACTTTCAACTCACAAGTTACAGTACAAGTGAAAGCTTATCCAATCATTCAGGGTGAAAATGACACTTACTGTTCAAAGGTGACAAATCCTCCTCAGGTTTGGTTTACTAGGACTACATATTGGACATGGACACCGGATGAAGGTTTGAAATATCATCCAACAGGTACACCACCACAGTATAGAAGTTCATATGATGAAATATTGATGAATAGAAATGTTTAAAATTATAAATTTATTTTTGATTAAATGGATTTAAATTCATCCACCCCTTATGAAGAATTAGCAGGAGTATATAATACATACGTAGATGATATGATTAATGAAGCATTGAGTGATAATAGAAATGCTCTATCTAAGGAAAAATTAATGAAAATTCCATATTCTGAATGTTACTTAAATTCAATCACTGCAGCAATTGGTAAACAAAATAAAGGTAAAACATTAACGATATTAAAACAAATTATCATTATTGCTAACACTTCCCCCTATTCACATGTGTTAATTTATATCAACCGTTCAGGTTCACCTTCAGATGATACATTTGAATCTTTAAAGCATTTAATCAAAATTCCAATTATTTATTTATCACAAGAAGAAGCAGAAGATTATTTAAAAAACTTTTTAATGTATAAAGAATTATATAATACAATCAAGAAGCAAGGATTAGAGGATAAAATTATTGATAAACAACGGGATGAATTATTTGAAACACTTTCTATTTCAAATTTTGATAAGAATTTTTGCATTCACTCATTTTTCTAGATGATGCAGTGAAATCAAAACTAATAACAAATGAGAAATCATATTTTAATCAGTTATTAACTCAATGTCGACACATTCAGTGTTCATTCTTTATGGCTGTTCAATACTTTCAAAGCATTAAGCACAAACATTAAATCAAATCTATCAACCCTTTTCATTTTCAGTGGTTTAGTCGTCAACAGTTGAACGTTATGCTTTATCAAGTGAATTTACCAATGAGCATTAATGAACTTTACACACAATATCAACAATTAGGTGAACATGGAAAAATAATAGTTGATTTAAATAAAGGAGTGTTAAATTTGATTAACTTTTTATAATTAATTTTTATTTTTTATTTATAATTAAACATGACAGAAATAGCAAATCTTCTACAGGTTCCATTAAAACAAGGAACAAACAAAAAGGGTGCATATAATAGAACTATGAAAGTTCCTGATGGAATGAAAGAATTAGTTCATATTGTTGCTGGTCTTCAAAAAGATGTTAAACAAATGAGAAACGTTTTAACATTACCAGAAGCTCAAGCATATGCCAAACGTCATGGTCCAAATTGGGAAGCACACGAAGCAGACATTACGGGTCCAAATGGAAAACCTGATGGTATAAATGAAGTTTTCGTTACTGATGGTCAAGGTAATATTAAAGTCATAAATGGTTATAAATTAACTGTATCTGATTATCCTAAACGTAAAGCATATAATGAACGTTATCCTATGCAATTTGATGAAAATGGAAAAGCTGTTAAACAATACATTGGAGAAGGTGAAAATGGTCCAATTAATTCATACCGTCATAATCCATATTCTTATTTCAATGAAGAATTAAATGCTATTGAAGAGGGACCGGATGGATTACCACGATATGTTAATCAGTTTGATGGTCAATATGCAAATATTAGACCCGAAATTTCAGCTAAGAAATTCTTTAAAGTTGCTTTATTCGATCCAGTGTTCAATGAACAGAAAGAAGCAATGAAAGCAGAATTTAAACCAATTCAAGTGGCAAGAATTTCTTCATCTTCACTTTCAGAAGCGTTCAAGGAATTGATAAAGAAACCACTTTATTCTCAACAAGGTTATAACTTTGATTTAATTAAAGAAAGTGATAGACGTAAATTAGAAAAATCAGATGGTTTTAAGAATGCATGTAATGAAATGATTAAAGATATTGTAAATGATAAAATAAGACTGGAGAAACTCAAATCATTATCAATAACATAATTGGTGCAGTTACAAAGAAAGTATAAGCAAACAAGGATGAACCTTGGGATATTACCGTAACAACTAAATAAAACTTTAAATATATTTTTCTTTTTTTTATTCAATTATAAATGAGAAGACGTTTCACAAGTCAAAAGAACACAAACGCAAAAGCAGAGATTACGGTTGGTTATAACGTAAATGATGATAAATCACGAATTATTCAAAATGTTAAAGTTAATGTTAGTCCTGAATTAACAAGGTCAGCAACTCAACCAAATTTATTAACTCGTGACTTACCGAAGAATGAGGAGAATGAAGAAAACCATGAGAATGGAGACCCAATCATTTTATCTGAACCGGTAAAGAACCCGTTGAAATTCCCACATATCCAACATACCCAGCACCACTTGATAACCCATATAAAATAGACATTAATTCTGAATTAATGAAAATTTACCGTGATATAATAATTAATAATTATGATTCAATAATAAATTTAATTGATCAATCTGGTTTAATTATTTTACCTTATGAATCATTAATTCACATTATCGCCATTCTTTGTGATGTTCAAGATTCAGACGTTAAGATTCAATTTTTCATAGATGATGAGGTTTCATGCTGCGGAACAGTTGCAAAAATAAATCCTATAAAGGATATTAGCACAATTAAGATATCAAAGAATGGAACAACAACTGAACTACATTTAACTTATAATAACATATACAATAAAATAGTTGATGAATATAAAATATCACTTGAAAAATTCTTTGTTAAGGCTATTTAATATTCAAGCATTAACATTATCGAATAATAATCTTTGAATCATAATCAATAATAATTGACCTTTCACCAGTTTCTATCGTTTGTTTTATTTCTTTTTGTTTCCCACTATCTGGATCAGTCATTGTAATTGTTTTTGTTATAGTATCAGCTTTATCTTTAACTTCAATCTTTTTTCCATCAGGATATTTAAACCAAAATTCCAAAAATTCGATATTGTCAATCTGTTCATATTTTAATCTATCAATTACATTTTTAATACCATCTGAAAATCTTATGAAATGGTCATTATATGGGTTTGATTGAACTAAATTTGAATGAAGTGAAATATAACCTGATGATGAATATGACATTGACTCATATTTTCTGAAAACACTAAAATTTATAACATGAATGAATTTCTTATTCGTTGAATTTATGAATTCTTGAGGTAATCTTATTCTAGTTTTATTTATCACTGGAAAATAACGCTTTACCATATTTTTAATTGTAATAAAAATGTCAATTATCAATATTATTTCGAATAATAACTGTGAATTAAATTTAACAGTTAGTGGAATTTATAATGTTACTCTCGTTTCTGTGAGTGGTAAATTTAATCCCATTCTTTTAGACCCTTCAGATTATATATCATTTATTAAAGATGACCATGAAAAAACGTATGATATGTATATAAATAATGTGATAACGAAATGGGATATTAACACGATTTTAAGTTATTTAAATGAATCATTTATCATATGGTATGAAGAAAATTTTAAATCAAAACCCGATAAACTTTTTGAACTTGATGAAAAATAACCTTATTAAATTCCCGCTGAAAATTAAATTTTGTACTCCTCATTTTCGTTCATTGTTGGGGATATTAAATTTTGAAAAAGATGTTGGGGATGTTTTGTATTCTGACACTGGTTCCAATTTCATTTTAATCAAATGTGATAAAGTTAATACCCCAATGAGATTTTCACATCAAACATTAGACCCTAACTCTTACCCATCAATACAAAACATTTTATCCATCAACTTAAACACATTTTCTTTATCATATCCGTTTCAATTATCCGGGAATTCATTTATTCTTCATTCAAAAGATTTATCAAATATTAAATTTAGAATAACTGACCTATTTGATTGTGATTTAGAATTTATGAATGAAATATTATGGCAATTTCAAATAGAAAAAATAGCTGATGAGATAACGGATTAAATATTTATTTTTAAATCATAATAAATGATTAAACAACAGCAACCACAGCAACTTAAGGCGCAAAGCACCCAGGTCCCTCAGACCATTACATACGCCATATATGCATATAATTCAAAGACGGCAGAACAAACGCAAAGGTTGAAATATGGAGATTTGGAGATAGTATTGAAAAATGAACATTTCGAATTCGTTTGCAAAGGTGGTGCAGTGATATCAAATATAAAAGAAATTTTATTTATGAATTCAAAAATTAAAGGAATAACGGATGATATAACATCAATTCCACCAGAAGAACAAAGATATTACGCATTAAATGCATTTCCTAAAGTTTTGAAGATTGGAAGATTTAATTTAAATGAGGAATTCATAAAAGGTTTCCTAAATGACATAATGAAGAAAGCAGATAAGGAATATGTGGCTAGTGAGTTAATGAAGAAAGCAGATAAGGAATATGTGGCTAGTGAGTTAATGAAGAAAGCAGATAAGGAATATGTCAACAGTGAGTTAGAGAAGAAGGCAGATAATGAATATGTGGCTAGTGCGTTAGTGAAGAAGGCAGATAAGGAATATGTTAATGAAAAAGATAATGAAATTAAAGAAAGGGTTGAATGGTATCATGAATGGACATCAAATATTTTAAAATCTAAAGCAGATACAGTGTGGGTTTCAGGATGTTTAGACCTTAAAGCAGATACAGGGTGGGTTTCAGGATGTTTAGACCTTAAAGCAGATAAGGAATATGTCAACAGTGAGTTAGAGAAGAAGGCAGATAATGAATATGTCAACGGAATATACCAAAGTTTGATAGGAACAACTGAAAATATTGAAACTATTGTTGGTGACTTTTCTGTCTATGAAGAAATAAATATTTTAGATGGCAATTGTACACTCCTTAAAAAATGGTATACGGTGTAAACTCATTCCGAAAAATAACAATGAAATGTATGTAAGCTATATAAAGAATGATGGTACACAAGTTAAAGTTCCATTAGACAACAACTGTTACTTAAACTTATATGGAGACGAACAAAAGAAATATTTAAGAGTTTATGAAATGACAGATATGACATTGTCTAACCTAGCTCCAGCACCATATTATTATGACTATGGAGATGACGAGAGAACACCACATGTAGATGAACAAAAGTTAACATTATATTTAGATTATTATAGATATAAAAGATATAATGCAATAGAAAAAACGAGAATAGTATATTATTATATAGATGACAAAAATAAATATTATAGTCAAGATTTTACCTACCCTGAAAACATAAGATTATATTATAAAAAATATTCCGACACAAACCAGAAGAAACCTGAAATAGTTGCGCTATATTTTAAGTTCAAAAGAGACAATCCTATATTATCTCATATGTTTGATTTAATGAACCCAGTAGGTTCTATTTATACATCTATGGATGCGAGAGGTCCTCAAGCAATGTTTGGTGTTGGTGCATGGGAACAAATAGTCGACAGGTTTTTGTATTGTGCAAACTCTTCAAAGGAAATGGGTGGAAGTAAAACGATTACAGGTGAAAATTTACCTGCACACAGTCACTACATAGATTTAAGCACATCTCAAGCAGGTTGGCATAAGCATAGATATTGGGATTGGTCAGGAATGACAAAAGGTAAAGGATATGATGTTAAAGATAACGTTAAGTTTGCTATAAATTGTTACTGGAGTGACACTCAGGGAGAAGGAAACCATACACATTTCGTTTCAGGATATACACAAACAACGGGACAAAGTAAAGACTACATGCCACCTTACATGACAGTTTACGCATGGTATAGAGTTCAATGAACGCTCAATGTTTGTGAAACAAACTTTAGGAGCTCCAAAAGAGTGAACGGCATAATTTAAATTTTTATTTTAGTATAAATGAAGATTCTACCATATGGTGTTATTGGAAGAGATAAAGATGGAAACCCAATATTTGATCCAAAGTTAAAATTAAAGTTACTGACAAGACAACAACTTGAAAAGTTGCTGAAACCAAAACAGGATGAGAAAATGAGAAAGAAAAAAATTTAAATGATGTAATTTTATTTTTATCATAAATGACAAAATTAATTAAGCCAACTATTTCTAAATTAATGATACCAATGAAATCATTTCGTGGAGTAATTATCCCAGGTTCTTCACAATTAGCCAGGGCAAGTGTTGGGACTCAAGGTGGAACATTAGTGAATCCATTCAAATTATTTACTAAAGATGAACTTAATAAAATGATGACAAAATAACTGATAACAAAATTTTATTTCACTGCTACCATGTTACCGGGTGCTACCAGGTCAAATAATTTCTTTTAAAAATAGTGACAACATGACATTTTGACAACAACATAGGAGGAAGGCAATAATGAATTATTTTTGAAGAACTGAAGGTGCTACCATGTTGTCATATTGACGACATGACATTGTGTCAACATCACGAGAGGAAGGTAATAATGAATTATTTTTGAAGAACTGAAGGTGCTACCATGTTACCGGGTGCTACCAGGTCAAATAATTTCTTTAAAAATAGTGACAACATGACATTTTGACAACAACATAGGAGGAAGGCAATAATGAATTATTTTTGAAGAACTGAAGGTGCTACCATGTTACCGGGTGCTACCAGGTCAAATAATTTCTTTTAAAAATAGTGACAACATGACATTTTGACAACAACATAGGAGGAAGGCAAAAATAAATTATTTTTGAAGAACTGAAGGTGCTACCATGTTGTCATATTGACGACATGACATTGTGTCAACATCACGAGAGGAAGGCAATAATGAATTATTTTTGAAGAACTGAGGTGCTACCATGTACCGGTGCTACCAGGTAAATAATTTCTTTTAAAAATAGTGACAACATGACATTTTGACAACAACATAGGAAATTTGATGTAGCCCAAAAATAAAGTTAGTTTTAAAATTATATTTATTTTTTTATTCCTACATAAATGACAGCAACAAACAACAATAGTGACTATATCGTTTCTGATGAAAAAGTTATTGATTCATTAGTTGAGGAATTAGTTATGGCAGAAACTAAAACCCTCAACGAAAGAATTGGTGAAAACACGATTGATTTACATAACTACCTCAAACATGATGGAGGAAGAGGAAGGAAAACTGGTATGGCTTTATTAGTAAATAAAATTTCAAATTTAACGATTATAGATGTTGATATCAATAAATCATACGATGATGAACTTAAAGAAACAGTTAGAAAAGACATTTTATCAAAACTTTCGGATGAAGATGTTATCGTTAAAACCGCTTCTGGAGGTCTTCACATTTATTGCAACACTAATTTCTTCTATGCAGTTTCGAACAGAATGATTAAATGTTATTCCTGCAATGATTATGATATTGATATCATGACTTCTATGGATGATTCAAAGCGTTCATTAGTGGTTATGGCTGATTCAAGAGTTCGCAAGAATGCAACAGAATCAATCAATACATACTCATTCATTCGTGGAAGTTATGACTCAACATTAACCAGAACAGTGAATGATATATTAAATGATTTGAATATTAAGGTAAAAGTTGAACAAAAGAATGAAGAAATAAAGAGTATAATGAATGAAAACAAAAATGTAAACATTGACGATAAACTTGCTCAGAGCATAGTTGATGGCATCTGTGATTTTGAAGTACATAATGACGGTGGAAACATGAATTTAGAAAAAGAAGTTACATTATTCACACTGTTTCAAGCAATTAATTCGTTACCTAATCATTTAATTAATGAAGCATACGATAACGTTTATAACTTCTGCAATTTAACAGAAAATGCAAAAAATAATTTTGAAAATGCACGTGATAGATATGCACATTTAATGACTTCTCCATTTGTTTTAGTGAAGATTCTAAAACTATATCAAAAGGAATATTATGATGAATACGTTTTGCCTTTATTACGTAAGCCAAAAATAACATTTGATATAAAACTTGATGACTCGTTTTTGATAACAGATATTAGACGCAAGGCTGAAAATCATCAGTATAAAAACAGTTCTGAAGTAATTGAGGATTTATCACGTGTAATCCGTTTTGTAGATTGTGGAAATAAATACTTCATTCAAAAGGACTATAATATCCACGACAAAATGAATCAAATATCATTCGTTCTTCAATCAAACATGAAAGAGTCACTCAAAATGATTAAATTTTTAAAGAAGAAGGTAAAACAATAACAGCATGGGATGTACTACTAAATCAATTGTCTTCATTTAACCGTTAAGGGTGTTTGCTTTAAATCTGATTCTCCAGATGTTTTCTCAACGTTTCAAGGTTATAAATACAACGTTCTCGAAAAACCAGATTACTCAAAAATTGAGATGTTTTATGGATTTCATTAAAGAAGCCATTTGTGATAATAACGATGAAGTGTATAAATACCTTCTCGGGTGGATTGCATCAATGATTCAACATCCTGGAATCAAGAATGAAACAGCAATTATTTTGAAAGGACTTCAGGAACAGGTAAAAACAGATTTACAGACATATTTCTGAACTTCTCGCCGGTTATTCATGTAAAAAACATTACTGAAATAAGTGAGCTAACGGTAATTTCAATTCAGTAGTTGAGAATAAAATGTTTCTTGTACTTAATGAACTCAAGAATGTAGGTGAAGACAGACTCGCAAACTTCAACGCTTTGAAATCAATTATTACGGATAATGAGATTAGAATTAATGAAAAGAATCAACCCAGAAGAACTGCTCAGAATGTTGCCAATTTCATTTTGGTAACTAATAACGTCTACCCTGTCAAAATTGAAGTTGGAGACAGAAGATACGTAGTTTTAAGAGTTAATGGTAAATTTAAGGGTCAATTTGATTATTTCAAGAATTTGATGAATTCATGCACTAAGGAATTTTATGATAATTTACTGACGTATTTTATCAATTACGACCTTTCATCATTTAATGTACGAATCATACCGATGACTGAAGCCAAACAAGATTTAATTGAATTATCATCAAATCCTATAGATGTATGGATAAATACACATTATGATGAATTGTGTGCAGGTATGACGTGTGAAAATGCTTTATTCTGCAAACCATCAGACATGAAAGACAAGAATTTTCAAATGAGTATTAAGGATAAATGTGATAGGAAACATAGAAGAATAGACGGTAAACAAACATGGTGTTATGTTTTGAAAGAAGAAATGAAAGGATTATATAAACAGGTTGAACCAAACGATAATGAGGATTCATTTACTGATGATGAAATACCTGTAAATGAAGCTTTATAAAGTGTGATTTGAATTTATTTTTGCCTTCCTCCTATGTTGTTGTCAAAATGTCATGTTGTCACTATTTTTAAAAGAAATTATTTGACCTGGTAGCACCCGGTAACATGGTAGCACCTTCAGTTCTTCAAAAATAATTCATTATTACCTTCCTCTCGTGATGTTGACACAATGTCATGTCGTCAATATGACAACATGGTAGCACCTTCAGTTCTTCAAAAATAATTCATTATTGAATAACCTAAAACCATTAATGAAAACATTAACGATAACATCAAATTTAATTTTTATATAAATGGATACCCCACAAGCTTAAAATTTACCACGAATCATAACAAGGGAGGAAATGATAAAAATGATGCAAGAACTAATTAAAAAACAACAAACCACGAAAACCGAGAAGATGAGGAATAAAAAATTAAATTTGGATTGAGTTTAAAAATTCATCTTTATTAAATTCATCTCTTCCAATCAATTTATTTATTCTATTAAATTCTTTTATTTTTGCTTCACTCAGTTTAAGGATTGAACGATAAGTTTCTAATTTTTCGATTATTTCTTGATCGTTTTCAACCCCACCACATTGCGGCTTCTTTTTGTAATAGCATATTTTTGATTTAATTCTGTTTAGTTTCTTTTTATATTCATCGTCTGGACTCTTGGCTGCTTCGTTGTCACTCATTTCTTACGAAATAAAAAAATTAAATATTATTTAAATATAATGGAGTAATAAAATAAATCGGAATTTCTATTAATTTATTGTCAACTTCAACTAATACATTACCGTTAATATATCTAACAAATTCAGCTATTGTGTCAAATCTTCGTCTTCTTTTTGTCATTGATTTATCAGTTTTTCCATAATCGAGATGAATCAAAACTTTATCCCCTTGTTTAAAATTCATGAGCCCCGAATTAATTTGTTCACGTTTAACATCATTTAACCTTTCCATTTGCTTTCTAATATATTCCCATTCTTTTGAAATATCATTTTTCATTTCCACTGGTTTCATGTTTATAGTTCTATGCCATGTATTATTGTAATAATATACTAACTGCTGTATGATGGAGTCATGATTTCCATCCCAGTATATCTGACCGTTAACTCCTAACGCATCTCTAAGAGTTCTCATTACCACATCAACTATTTTATTATGAAACGTATATGGAGAGGATGAAAAGTAAAAATTAATTTGTGGGAAATAATGAGCCATAGCTGCCTGAAATCCTTTATCACCATCACCCCTGATATTATCTACTCTTTCATGATCTAGTAAGTATTGAATAGCTCTTCTTGTTTCATGTTCTGTTTTCCCTTTCACCGGAATGCAATATAAATATCTTGTGTTAATGTTAATGGCAAATAAATAAGTAACGTTTCCTTTTGAATATTCCAGATGATCGATTTCGTATGAATATGGATATAGTGCAAATGAAGGGCGACTAAATTTTTCCTTTAACGGTTGAATTTTCGGGTCAGTTGGTTTATTTAATATCTTGAAACCCTTTTTAAAATCTTTTTGCTTCTTTAATGTTTGAAATGGATATAATAAAGTGAATGATGAAGTATTAACTGAAGGAGGAGGTACTACTGTTGGAGGTTTTGGTGTTGCGAGTGGTTTAATTTTATCTGCTTTGATTTTGAATGATGAAGTTTTGGATTTCATTCCTCCTTCCATTAATTCTGGATGTATTTTATTCATTTGTTTTAAATATGCTGTATATAAAGGTTTGATATACTTTCCTGCTTCGAGTTTATGTTGAAGGATGAATTCCAAAAGTTGATCTTCATTCAAAAGTCGGGCTGAATGTGGTTTAACTAATGAATCATAAATTAAAGCTCGTGCATCATTTATGGTCTGAATGACCTGGGCATTTTGTTCCTTTGGCTTTTGTGGCTCAGGATTATATAAATTATATAATTCATCAATATCTTTTTCTGTTAATACTTTATTTTTGAAATCTTTCAATTGTTTAAGTTGTGATTTAGTTTTTCCCTTTTTATATTCATTATTTTCAATTTTGTCTTTAATTTTAGAAATTATTCTTTCATGATATTTCAAAACTTCATTTTTATAATACAGATAATAATAATCCATATCATCACTCATTATAATGTTATCATATCCTTGGAGATATTCTTTTAATTCATAATAACTAAGAAAATTTTGATCACGTATTAAATTATCAATTAAAATTTTAAAATCTATTTCATCCATTGGAATTTTAAAATTACCAGCATCATCATCATCATCCAATAAAATTTTAAAATCATCCATTTATATAAAAATAAAATAAATGTTTTAAGGGCGCCCACCTCTTTGATCAAGAATCAAAACCATCATTCAACGGTTCCTTTTGTCTCTTCTGTGGCATTTTATTAAAAATAAAATTTTAAATTGTATTAAATAAATGGCATACAACATCCATTTTCACAACATACAGCCTTAGTGTGTGCTCCTGTTAATGCAGTCTTACCGATTGTTAAGCGAGTCATTGACCCGTTTTTAAGTTGTAAATTAATATTCTGACCATCAAATATCACTTTATCATTTATTATATCCAAATAATTTTTAGGTGTTAATTGTTTATTTTGTCGTAAACTAACACCTTTCATTTTTTGTGCAATCTTTTTAAAATCACTTCCATCAATTGAACCGTTGAATGATGTATAACACTTGGGGCATAAAGCAACCATGTTATCACCTTGTTTCTCAATTGCTAAATCCAATAACTTCTTCTCATGTGCTTTTTCTTCAGCTTTATTCTTTAATTTAGGTTTAAATTTCTCATCAAAACAGAAGAAATCAAATGGTGCGAATTTGAAAATGTTTTTATCATAAAATTGTTTATCGGTAACAATTGCTTGAAATGCTTGAGTGTTAGGAAGATTTGGATCGCCAGCGATTGCCCAATAAGATGAATCAGTATCACCTTCAATGAAATGAAAACGATTAAGATTCATACATTTATACATAGAATCATAAATGAAAACCAAATACCAGTATTTAGCATTATCTAAAGTGAAGAATGCCTCTTGTAAACATGTATCACATCTATAAAATCTATCTTTGAGCATCACTTGATACGTATCCTCTCCTATTTCTCTTATGTTTTTAAACTTATTTGACATACATGCAACGCGTGCCTTCTGTGCATTCATTATTTTAGTCTTTGTGTAATTTTGTGTATTCATTGCATCGTAACCATATGATCCATTAAGCGAAATCTTACAAAATAAACTTTTTCCTTTATTTCCTTCTAATTCAGCCTTTTGTCTTTCGTTCATAAATTTGTTCGCAAATTCATTAAAACAAGTGTTTTTAGTAAATGTTAAAATTGATTGAATGTCATCGATGATAAAATGAAATCTGTCGATTAGATACCAAAGATAATAAGAAGAAAATGGTTGATATTGGTTGTGTGTTGATGCTAACTGAGTTAATTTTCTCTGTTTCTGGTCAACTGGTAGATTGTTTGATTTCATGTAATTATACATAAAACTGCCAATTGTTTTTTCATCTGTGATAATATCTAAGTTTCTTATTATCGGTAAAAAGTTTATGTAATCATTAATGTATTTTTCATCAATGTGACCCTTTACTTCAGCCACGAATAAAGTATTTTTCTTTCTAATAATTCCCAGTGCTTTTGCTTTCTTTGTTGCTGTATCACAAATGATAACACCATTCAATCTTCCCGGCATATACATTTTATGGTCAGTATATTGAATGAAATCATGAGGATTAGATGAAAATGATGAAGGATATAATGAATTAAAATCAACACCAACGAAATGAGTCATAATGTTGGTGGTGTCCTCATTTGATACAGTTTTAGTTTCTGGACTATATGAAAGTCTATTAATGTGCGTGATTCCTTTAAGATTAACACGATGTTGAACATTTGATAGACCACCAGTAATTCCATTACGGAGAATGTGATAAGCTTCAACTGAATCTAAAGTCATTGGTAAATTATTTTTTAATGCATAATTTCTTAAATTGATTCTTAAACGTTGAACATCTTCATCTTTATTTGATTTTACGACATTGCAATAACAACACATTAACTGACAATTTTCTTTGGTATGTGGTTCTTCATTATCGATTCTATCCAATGTTGGTTTATTTACATATGTAAACGCTTTACCACACATTTTGCATTTAGATGAAAGGATTAAATCGTGATAGTATTGAAAATCATCCATTGAAACATTATTTTTAGTATCTCTTTTCGCCTTTTCATCTTGTTTCTTATATGAATCAATTTTATATTTCCAATACTTTTTTGTTAATTCAAAACTTGATTCTATCTCTTCCTCAGGATATTTTTCATTAGGATTAAAGTCTTTATATGCTAAAGCGTAACGAATCATTGAAGCATTCGATGATAAAGAAAGATTATGAAGCATATCAATTTTATAAACAAATGTTTCTTCAATAATTTTATCGATTGGGTCAATCATAATTTCAACATCTTTATTGCAATAATGAATAAAATATTCTAATCTATTCTCAAAATTTTTAGCATCATTGAGATATATTTGATAATCACTATCTGATATAGTTTCTTGAGTTAATGCTGAATAAAATGAATCTTGAGTGAATGGTTCCACTTTATATAATTCTTCTTCGTAATTCTCTCATGTGATGAATTGATAAGGGAAAAAGGATTTAACACGTGATTTATTGTTTCCGAAATCTTGAGTGAATTGGTCTAATGTTCCCCCCGCTATATAATTTCTGATGTCAATAAATCTTAATTCATATGGACAGTTTGTTTTCTTTACTATGACTTGCTTAAATTGAGAAGAAGAACCCAGCATTGATTTTATTTTCCATTTTGCAGTGTTTAAATCATGAAGAATTAAATTTAAATCAAACTTTCCCGAATTAAAACCAATGATATTCACTTTATTAAATTCTTCATCTAAAAGCTCTTTCATTGCTTCCTTTTGTTTCTCATTTAATGTATGAGACAAAGCCCCCACCGTTTGCGGCTTCAATAATTCTTCATATTGACTCATATTTGATTCAACAACTAATGAACAGGTTGAAAATAAAAACTCAATCCAATCAGAAATAAAAGAATCACTCGAAGTTAAGCAAAAATTCCTCGTAAATGTTTTATCGTTTAATTTAACCGTTGATGATACCATGAATGGTTTTAAGTAAGCATTCAAAGTTGCACACTCAGAAAGTTGTAATTCTTCTTTAGTCTCTAATGTTTCAAAGTCAAAAGTAATATAATATCTTGTTGGTTTATAATATTCCTGCAAATTATGTGCTAATAGCCACTGATATATCTTCTGTTTCGTAATATGTGGTGCATATGGTTGTTGTGTGTTTTGCAATTGAACGTCTTGAATTAATCTTCCATTATTTTCTTTACATTTCTCACAATGTTTTAAAAATCTTCTTTGGTTTTTCCTTTCTGGATCATCACGGATAGAATATACTTCTTCTTTGCAAAAGGGGCAAACTTTATATCCTGTGAGTGCTTCAACGTCTGTAATTCTGTCAGCGTGACGTTTTCCACATGGACTCTGTGTTAATAAAATATTTACTGTTTCAAATTCTGGATCTATCATTATTGATTCCACTAATGGAAAGTCTACCTTGTTAATGTCTACGTCTTCTGGTTGAGGGTCACAATAATAAAAATCAATATTAACGTTTAACATTCTTGCTAACCTCTCACTTTCTGATGAAATGTCAAATCCTTCATATGCATCTATGGCTTCATTTAAATAACTTCTACGAGTTTTAGGATTAACACCATCAGGAATGTTATAGAAGCGTTTAAATAACCTTCTACCTTCGGCTCTTATTTGATTATCATTCATTTTAGCTGTTCCGTTTTTGTTCATTTATGTAAGAATAAAAATTAAAAAATAAATAAAAATAAAGTTTATTTTTTAAAGCCCATAAAATGAATTAAGAACACATAAATTTTTATCATCCGCGACGTGACGAATACATTTTAATTTACTCAAGAATGCGTACCCTGATACATTAAATCTAATTCCTGTCTTATTTAATTTCACAACTTTGAAAAGGAATGTATGAATAGCTATAAAATGATGAGAAGATGTTTTATGGGTTGCTTCCATTTTTTCTGAAATAAATGAATAAATATAATGTTTATACGTTTTCATATCTTTTATATTCTTAATAACGAATGGTATTGACCTTTCCACTTCGTCTTCCTTCGGTGCTGTTCTTTCATATGAAACATTATTGGTATCTTCAACAATGAAACCACAATCACATAAAATTTTATATGTTCCAATGGTTTCTTTTGATATTTTATCTAATAAATCAAAAACTTTATCAACACCCGTGCATTTATTTAAATAATAATTTGTGTAAATATCATGATCTTCTTTCTTAATCGTATTAGTTGCATATGTCACGTTTTTAAGAGCTTTTTTGAATTTTTCGGAATCTAAAGGTGGTGAAAGTAATATAGAGGGGTATTCTTCATTATCAATAAACTGTAGCTTATGTTTACGAATAAATTTAGTACCTTCTTCTGAAAGTGTTTCGTCTATTTCACCATCTAATAAATTTTGTATTGATTCTGAGACATAATTTTTATATCTTTCTTCATGAGATTTCTGAACTTTTGATTCTGAAGCTGGGATATTCATTAAACCCTCTACTTCATTTTCATTATATTTTTCAACTTCTCTTAATTCCTTAATTTTTTCATCTATTTCATCTCTTATTTTTTCCAGTCTTTCAATTTCATCATATTCATCATCTTTAATTCGTTCTTCATAATATTCAGGGAAAACATCAGGTTCTTTAGGTTTTTCTTTCTTTTTAGATGTGGGATATAAGAAATTTATAACATCATCTTTATTCATTTTTCCATCATAATCAAACTCATTTAAGAACTCGGCAAATTTTTTACAATTTCTTAAATAATATTTATTAACTTCATAACCTGCCTCCTCTAATATATCCTTTATTTCCTCATTTGTGAATCCCAATTTTTAACGTCGTTAGTTTTGACGCTCATTTCATACAAAATAAAAATAAATTATTCAGAAATGTAAGACATTAATTTTAAAAGTTTATTTTTCATAAATTCAAATAATCATTAGTTTCTCATTTATTTTTCTCGTTTATGAGGTCTTTGATTATGAATTCATTGATTCCATTCAGGATTTAAACAATGTTTAATTAATCGCGGAATATCTGACATCATCTATATATAGCTTCTTTTATAAAAGATAAAATAAATTATTTTAAAATGATTTTTAAAAAAAATTATTTTTTATTTCATTATGTATGGGCTGAGTGTAAATGTCTTACAATTTTGAAAATTTTTTAAATCTTGATTTATTCAAAAATGTAAGAATAAAAAACCGTAAGAATCATACATTTTTTACTTCATATGTTAAAAAAAATGATACAAAATCGCTCGATATTGTATGAATTCTTACGTTTACAAAAAAAGTCACACAACCCATCATATATACTACTCATAATTTCTCAAAAAACATGATAACTTGATATTTGTAAATATCATACTTTATAACGTAAATAAGAACTTGACCTATTAAGAAAAGCAGTAATGAAAAGAAAATCTGAAATTCATAAAAATTACAAGTTTCTGATGACAATTAGCTTAATTAAACCAGGTACAAGATTATATAATTGTATTTTCTATCCAATTATCCATATAATATCTTATCCAGAAAAAATAACTTGATCAATACCAAATGATTTTTTAACTAGTAAATAAAGTATTTTCTTTACACACACATTGTATATCATAGTTTTTTTTTGGTTTCGCAAAACATCCAAAAACAAATATGCTATAAAAGTGACAATTTTAGCAAAACGAAACCCTTATTTTCTCAAACTTAAATTTAGGTATTTTTCATTTTTAATATGAAATCACATATGAAATATATATTTTAAAATCATATTAACCTAACTTTGTATTCAATTGGAGGTTGAAACACTTCTGTGACAATCAAAAAAATTCTAAAAAAATCATTTTTATGTTTTTATTTATTATTTATATGTATTATTTAAAATGTAATAAATCTATCGTTTTAAATTTGATTTTTGTTAAGTTTTTGTTTCCAAAATTTTCTTGAAACAAAAAAAATTAAGAAAAAAATTAAGAAAAAACATTTCGAAATATGAATGTTGAAAAATTTCGAGAATCAAAAGTTAAAGCGGACAATATTTTAATGCAAAATCCACCATAAATTTTCAGATATCATCATTAAATAATCAAATATCAAAAAATAATTTCTTTTTTTGTGAGAAAGATAAATACAGAACAGTTTATTCTGCACCTTTTGAAAGGCGCCAATCATCATATTTCTTGAGGGAGGCTGCATCAACAGAAGGTCTTCTTTTTGCGACTGCCACGCCGAAATCATTGTTAGTAACGATCATCTTGGCGTTCTCTGCTGGCATATTAAGGAATTCTTGGGTATCTATCATAGAAGTAAACTTATCAAAAACCATTTGAACTGCATCTCTGCAAAGGTTCGTAACATCAGCACAGGAATAACCGTCAAGCTTCTTGGCCCATCCCTCGTAATCAAAATCGGGACTAGCGTTCTCCGAAATCGACATCTTTAAAATTTCTAATCTTCCGTCGTAATCAGGGAGCGGAATGTAAATCCTCTTCTGGAATCTTCTCAAAAGAGCTTCGTCGAGGTCCCATGGGAAGTTTGTAGCTGCAAGAACGAAAACTGACGCTTTATCTGATGCGCCGTCAATTCCTTCAAGTTGTGTAAGTAATTCGGCTTTAATTCTACGGCTTGCTTCATTTTCATTACCCGAGCCACGTTGAGAAGCGATTGAATCTACTTCATCGAAGAAAATTGTTGCTGGAGCCATTTGGTTGGCCAAAGCGAATAAGTAATTAACGAGTTTTTCACTTTCACCGAGAAATCGAGATGTAATTGTTGCTGCCGTGATGTTGAAGAAAGTTCTTTTACATTCTGTTGCTACAGCTTTAGCTAAGTAAGTTTTACCGGTACCAGGTGGTCCGTAGAACAATACTGACTTCCATGGTGCAAGTAAACCTTTAGCAATGTCAGGACGCATTGGTAATATAACAAGATTTTGCCTTAAAAGTCTTTTAACGCCTGCGAGGCCAGCAATTGATGACCATTGTATATTAGGTTCTCGAATGAGAATACCCATATCGATAATTTGTTGTACTAAAGGATTTGTAGACGGATCGAGTGGATCTGGTGTTTTTGCAGGGGATTTTTCTTGATTTGCTTTCTTTGCTTGAGGATTTGGTGGTCGATTTTGGCCTTGTTCGCCTTTTGGTGGGGCTACTGACACTCTTGGCTTTCCTGCTTTGATTGGATTGTCAACCATGACTCTTGGACGAGGTTGGACATGCTTTCCTGCAACTCCTATCTGTGGTGAAGCATGGCTTCGTCTTTGGCCAACAGGACTCTGATGCTTTTGGCCTGGTAAATCTCTTCTCCTTTCTGGAGGCTTAAATTCACGAGGTGGCTCTGGAGAACGACGTTGCTGCTTCACTTGAGGTGGTTCGAGAGCTTCGTCATCTCCGTCACCTTGTGGTTGACGTTTTGGTATTGCAGTATCGATAGAATTTAAAATTTTATCAAAAGCGCGCTTAATTCTAAGTACAGAATCCTTTTCATCGCGAACTTCTTTTTGCATTTTGTTCCATTTTTGATTTGTTTCAATATTATGACAAACAGCGATTTCATCTTCAATTTTTTCAAGAGCTTGATCATAGTATTTTATAGAATTCTCATAGTCTTCAATCCTCGCTTGCTGTCGAGCTTCACTGACATCAGCAAGGAAAGGATGCAAAGCAAGTGGATCCATTTTTTTTTAGATTGAGAACAGTGAAAATTTTAGACAGATCTTTGGTTTTAAGCGTTTTTTCTTGGATGGATAGAATTAAATACGGTTTATCTAGATTATGCATATAGCCATTTATGAATTATTGTTACTTTCATTGAATAAAGTTTACAAATCTCGTTATTTTTAGATCAATAACATATAACCCAGATTTGAATCATTGTGCTTTGTTAAAAACAAACATTATGCTCCTATTTATAACGAATATTCGTTCAAAATTTTATTGATTTATACTCATTTTAAAATTACTCAACCATAGATAAAAGTACAACAAAGTTTTATATTTATTAGAAAGTTAACAAATGATATCAAGTTTGATATTTATAATATCAATAAAGCATATAAATTTTCGACAAATATTTAAGAAGTATATCTCTAAAACATGCGCTTAATTTAGAAGTTTTCATATAAAAGGCAAAATGAACCTAGTTTTATATGATTTCGATGCATCTAATTAAAAGAGATTAACACAGAGCTAATACCATGAAAGAAATCTTATAGTATCTATAGCTGTACTAAGGAACAGATTGTTGTTCATCTATTTTTTGTTGAATTTTTTGAATTTTTCAGAAATTCTTTCTACGGCAGCTTTATAATCAGGAATAGTTTGATCCGCATCATTAGAAACTAAGCCTTCAATTTCTTTTAGTGAATTTTCAATATTTTCTTCCGATGAATCATCTGAAATAATTTCTTGCAAAATTGAATTAACACAATTATAAAATGCATCATTCTTTTGTGAATTTATAGAATCTAGGTAATTTTTAGCAATTTTTGCATATGAAGCTGGAGAATACTCATTTTTTGGTGTTGAACCCATCTGTGATATATTTTTTTGTAGTTCTATCATTTCATCTTCTTCTGATTTCTTTTGGTCTATTAAATTATTGAGTGCATCCATTGTTAATTGATTTTGAATTTGACATCGTTGAGTTTCTTGTTCAATTTGCTCTAACAAGAGAGTAACATAATCGTTTTTAGTATTTAAATCAGTTACTTTAGAAAATGCTCCGAAATATATATCAATATCAGTGTTATTTTCAGGAATATCAACAAAAGCACGATCTAAATTTATTCTATGCTGTAATTTTTTAGAATATTGTTCAAAGTACTGTTTCATATATTGATTAGTGATTTGATCAACGGAACAAATGACTTCTTGTAAATTTTCTCTAATATTTCTTTTTAGAGTTCCATCAACGAATTTTCGGTCTGAAACATCAACTGTAAGATCGTATAGTTTATCAACAATACTTGATAATTCAGATTCTTCTTTTTCTAAATACGTTTTTTTATTTTCTGCAATAATTTCATCAGCTGCGGCTATTTCTTGTTTAACCAGTGTACGCATTTCACTTCTAATTCTGTTTAATTCACGTTTTTTATCAAAAATTGATGCTCCAAGTTGAGATAAAGAAACATCCATTGATAAAAAATGACAAAATGATAACAATATTAACAATATAATATGCCATTCATGTACTTATTCCAACAATCCTGTATAACAATGACAAAGTTTGAATTCAAACAATTCATATTTGATTAGTACCTTATAAGGATGGCCAATGATTTTTACAGTATCTTAATTTCAATAACAATCTAAATGCGTGAAATACAGAAAAATAATTTCATATTGGGGTTTTCATTTGGTGAATCTTGGTTGATATCTGAAGTCCACAAGTTTTGAACATTGCTGGTTTTTACGTTTACAAGCTTACTCCTTGAAATATCAAATTCAATAAAATATTTTAAATATTACTAATAAATTTCTTTTCTTTAATCTTATTATGATTAGTCAAGTACTATATGTAATTGATCAAATATCCAAACTTGCCACTTTATCAATGGAATACAGAAACATTACATCCTACATCTTAATATAATTCATTGTATCTACATAAGAATTATTATTTATTCAAATGATAATAAATTGATGTTACGACTTTTATAAAAAAAAAAATAATGAGCGGAAGTCTAATCATCGATTATGAGTATAATGCCAAAGAAATTAAATCATTTATTGAAGAAGGTACATTCTTTTCCCTATTTGACAAGGGTGATGCAAATAAAATCTTAAAACACGCTAATCTAACATCCGATAATTACATTTCTCTTCTCAAAGAAGGAAAGGCGATGTATTCTAGCAGCAAACTATTCAAATACATTTGTGGTTCACACGTTTCCTTTAAAAATGTTGATGAAATGATAGATGTTCTACAATTTGCTGCAAAAAATCTAAATCTGGCAATTCTACATGATGTTATTGATGCTGTCACATCTTTAGTTACACAATTAAACACTTCCAAATCTTCTATCTCTGATCTTCAAAAAACAATACAAAATCACCAGCTCGAGATAGTTGATTTGAAGAAACAGGTGCAAACATTTAATGAAAAGATAAATTTACTTAGTACAGATAATGAAAAATTAAAGGAATATAGTAATCAAATGAATTGTTTATCTCGAATGGTAGAATATAAGAATTCTGACGACTTTTATCAGATTTGCTGTTTTTTGAGAGAAATTCCAGACAAAATGCCTCAAAATAAAGTTATTGACACATTTGTTGAAGTGTTTATGGATCTGATATAGAAGCAAAAGATAATGATGGATGGACACCACTTTTTGGAGCATCAGCTTTTGGATATCTTGATATTGTTAAATATTTATTTTCTGTTGGAGCCGATATAGAAGCAAACAGTAAATATGGTTCTACTCCACTTATTTATGCATCATTAAATGGTAAACTTGATGTTGTCAAATTTCTTATCTCTGTTGGAGCAGACAAAGATGCAAAAAATAATGACGGATATTCTCCCCTCTTTTGGGCGTCATCTAAAGGTCATCTTGGAGTTGTTAAATATCTTATCTCTGTTGGAGCTGATAAAGATGCAAAGGATAATGACGGATATACTCCACTCATTGAGGCGTCATCTGAAGGTCATCTTGAAGTTGTTAAATATCTTATCTCTTTTAGGGCTTATAAAGAAGCAAGAAACAAATATGGGGAAACACCACTCATATGTGCATCACAAAAAGGTCATTTTGAAGTTGTCAAATACCTTATTTCTATTGGAGCCGATAAAGGTGCAAAGGATAATAATGGAGATACTTCATTAATTCTTGCATCAAAAGAAGGTCATACTGAAGTGGTGGGTTTTCTCAAATCAATATGAACTTCTTTGATTTGATTATAAATCAAACTCCTAAATAAATTATATATCTCACTAATTTTGATATTAATTATAAAGGCTAAACCGAAACTGTAATGATTTTAATATGAATATCAAACTTTTTCAAAATACAATTTTATGAAAATATACTGAGATCATGCTATTTACTAATTACATAGAGAAATTTTTGAAAGCAAATAGTCCATGATGGAAGAAATTAACAAATAAAAATAATAATGGTAATTTTATTATTGAATATCAAATATAAATAGAATGTTAATGCCAACAAAAATAACAAATATTACTTTCCATCTGTTTCGAATACAATTTCATTATCTTTCGCCCATCCCCTAATTTTACCAGCTTGGCCCGGTGGTGCTTTATCTAATGCGCGCTGAATTGCACATGAAGACATCCTCTGGAATGTTTCTCTGTTTAAGTTACGTATTGTTAGAATTTCTTTCTTAAGTAAATCTGTTATTAATTCTTCGACATTTTTACCAGCATTCCAGTATTGGTTATTAATAATATCGCCAATGACTGCATTATATAAGTCGAACGTATCTGCCATGAGCATATCACAAAAATTCATCATTTCTTGATCAGGATTATGCTGTCTGAGCACTTCTGATGCGTAGAATAACTCATTGTGAAGCACTGCAATCTTAGTTAAGGATGGTTGAGCTGTTAATTCGAAAAATCTTTTTTGACAAACAAGAAGGAATTTTCTAACAACATGATTACGTCCAACAACACATTCAGGTTCGGCAAGTCGCTTTGGATCTAATTTCTTCTTACCTTCACTTTGACCTTCTTCGTTATCTCCTTCATTATCGAATGCTGTACAGAATGTCTCCAAAGCAGGTGAAAATACCTGATTTGGATTTAGATCGTATGACTTTATATGATAGTTAACAAGACTGAAGTATAGTTGAAATAGATCATAATTAAATTCTTCCACTAAAGCTGTGTACTTTGGCACGAGAGCAGGTTTAGGGTTTGAAATTTTCATTAAACGTGGTATTGGAAATGGTTCTTCGTATACTTGTGAATGCTCTTCGCTACTCTCTTCGTCTGGTACAACAGTCATTTATGCACGTTATTTTTCTCATAAAAAGTGACAATTATGGTGTAATTTTTTTGAATGTATTGAACTAAAAAGTAGTGATCTATATTATCTCTTACCACATTATAATCTATTTGTATCATTTATCCAGTCCAAACATTAAGAATTCATTAATATTACAATATCTTTAATTTTTGCACATGTATATCAATTGCATTAGTGGCGAAAGCACACGATAAATGTGTGCAATACTATATGAATGAGTATTCGTAAGAAGTTATTCTAATACCAATGAATGCAAAGTCATTACCTTATTATAATCAAATTCTCCATTAATTATCTATTTTGATACCAGAGAATTTGTAAATCGTATTGAATGCTTAGATTTCGAGTTATTTCACATGAAATTGAAAAAAAGAAATCCTCATTTTCCTCAATGATTCTACACAATTAAGTATCCGGTACTAGCTGATTAAGAATTAATGCATTATCATTTCTTTAACTTTTGATTTCTGATTTGGAATAATGTTGTCAATGAACAGAAATGCATTGCAAATGAACATATAAACCTATTGGAGCTATCATTGCCTACATAGACTTTAGTAATTATGATGATAAAAAAATTCACAATAATTTGTATGCAAGTACATTAAGTTTTGGCGAAAATCATCAAGACTAACTGCTATAGTTGCTGTTTAGTGAAACTATTTTAAACGAATTTGATAGTATTTCAACTTATTCTGGAAGCAATAAAGACAAATTTCTGTAAACTATTCAAATTTAAGATAGTTTTCAAAAATTTCACTGCGTTTATTTTTACTAATTAATTATGAATAGTACAGATCACAATAGCTGGGGTGATTTCCTAGCAACCCCACCTAATATGATGGGGACACCTCCAAGCCAACTTCCTGGGGATTTATTATCGAATTTAGATCCTCCACCGAGCCCAATGATTTTTGATCCACCTCTTCAAGAATTTTTCAATCCTCCACCACAACCAGCTTCACCACCTATTGCTAAGCAGACATATTCTCCTCAATCATACTCTGAATATGGCGAACTCGAAAATCGAACACTTCAAGTGTCAAATGCCAACCCAACCACGACAGAAAGTGAAATCATGGCAGTATTTAACACCCATAGAGGTGTTAAGCAAGTTGATATGTCTAAAATATCAGAAGGCCAATTTACTGTTGAGTATTATGATATTCGAAATGCTACATCTTCTAAATTGCTTCTTAATGGATCACAACTGAAAGGCAAGACTATCACAGTTTCATTTGCGCCACTTCCAGTTATTTTAGATCCAAAGAAGCCACCGAATAATGGAACTATTGTTATATTCCACCTTCCGGCGGGTATTACTGATGATCAAATAGTTACAATATTTGGGCAGTTCGGTGAAATCAGACAAATTCGTGGTACTCCAACAAAAACACAACAGAGATTTGTTGAATATTACGATACTCGTCATGCCGAGGCTGCGTTGTTATCAATGAGCGGAAAATATGTTATGGGTACACGCGTTTCTATCGAATTCTCCCTCCCTGGAGGTTTCAGAAGAGGAATCCAAAAAGTTGAAAAGAGTGGACATTAAACGGTCCTCCATATCAATGTATGTTTAAAATACGAAAATGGATTTTATACTAATAAACTAGAATCGCTATTCCCTTATGTAATCAATAATAAAACTATTATTTTTATTTCTGCGATATAAAAATGATCTAGATCTGTTTAGCTTGATAAACATTTTATTAATCTTAAATAGTAATGACATAATTTGAATAATAATTAATCCAACAAGAAAGATGGCAATATTTAATTATGAAATTGTTCAAAACCAATGCTAAACGATTGCAAGGTGATTTGGAAAACATATTTGAACAATTGATTGGCATATTTTTAAGAAGTTGCTTATACAATGATATAATAGTCTTTATCAATTATATAATTTCAATTCAAGTACGGACATGACTGAATTGAATTACTACTAGCAATTCGATCTTCAACAATCTGAAAACCATTTTTGGCAATAAAAAATATTTATTCGACACAAAAGCTTCAATAATTTACATGCAAATGTTGACTCAATTCCTGTTTTTGGCATATGTTATTAAAAATAATCAAGTGTTTTGCTTCGGATTAGACTCCAAGCAAGGAAATTATTACATAATCATCATTAAAACAATTTGCCATTAAGATACCATGCCTTCTCAGTACTCGCTATAAAAATAAGAAATATGATGAATAAGAGGTCATAATGATCCTTTCAACGGAAACGAATTTGGCGTGGTTTTTGCACCGCACCTCAAGGTCTGAATAAAAGCTCAACTAAATCTCAGAATTTTATTAATTGCAATAACTAATTTATTGCAATGAAATGCATAAGTTTACCAAGAATAAAATTAGAATTCATACAGTGAAAGATATTTGACTTTAAATTCTAATTCCAAATTTGTGCAAGCTCAGCGTTCCTTAAATTTGATTAATTATATTTGAGTTTCATATATTTCTTATCACAAATCCAGTCGAATATCATGAATCCGATTTTTTTACATAACGCGTCCGTTGAAAAATTTTTTCACAACTATGGGAAAGGACCACCCTAAGCTCGCAATCGGCAGCCATGTTGGGCGATTTAGAGTGGTGAAACATATAGGTGCAGGTGGGTTTGGTGAAATTTATTGTGTAATGGATCCAAATACCTCCAAAATGTGCGCAATGAAGATTGAGTACCTGGATATTCACAAATCAAGTCTAAAATTAGAAACATCGATTCTTCAGGAACTTGCAGGTTGCAAATATTTTCCACAAATTATTGATCACGGTAAAACACATACCATTAGGTATCTTGTCATGGAAATTTTAGGTGCCTCATTGCAGAACATGCGTGCAATTGCTCCAAGGAAAAGATTTTCGATGTATACAACTCTTAGAATCGCACTTGAAAGTTTAATCGCAATCGAAGAGTTCCATAAGCATGGTTATGTACATAGAGACATTAAGCCTGGAAACTTTTTAATTCGTAATGATCCAAAATATCCAATTTGTTTGATTGATTTTGGCTTGTGCAGAAAATATATTGATGAAAATGGCAAAATTATTCCACCTCGCGACGAACCTGGCTTTACTGGAACATGCCGTTACGCTTCTGTCCATGCTCACAACTATAACGAGCTTGGCCGCCGTGATGATATTATATCATGGCTTTATACAATCGTAGAGCTTGCAGATAGTCGTCTTCCATGGCCAGGAACAAAAGACCGCGTGGCAACACGTCAAATGAAAAACGATATTTCAGCAACAACTCTTCTAAAAAGTTTTCCAGATGAAATTCTCGATATTTACAGAGAAGTTCGCAAACTCAAGTACGAAGACCAACCAGATTACGAACTCTACAAGCGCCTCATACGCGAGGCCATCAACCAAAGCCCACAGAAAAAGAGTGGCTTCGATTGGGAATATTTCAACAGAAAACAAGTCGAAGACGTGAGTCCTGATTTGGCACTTGGACCGCCAAAACAGACTTCCGCCAAGAGCCTTTCTTCAACAAAGGCATTCCTTGGGCCACCACGAAAACCTTTCGTGATGCCAGATTTCATTCCTCCAGTTTTCAATCCAATTATCATTCCGAGTACACCAGAAGTTAAAAAGGAAGAAAAAGCAGAAGAAAAACCTTCAGCTCAGCAAAATGAAGGAGGATGCTGCAGAATTATGTAATAGAGTTATTATTCATGCGATTTCTTAATATTAGATTATTGTATTATACGCTATTGTTTTAAAATATATTATTTATCTATGAATAAGCTATAATTTTTTAAAAATATTGTTTGAAATTATTATTTTAGTTAATTTTAAACATTGAATAGCTTAATATTTGGTCAGTATATTCATAACTATCCTTTAATTTAATATAAATAATAGATTCAAAAACAATATATTTCTTGAATTTAGTAAAATGAAGAAGAAACCTGCATCATAAGATCTGATAATAGGAAAAATAAATGAGTACATCTAACATATTGCTTCAGAATTAGTTAAAACGATCTGTAATATTAGTTATCTCAGAGTTTAATAAAATGGAAAGGATATCCAATACAGGGTCAATCACTTTTAATAAAAGAACTTATGAAATGCTTCTAAAATCCCAAATAAAAATAAAAAAATATTTTATTATTAAAAAAACAAATAAGTAAAACAAATTTTACAAAACAAATACAAAAATCAATGCGTTGGTGATGAGCATTTTGGTCTAGGCAAAACTTGTATCTTTGTTGGCTGAGGGACCGCATATTGCGGTTTTGCTGGGCCAGTTCTAATTGGAGGAGCCTTAAGCAGGACTGATCGTCTTCTGCCCTGAGCGTTTTGTCCAACGGGTCCGACAGGAAGAACAATCGAAGGACGGGATGGTCTTTCGATTGCGTGGCCAGGACCACCCGCTCCTGCTGGCTTTGGAAGTATTCTGGTAGGGAATGAAGGTATTGAAGGGAATCTGCTTGGATTAACCATGGAATATAACATATTTGTAATTCTATCGCGCTTTAAGATATTGAATGTAACACTGTCATGGCCTTCATCAGGTGAGCGATGTATTCCATTGTCATTTTCAATTCTTGAAAGTTGATCAAAAATATCTTGGTCGAGAGAGTCAAATGATTCGGCAGACATCTCACATACTTTCTGGTAATCAGCGAGCCATGGGTGCTTTTTGATTTCTTCAAATGTAATTCTTTCTTTCGGATCTTTATTCAGCATTTTCTCTAAAAGATCCTTGAGTTTTGGAGAGAAATGTGGTGGATATGTAACATTACGATATACGATCTTTTGCATAAGAGATTGAATGTTGGGATCGTCAAATGGAAGATATTCTGTACAAATAGCAAACAAAAGAATTCCGGCACTCCATATATCTGTTGAAAAATCGTATGGACGACCAAGGATCATTTCTGGGGATGCATAGGCTGGTGATCCACAGGCCGTTTGCATTAATTTATCATTTTACTTTGAATTGCTGAGTCCAAAATCAATAATTCGAACGTTCTTGAATTTATCCAATAGAACATTTTCTGCTTTCAAGTCACGATGTGCAATTTGGCATTTTGTATGAAGATAATTGAGAACAGAAACAATTTGAGCAAAATATAAGCCGGCTTCTTTCTCAGAAAGGCTGCATCCTTGATTGACGTAATCTAATATTGTACCATTTTCTGCCATCTCCATTACAATATAATAATTTTCTGGCGTTTCGAAGAAATCAAAGAACTAACATACAAATGGATGCCTAACTCTTTTGAGAATTTCAATTTCACGCTTGACAATTTGATCTTGAGTTGGATCTTCAAGAGGATTCTTTCTAAGAACTTTTATAGCAACGGGAATATGTGTAAGCTTGTGTATTGCACGATAAACAGAAGAAAAGCCTCCTTGACCAATCTTGTTAAGCACTTCATACCCATCAAGTGGCTGCATAACTATTTTTTTGAAGGGAAAATAGCTATAAAAAAATCGGAGCTTAAAAAGGTGTCATTAATGTAAACTATTTAAATATATTTATTTTTGAAGAGCCGGGCAATTAACAAAATATATAAATAATATGTAAGTATTTATATTATCTTAAAAATTATAGTTTTTTCCCTTTTGATAAGCACAAACAAAAATTTCAATATATAGAAAATTAATGCTAATCAAATTTCGAAAATTTCATTTCCATTACAATATACTATAGATAAATTTAATAGCAATTTCATAAATTTTTGATATCGTTCAAAGTTTTGAATTAATCTCATTTTGGCATGATCAATCAAATATAGAATACATCATTGGTCGATTCAATTGAAAAATAGCAAAACAAACCTCAATTTCAATGTAATAAAATTGAATGAGCCTATAAATTTTGCAAACGTGCATGTTCATGAAAAATAATATAACATTTAAGAATAATTACGATTTTCATAAAACTTGAAATTTTGTAAGGTAACATTTCTTTTCCATTTTTTCATGTTTATATGATACATGACAACATGGTCTACAAAATGCAAATTATCTTCCAAAATTTTCTTTTCCCTCAATATCAATTCTAGCTAATTTGCTTTTCAAATCTTCATTATCGATCAAAAGCAATAAATGTGCTGTTTCACATAATCCTCATACTTTTGACTGTCAATTTAAAAATATCACATCATTATTTCGCCACACAACAGAATCTTTGCACCCAAATGTTTCTGGTAGAAATATTATTGAAACATTTCCCCATATTGGCTTGTAATAATTCAAATATGAAATTTAACATTTAAAAACGGAAATATATTATCGTAGCTATCTTAACATTACAGTTATGATCTATATCACACATAAATTAGTAGTGCATGGCCTGTCATTACATTTTTCTTCTGCATAATTTTTTTCCTGAATGGATGATATTGGCGATATTAAGAAGCTAACAACAGTATAGATATACATTAATGAGGAGAAAGATATTAGAAATGATTTAAATCCTTAAAAAGTCTTTATCTGATAATTTTTTGAATAACCCATAAGGATCATTTATTATTCCTAAATTAAATGTATTTTGCAACTCAGAATACAATATATCACTACTCGCTAATAATTTATCATATTAAGATTGAACCAATTAAGATCACTTGAAAATTTATTTATTACCATACATAATATTTTAACTGGACCAAAAGTTCTAACAACTTAAGTGCTTCCTTTGATTTTATTATTAATATGTAGATTAGCATTATTTTGCTTAGAATATGTTCTGTTCAAAAATACATATGTCTCCCATCTGATATAGATCAAATACTGAATACTATTCTTATAATCTCATTAAAAAAAGACAAATTATTTTTTTTCGTTATTTATTGACAGCATTTTCAATGTAATCAGAAATAATACCCATTTGATCCAAACAATGTAACTGCATGACGCCATTATTGATCTATCAAAATTCAAAAATGAAGTGAAACCTAAAAAAAACCACCTTCGACAATTTGAATGTTTTTTATCGTTAAAAATTCGGTTTTAAATATGGATGTCATCATCACTAAAGTGTATGAGTCATTGCAAATGTTTGATCCCCATTCTATTAAAATATACATCAATGATCATGCATATGATACAAATCTTTATGTTGGCATGGCAATTTGTAATAAAATGCGTAATGAATTTTATTTAAATCGATCAAATAGAGAATTTAGATTCCATGCTGATCTATTAGACAATGACACATATAAAATATTCGAAACGATACTCAAACTACAATTTCCAGGAGAGATCAACAACAATGTTGCTCTTGACTTTTTCAAACTTGGAGAAGTGATGAACAGCGAATCATTAGTTACATTCTTCACAAATAAATTCATAAACGAAGAATGTACTATAGAAAACATTTCATCAAGATTAAATATTGCAAATATATTGGTTACAATCAAAAATTATTCGATTTTATTAGCGAAAACATTGAAAGTATCAAATATGATGATCTTATTGATTCAATTGTTGATGCTGGTTTTGATTTTGCAGAACAGTTATTGATTCATTTCAAAAATAATAATAAAAATCCGAATGAAATCATATTCTCTCTTGTTAATAAAAGTCCAGCATTCATCGACATTATTTCTTATCTCAGTGATAAATATAAAGAAATCAGAGATACAATTGATTCAATTAAAGTTTTATCATCAAATAATAGTCATTCTACAATCTTATCGGTTTTCAAGACTATTCTAGACAAAAGTAAAGAAAAAGACAATAAAATTAAAGAATTAGAAAGTGAACTTGACACACGTAATAAAGATATTACAGCACTTAATGATGAATTAACGAAATTACGAAATGAAAATATTAAACTTAAACAAGACAATTCAAACCAAAACGAAGAATTAATTAGATTAAGAACAGATGATTTATCTCAAAAAGATGAAATAGAAAAATTAAAAAGAGAAAATGCATCAAAATCAGAAGAAATTACAAGCCTAAGATCAGAAAATACAAAGAACATAGATTTTATAGAAAAAATTGGAGAATTTTTACCAAAAATAAAGAAAATTAAGAATATACATTTAACAGAATTATCATTTAATGAAGTTTATAATATAATGAAGGAGGCCTTAAATGAAAGGGATTTGACAACTATACTTTATTATCATAAAATTCTTGAATCAATAGCCAAACCACAAATGGGAAATTTAAGCGTATTTCTATCCACATCTAAAAGAGGAGATATTCAATTAACAAAAGATTTTATCGAATGTGGTGAGAATATATATAAAACAAGTGGTAGACAACAAACTTTAATTCATCTGTTTGCAGATGAAGGAAACACTGATGCTATTAAATATTTAATGAAATATAATTTTGATGTAAACCAGAAAGATGTTGATGGAAACACACCACTTCATTTGGCAGTCATGAATAACCATTATTCCACATGCAAATTCTTATGCAGTCAACCTAAGATAAGTCTCAATATTAAAAATAATGTCAATGAATCGCCATTAGATATTGCAACACGTAGGGGTTATAATCTTATTGTAGATCTTTTAAACATTTATTGATATTCAATCTTCGCTTGACTTGCATGACTTTCTTCTTCTCGGATTTTCTGATCTTTTGCTTGCATTTCTTGGAAATCTCGCTTGAATTTTTCAACCATTTCGTTCTGTGACTTGATTTTATCTTGTAACTTGTTCTGTAAATCTGAAACTTGTTTTTCTAAATGACTGATTTTTTCGTTATCTGCTGAATTTCGATTCTTCTTTTCTATTTCCATTTCATTTTCAAGATTTGTGATGTTTTCTTTCAATGTTTCGATTTCTCTTGTTTGTTGTTCGAAATCAGATTTGAGTTTTGAAAGTTCTGTTTCTTTCGCTTCCAATTTCTTCTCAAGTTCATGGACAATTTCTTCGTAATCATGACTTTTCTCTTCCGAAATTTGTTTTGATTTTTCAATATTTGATAATTCTTGCTTGAGATTTTCGATTTCTGATTTGTATTCGTCGATATCTTCTTGTGTAGTTTTGTAATTTAGAACATGATGTTGAGTTTCCTTTGATGATTAAGCCTAAAATGTAAATCATTCGATCTTGTTGAGGACCTGGACGCATTGAGTGATCAATAATAACTTGTAATATACCTGAAATGTATTGTTCGTCTCTGAAGTCGTTGCTGACTGATGAACTGAAAAGCATTTGGATAAAATCAATAGCATTTGGATTATCATTCTGTAATGGCTTGATCAGTTTCTGCAAACTGTCTGTTTGAACAAACATTTGTTGAGATTTAGTGTTAGATTGTAGAAAAGAGGTTAACGCGGCCAAAGAATCATTTGGATTTGTATCAATCAACGCAGAAATAGGATCTGTGAAGTAGAACGAGAATAAGTTTTGTAATTCTGTGTTTGGTTTGATATCCTCTGGAATCAATCCTAAATAGTTTGTTCTAAATTGCTCGTTATTTTCTTCCAGAAGCGAGAAAAATGTATTTGGAACTTCCTGTTTTTTTAATACTGCCTTCTGAACTTCTGAATCGTTTTAGAAAAGAAATGTTGAAAGAAAATACAAAAAAAGTGACTTAATATTTTCAAAACAAATAATTATTCTATCTCCTCTTCAAGAAAATCATATGCAGAACAAACATAGAATTGTTTATTATCAATTACTTGAATGTCGTCAGCTATCAGAAATCATCAAGTATGAAAAACGCAAAAAGTCAATCAAACAAATGACCCAACAGCATTCTCTAATACTACATGTTCTAAGAGTTATTACGTATATTTTTGTATATTCGACGAATGCAAAACAAAGGGTGCAATTTATATCAAAAGAGATAACGAAATCTGCACATTACTTGAATATAACACATTTATTAGATGCTTATCCACTTCAGAAGGTGGATCAGTTTACTATCTCTGCCATCAGTTAGGACAGTTTGTTCAACAACGAAATTGTTATTCTGAATCAATAGCAACAATTGAGTGCATGTCATTTTATCAATTAGTTAAATCTTCTCCTGATTATAAAAACTACGCTTTTCAAATTTCAGTTTCAAAATGCGGAGAAAGTGAATCAAAAGGAAGTCATACATTTTCAATTGCATGGGGTGATCTACGTTTTGAGAATAATAACATCACTTACAACAAATGCATTATACATTCATCAATGTTTATTGTTCTTGATGGAAAATCAAGTACATGTAATTTCTCAACATTCAGAGAAAACAACCAAACTAAAAGTGTATCTCTTTATTTTGGCAGTAATTCTGATTCAGAAGTACAAACAGTTTCTTATTGCAATGTTATTGGAAATAAATGCGAAACAGACGATGACCAAGTTCTATTTCTTTGTAGATTCAATACTACTGTTGATCACTGCGTATTTTTAAATAACACTGCAAAATATATGTTTTGGATTTTCTTTGAAGATTGTACATTGACTATTACTGATTCATGTATTCAATCAAATTCAAAAACAGGATCAGGAACTCTTAAATTAATAATTGAAAATATTTCACAATTTGATTCATTTGATTGTTTCAAAGAACCAAAATTAATGACAGTTAAAGTTTCTAGATTTTGTTCATTTGCAGAATTTTCAAATGTACTCTTTACAAAAAAGTAAATTTAGATTAGATTTTGATTTTAGTTACTAATCGTCAACAAGAAATTATAATTTAAAACAAAAGAATGATAATGATAATAATGATGTTGTTTAGATCTTCAAGTCTTTTGGCATTGCATTGATAAGGGTTTGGTTTCTCTGCCACAACTCTCCAATAAGACGTAGTGCAGAAGAGTTCTTCTTCTCGAGTTCCTTAACTTTCTCTTCGATCTGTTCTCTTCCACTGTCTTTTTCTTTGACCTTTTCTTCCAGTGTGATTGCTGTCTTCTTCAATAGTTTGATTGTCTTCCTCATCTCAACAATATGCGAAGACAAATCTCTGTTGTCTTTTAGTGCTTTTGCGAGAGAGTCCTTCGTATCATTCAACTCCAACTCGACAGCTTCTATTTCTCCTTTCTGTGTCTCTGTTTCTGTGAGTGCAGCAAGCAAAGCTGGTCTTGCACGAAGGAACAGACATCTTTCGTGTAAAATGTCTTCTGAAGAAACGGAAGACTTGAAATCTTCGATTTCCTTCTTGATCTCTATTATCTGTTTCTGCGAAGAACGCAATCCTGCTCTGTAGAGAGCAGCCTTTTGCAATGCATTAGTTAACTCTTTCCTGCATCGCTGCAATTGATTGTCTTTGTCTTTGACAAGCAATGTTAATTTGTCTTCTTCGTTCTTGACGATGTTTTGTTTAGAAATGTTTTGTAATTCTTGTTTTAGTTTCTCTTCTGCTTTGTTCTTGTTTTCGAGAGATTTAGCGAGTTTAACAAGAGCTTTGTGTTGTTGTGAAACTTGGTTCTTCAAATCTTTGTTTTCTGTTCTTAATTTCATGATTTCTTTCTTCATAATTTCAATATCATTTTCATTGTTTTGTTTATCATCATTTTGTTGTTCATTCAATGATTTAAGATCATTGTTTTGTTTAAGGATTTCTTCGTTTTGTTTCTTCAGATTCTGTATTTCTTTTTCTTTTGAAGAAAGACTTTCTTTCAGTGTTGAAATAAATTTAACCAATTTATCGTTTTCTTCTGATGATTCGTCTTTTTCTGTTAATTGGTCGTTCAAACAATCAATTTCTCGTTGTTTGTCTTTGATCGTTTTGTTCAGTTTTTGTATTATTTCGTCTTTCTCTATCAGATTCTTTTCGTTGTCGTTTTCTCTTTGATGATTCATGTTATGGTATTCTTCGATTTCTTTATTCAATCGATCAATTTCTTTCTTCTTTTCTGAATTATCTTGACAAAGTTCATAAATTTTCTTATTATCTTCTTCTTTCAATTCATTTAATTCTGAAATTTGTGATGTGAATTGATAATTGATCTTCATAATTTCTTCTTGATTCTTAATATTAATCTGTTCTATTTCATTCTTATGGTTCTCGTTGATTTCTGAAATTTGTGATGTGAACTGAACATTTAATTTTTCGATTTCTTCTTTATTTTTAGTGTTGATTTGATCAATTAAGTTATTGAAGTATTCATCATTTTTACAACCAATTTCTTTGAATTGATGTTCTAAATCTTCAATGTTTTGTTTATAACTTTCGATTTCATGTTGATGATTTTCTTTTAATTTGTTCATTTCTCTTTCATGATCATGTTTAATTTGATCAATTTGTGTTTGATAATCTTCATTGATTTGGTCAATTTCATTGTTATGATCGTCATTAATTTGTGAAATTTGTGTTGTGAAGTGATCAATTTGTTGATCATTTTGTTTCTTCAATTTATCAATTTCTTTCTCTTTAATTTCGATTTCTTCGCGAAGTTTTTGTTCGGTATCAGATTTTTCTTGTTTCTCACTTTCATTATCAATCAAAACATGTTCTAACTGTTTCTTAAGTTCTTCAACAACTTTGTTCAAATCTAATAGTTTTGATTCGTTTTCTTCATTTTTATTCGCAATTTCTTCCGTAATTTTGTTCTTATTTTCGAGATCTTTGTTCAATTGATCAATAGCGGACATCAACTTAGAGTTCTCATTAGATTTAGATTCAATGGATTTAGTCAATTCATCAATTGTATGATTTAATAATTCTTTTCCTGAATTGAGTTTGTTTTCGATATCAGAAAGATCTGTTTTCAGTTGTGAATTTTCGGAATCTTTTTCGTCAATTCTCACTTGTAATGTGTGATTTTCGTCTTCTTTTTCATCAACAAGAACTGCAAGTTCTTCGTTTTCTTTGTTCAAGTCTTTGATTTCTGATAAAAGTTTATCATTTTCAGAGGTCTTTGATTCGATTAATTTGGACAATTCATTGATCTTGTTGTTTTGTTTGTTGAAAAGTTCTTTCATCTCATTGTCTCGTTTTTCGCTATCATCAGAATTTGCAATCATCTTATTGATAGTTTCATCTTTTTCTTCAATCGTTTTGTTCAGGTTTTCGATTTGTTTTTCAACTTTATCGTTTTGTGTTTGTAAATCATTGATTTGACTTGACAATTCTTCAATAGTATGTTTCAATTCTTCATTGTTACTTTCAACTTCACTTAACATTGATTTAAGTTTTTCATTTTGTTCTTTTGATATTTCGATTTCTTGCTTCAAGTTTGCTGAAATTTCTGTTAATGTGGTAACTTCACTTTTCAGTTTGTTTTTCTCTTCTTCTGATTTCTCAACAAAAATTTCCTTTTCTTCTTGTAACTTTTCAACTTCTTTTTCAAGTGAGAATGATTTTTCACTTGAATTTAAGTTTTTAGTTTTTTCTTCTTCGATAGTCTTGGAAAGTTTGGAATTTTCTTCATTCGCTGATTCAAGTTGTTGGTTGAGTTCTTCGATATGACGTGATAAATTATCATTTTCTTCTTTAGCTTTGGAAATCTTCTCATTTAATTCTAAGATTTCTTGGGTGACTTTTTCACTATTCAAATTGTTTGATGTTGACAAATCTGAGATAGTTAAATTCAACTGTTCATTCTGTTTCTTGATTTCAAAAACAGTATTATTCAATTGTAATATTGTTTCATTTAATTTGGTTGTATCTCGTTCATATTTAGATTTTTCTTCTGAAATTTCTTTGCGCAAGTTTTCAACTAATTCGTCCAAATTAATGTTCTTTCTTCTTAAATCTTCTAAATCGGACATAAGTTGATTGACAACTTCTTCATTATCTTGAATGATTTTGTTCTTTTCTGAGGTGACTTTTTCAATTTCTTTTGTTAATTTGATCTCTTTCTCTTTAAGAATATTAATTTCTTCTGAAAGTTCACTGATCTTGGAATTCAAGTTTGTGATTTGGTTGTCTGTGTTTTTGACTGATGTTTCTTGTAAAAATTTCAATTCACTCATTAATCGCTTGAGTTTTTCTTCCAAAACATTGTTTTCGCTTTGTAATTCATCCGAAAGCTTTTTGAGTTCAGAGTTGTTTTTATGCAAATCATTGATTTCTTTAGAACAAACTGAATTCTGTTGTGTTAAAAGTTCGATTTCTTGTTCTTTAGATTTAACTTTTTGTTCTAAATCTTTTGTAAATTCAGAAATCTTGTTCAGCTTGATTTCATGGTTCATTTTGAGAGCATCGTTTTCTTCTTTAGACTGTTTAAGAAGAGCATTCAATGATTCAATCTTCGCTTGACTTGCATGACTTTCTTCTTCTCGGATTTTCTGATCTTTTGCTTGCATTTCTTGGAAATCTCGCTTGAATTTTTCAACCATTTCGTTCTGTGACTTGATTTTATCTTGTAACTTGTTCTGTAAATCTGAAATTTGTTTTTCTAAATGACTGATTTTTTCGTTATCTGCTGAATTTCGATTCTTCTTTTCTATTTCCATTTCATTTTCAAGATTTGTGATGTTTTCTTTCAATGTTTCGATTTCTCTTGTTTGTTGTTCGAAATCAGATTTGAGTTTTGAAAGTTCTGTTTCTTTCGCTTCCAATTTGTTCTCAAGTTCATGGACAATTTCTTCGTAATCTTGACTTTTTTCTTCTGAAATTTGTTTTGATTTTTCAATATTTGATAATTCTTGCTTGAGATTTTCGATTTCTGATTTGTATTCATCAATATCTTCTTGTGTGAACATGTGTTCAACTTTGGCTCTTAGTTCTTCGATTGTTTGATTCAATTTGTCGATAATTTCACTCTTGTCCCCTTTCTCTTGTAAATATTTAATTTGAGATTCAAGATTTTGTTTTTCTTGTGAAATTTGGTCGATTTCCTTTTCGAATTCGTTTTGAAGTTCTTCGTTTTCTGCTTTAGAAGATTCCAATTCGTTTTTAAGATCTTCAATTTCTTTCTGAAGTTTTTCGATTTTTTCGTCGTTTTGTTGGTTGTTGTTTTGGTCTAATTCTTTCTTAAGTTCTGAGATTTCTGATTCAAGTTCGTGAATACGATTTTCTGCTTCTGTATTTGAAACCTTCTGTTCGTTTTCTTCATCAATAACACTTTTAAGATCTTCAATTTCTTTCTGAAGTTTTTCGATTTTTTCGTCGTTTTGTTGGTTGTTGTTTTGGTCTAATTCTTTCTTAAGTTCTGAGATTTCTGATTCAAGTTCGTGAATACGATTTTCTGCTTCTGTATTTGAAACCTTCTGTTCGTTTTCTTCATCAATAACACTTTTAAGATCTTCGATTTCAATTTTAAGATCCGAAATTTCTTTTTCTAATAATAAAACTTTTTGTTCGGCTGCTTCTTTAGATTCAACTAAAACTTTTGTATCTGAATCCGTGACTTTTGTTTCATTTGCCAATCTCAGTTTTTCTTTTAATTCATCGATTGTTTGTTTATCATTTTCTTGTGATTTTTCGGCATATTCTTGTAATTCTTGGATTTCTTTCTTAGCATTTTCTAGTTTTTCCTGAAGATCATCGATTTCTTCTGTCAATGATTTGATTTCTTTGTTCAGTTCTTCGATTTCGTTCTGAAGTCGTTCAATTTCTTCATTTTTCTTCTTCAGTTCTTCCGATTTTTCTTCTTCGATTTCTTCGATTTGTTGAGTCAGTTCGTTCTCCGTTTGTTCAAGTTGTTCTTTCTTTTCGTTAAGTTCTTTCTCTAATTCTTCAATTTGGTTTGTTAATTCTTCGATTTCTTCTGAGCTTTTAATATCCTTGAGTTTTTCTTTCAATTCTTCGTTTTCTTTAGATAATTCATCATTTTCTTTAGCAAGTTCTTCAACAACTTCGTCGCCACCTTCACCTCTGTTGATTCGATCTTTCAGTTCTTCGATTTCTTTATTGTATTTTTCATCGGTTTCTCGTTTTTCTTCAATCAATTTCAAATATTCTGTTTTCAAATCTTTAAGTTCATTGATTTGTCTTTGGTATTCTTCATTCTCTTTCTGAAGCATTGCAAGGTTTCCTTCTGGTTTAGGTTGGTTGTTGATCTGTTCTTGCAATTGTCGTTTAGTATTCTCAAGTTGTTGAATTTTTTCATTTGTAACTTTTTTGTAATTTTCATAATCTTCATTTAATTGTTTCAACTTGATTTCATTTTCATCTTTTTTATCTGTTTCTTGATTGAAAATTCCTTTGCTTTCAAGTTTCTGTCGAAGTTTATCGTTCTCTTGGTTCTTTTCATTTAATGTTGTTTCGTAACTCTGAATGGTCATCTCGTATGCATGAAATTCTTCTTGTAACAAATTTAACGTATCTTTTAATTCTTTGTTTTCATCAATGATTTGTTGTGTTTGTTCGAATTTCTTTTCAAGTTCGTCGATTCGAGCTTTCTGGATACTAACAAGTGCGGAATCATTAACTTGGATTTCGGTATCATTCAACAAATTATCGAAGTTTTCATCCAAAATAAACATGATCTTTTGGACAAATTTGTTCCATGTAGATTCTTCCGAATCGATAATTGTCTTGAGATACCATTTCATGATATCTTTAAGTTCGCCCATAGATAAATGTGCTTTGATAGTCCGGATAAGTTCCTTAAAACATTCGTTTTGTGGAACTTTCAACAATAAACATTCTAAAAGAGTGATGACAATGATAGATCGAAGTTCCTTTGATGTATCACTAGATTTGCATGTAGAGATAAGGAATGCATGTGCAGAAACCTTGTTTGAACCTGGAATGACAATTTTAGAAACAAAGAATTTTGTAGCCATGTTAGATTCCCAGATAGCAGAAATGACAAACTGAAGAGATGGAATAAGGAGAACATGATTCTTGTCTTTGATGTTCTGGATAATGTTAATGACGTGTGTTAAAAAACAATCACCAGGTGGAGAACCATAAAGTTCTTTACCATAGAAGATTGTTAATGTATCACGTTTCGCAAATAAACATGAACGTGCCAATGTAAGAATTGAAAGAATTTGTGATGATTTATCGTTAATATTGTGTAAAATGTTTGAAAGTCCTTGTGTTTCAATGATCTCTTTAGCAATGATAGATGCGGCTGATTCCGATTTGTAGATGAAACATTCGATGCAGAAAACAGTGGATGACCTGATTTTTGAATCTTCACTTGAAATAGAGTTTCGAACAAGGTTCGGAATGTAGTTTTGTAATTTAGAACATGATGTTGTGTTGCCTTTGATGATTAAGCCTAAAATGTAAATCATTCGATCTTGTTGAGGACCTGGACGCATTGAGTGATCAATAATAACTTGTAATATACCTGAGATGTATTGTTCGTCTCTGAAGTCGTTGCTGACTGATGAACTGAACAATATTTGGATAAAATCAATAGCATTTGGATTATCGTTCTGTAATGGCTTGATAAGCTTTTGCAAACTATCTGTTTGAACAAACATTTGCTGAGATTTAGTGTTAGATTGTAGAAAAGATGTTAACGCGGCCAAAGAATCATTTGGATTTGTATCAATCAAGGCAGAAATAGGGTCTGTGAAGTAGAATGAGAATAAGTTTTGTAATTCCGTGTTTGATTTTACAATCTCTGGAATCAATCTTAAATAGTTTGTTCTAAATTGCTCGTTATTTTCGTCTAGAAGCGAGAAAAATGTATTCTGGACTTCCTGTTGGTTTAATATTGCCTTCTGGACTTCAGCGCCGTTCAAACGAGTTAATCGGAAAAGTAAACTTAATGTTCCAATTCGAATCATAGGAGAATTTCTATTAAAGCACGTAAAGATGGTGCCCAATGCATCCTGTTCTGATAGAATGCCGGCATTAGCTCGATACTTGTAGTCATCACCTGAAACACAGAATTTGAAAATTAAAAGTATAGCTGCGAGCAATTCGTCGTCAGAATTGAATGTCTTGATCGCTTGAATGAATTGTCGGAAGGCGGGTTCATTTACCATTTCCCAACAATCATCAGCTGAATCTTTAAAAGTAAGAATCGATTCTCGGACATCAATTCCTTGAGTAATGTTATTTAACATCGTTTCTGCTTCTGATCCTGGTTGGCCGTTATTAACTGGCCCGAGAACATTCTGCAAAAACGACATTTTATAGATTTCTAAATTCTGATTTTCAAAAAAATAAACGTGACCCTCATGCAAATAATATCATATCTATAATCACCATCAAAAATAACGCATATTTCTCATAGGCATTAATACTTTATTTTGAAGATTTTTTAATAAAAATTTTAAATTATTAAGTTTGGACCTATTTGGTGCGATTAGCATTGATGATAATTCTTACTATTAATAAAAACGCTTTTAAAGAAGAGTTTGAAAACAATTGTATAGAAATTTGAATTTTATGGTTTTGCTCTTGTTAGATATGAAAAATAATTAATACTTTTTATACAAGTAAGTTTTATTACAATAACAAATACAAAATAATGATATTATCCTATAATCAATCTTCTATTGTTATGTTCAAAGAATCCAAGGTAATATTCCAACCCATGCTTATTAACCATGTAAGTTACGAATATTATAAGCATTACCAAAGCGATAAATTTCAAGAAAAATCCGACCAAACTTTGATCTTCAGGCATTTTTTCTCCATTCTCTCCAACTTGGTTCAAATGTTCATATCTGACCTTGTCACCGCAGAAAACATCGGATTGATATCCGAAATTGACGGTAACTGATCCGAATTTCGTAGAATAGCCAAAGAAAGGCATATTCTGGCCATAATATACAACAGAGTTAACGGTTCCGTTACCCAAAGCCATGTATCCAATAAGGGAAATCGAAGGAGGTAACAAAATTTTTGAGATATTACATCCGAAAAATGCGTAATCGCTAATATTAGTCATAACAGTTCTCAACAAATTGACTTCTTTCAGTTTCTTGCAGTTCATGAAGCATCCTTCTCCAATACCAAGAATATTTCTTGAAGGATTGAAGATTTCTAAAGATGTACCTGCTAAAAGATAAGGTGGAAGCACAATGTCATCTTCTGAGAACAAAACTAAGTTAACTTTCGGACAATCATAAAAAATATGAGTTCCTGTCAAAGAATAATCAATATTACTGATATCTACTGTTAGCATACTATGGCAATGTGCGAACGCGTAGTCTCCTATGCCTATAATTGAATTAGGGAACCTAATATGCTCAATTGCAGTAAATTCAAACGCATGAGCTTTAATTTCGAAGTATCGCCTTGCAAATTGTATTACTTGGAACTTGGTGCAGTTGTAGAACAATCCTTCAGGAATATTATCGAACATCATCTCGTAAAAATTCGCTTTTATCAAATTTTGGCAACTCTTGAAACAATAAGATCCGAAATGACGATAGGACTCTGAAACCGTGAACTCTGAAAGGTTTGTAGCTTCGAAGACGAAATCTCCGATGTATTGGGTCAAAATTGAAGGATTAAATGAAGAAAGAGAGTGGCAGTTCTTAAAAGCTGCTGATTTGATCGTATATACGCATGTATATGAGATATCCACGTTTTTTATTCCGGAATTTCCTTCAAATGCGGACTCTCCAATCGAATTAATGCTTGGAGGTAATAGTAATTCGGTTATTTGGCAGTATTCGAACGCATGATCTGCAATTTCGGTCAACAAAGTATCAGAAATTTCGAAATTTCGTAATTTTGTATGGGAAAATGCGCCAATTCCGAGATGAGTTAAATTATCTTGGAAATTAAAGCTAGTTAATGATGTATTAGCAAAACAGTAATCACCTAAATAAGAGAATTTCTTATTATTAACTACTATTTCTGTTAATTTTCTGCAATTAGTAAATGAATAGTTTCCTATAGATACAATAGGAATATTTTCTGTATCAATGGCCTCTAAATTATAACAGTTGTAGAAAGAATAATCTTCAATTGTTTTTACTGTTGTTGGAAGGATAACTGCTACAAGACTATCGCACGAGCAAAATGTTCTAGCTCGTATAGAATTTAACTTGAGTGCTTTTAAGTTAACTGTTTTTAATTTTTTGCAATTTGCAAAACAATTTTGTTTAATTTCAGTAATTGAGTTAGGTAAAGTAATGCTTGTAATAGTGGAGTTCTCGAAAAGAGATTTTCTGAGGATTCCTACTACATATGATTTACTATTATGATCAACTTTCGAAGGAATTGTAATTTCTCCTGTGTAAACAGCTCCTTTGGAAGCGGAAAGTTGTGCAACATTATTTACAACATCTATTTTATAAGAATCTTTTGAAGAAATGAAAAGAAAAAGAAGCGAAATCATTTTTTAGAATTTTTTTTTATCATCATCATCATCGTGAAAGACAACTGCTAATTCATTTCTTTTATAAGAAAATTAGATTGCCTTCGACATCCTTGTTCTTGCTAATTACTATTAGAAGATTATAGTCAAAGTGTCTTTAGTTCTACTCAACTTTGATTTAAAGTAGAGATCTATTGAACACCAAAATTAATGTCCTCATATGCTTGATATTATATACTTGATATTAAAATTATATATCAAGCATTGGATTGCATGATAAATGCACTTTTTGAGCATTCTCACTTAATAATTATGCAATTTGCTTAAAATATCATGTTGTAACACATAAAGGATCTTTGCAAGCCTATCATCATATTAATCAAAATCAAATGTATATGGTATTAAATACTCAAGCAAACAGCAAATCTACGACATATTGAACAAATAATTATAGAATCAAGATTGTTTAGTAAAAATTTCTGACGAAGTTTGTGAAAATGTAAAGAAAGAAGAAACAATTGAGGGAATTTGTTTTGGTTCTATGAAACAATTCTCTCTATAAAAATACGAAAGTTTGTTTAGATCAGAATTAATTTTGTTTAAATGTAGCAGAGCCTGGTCCTCTACTTGTTGTTGACTTTATTTCAACAAATGAATCAGTAATAGTCAATGTGTAACCTGATATCTCATCACTAAATTCAAATGTCCCATTCTCAAAAAAAGTGACAGCAAGCAAATTTGTGTTGAACTACAATATAATGCATTGTAATTAAATTCTTTAAAAATTATCTTGCATACAAATCATTTAATAAGATCGTGTTAATATGATACAAGTATATTTACTGCCATTTAAGACTTTTCTGATGCAAAAATTGAACTTAATTTGGACAAAAACGTAAGTTTTTCTATTGCACCTGATTATCTATAGAACATAATAATTAAATCATTGAGTAATGCATTGCTATCTCATTTACATCATAAAGTCAAGTTCTGATTTCAATTGGTAAATATCATGATATCTTCAGCATTTTTCGACTGTCTGACAGCTATAAGATATAATTAGCATTATATAATTAAAGAACTTATCAGAACATGAAAGATGAGTTATGTATTCGAAATTTGGCAGATCTCAAAACTTCTTCGTATTTAAAGAAGAGGCAATGCATTAAAAACCAAATCGAATTCTCAGTTATTTTGTCTAATAGGCAGTGTCAAGATTTTTTTCATAACAAATTATCGGATTTTCAAAGAAAGACAATGTTTTCAGAATTGCTGGATGATAACATTACTAGATCTGTTGTAAACAGAAATTCGTCAAAAGTGACACCTCAGAAAAGCTAAAATATTGATTTTTTGGAACTTTTGATAGAGCACGTTTTTAAATATTCATTAAAGTAAATGTATATTTTGTAAAGATTCTTTTTAATAAAAAAATAAAATTTTGAAGAAGAACACAAAATGTTATAGACCGAAAATAGATTTTTTCGGTTTTCTCTTCAAATAATTGAAAGAATGATACTATTATAGGTTTATTATATTATATAGCATATAATCATGCTATAGCCGAAAATTATAAGTTTTGAGAAGATTGAATATAACACAAATAAATTTGAAAGTAAGTTAAATTGCTTGTTGTTTTTAATAGCTATTTAATGAGAAATCCAATATTGCAAAATTCAAATTGAATGATTGAAAGAACAGAAAAAGTCATTCTTTTCAATTTCGAATATTCATTGTATTTATATTATATGGCAAATAAGATATTTAAACTTGATTTTTGAAGGAAAATTCACAAAATTGAATAAATTCAAATAATTTTTATTCAAAAATAAACTAGTTATTTGAGTTTAATACTAATTATCTATTCAAACTACAAAGTTTGTAATTTAAAATATTTTGTGAGATCAGCTTGAATTAATTCAAGGTTCTTTTCAATTAATATTAATGACCATATTACGCATTTTCGAACATTCTAAACCAAATATATAAAAATGGGAGACGAATGTTAAATTTGCTAGACATGGGGGAGTTGTCTGCAAAGTTTTAGCTCTTATCTCTAACAAAAAATTAATTTTTAAAAAAATGACCGAATACGTTTCACAGCAAGAAAAAAAAAGGCAAGATAGAATTTTCTAGACATAAAGAAGTTGTTTACCGAGTTTTAGCTCTTATCTCTAACAAAAAATTAATTTTTAAAAAAATGACCGAATACGTTTCACAGCGAGAAAAAAATAAAAGGCAAGATAGAATTTTCTAGACATAAAGAAGTTGTTTACCGAGTTTTAGCTCTTATCTCTAACAAAAAATTAATTTTTAAAAAAATGACCGAATACGTTTCACAGCGAGAAAAAAAAAAGGCAAGATAGAATTTTCTAGACATAAAGAAGTTGTTTACCGAGTTTTAGCTCTTATCTCTAACAAAAAATTAATTTTTAAAAAAAATGACCGAATACGTTTCACAGCGAGAAAAAAATAAAAGGCAAGATAGAATTTTCTAGACATAAAGAAGTTGTTTACCGAGTTTTAGCTCTTATCTCTAAAAAAAATTAATTTTTAAAAAAATGACCGAATACGTTTCACAGCGAGAAAAAAATAAAAGGCAAGATAGAATTTTCTAGACATAAAGAAGTTGTTTACCGAGTTTTAGCTCTTATCTCTAACAAAAAATTAATTTTTAAAAAAAAGACCGAATACGTTTCACAGCGAGAAAAAAATAAAACTGTACACTGATTTTAATTTTCATTTCCAGTCACTTTACTTATTATTTTTTCTTTTTTTCATTTTAATTATAAATTATTTCATAATACGTTTATTTACGTTACCATTTTCTTTATTCTTTTGAATTCCATACTAGACACTTATAGAATATTTTGATTGTTAACGTACTTCATTAGAATGAATCCTTACAAAGGGTATGTCGATCGAATTTACCTAATTGGTATTTCCAATCAGATTGAAGAAGGTAAAATGACATGGAAAGAAGCTTGCACTTATGTTCCCATCGCCCCAACCCTTCAATCAAATGATTTCAAATATTTAGATGTTTCAAAATCTTTTTTACAAAATCAATTTAGCTTACAGAATATCCCATTGCCTAAAGGCAAGAAAGGTCGTAGGGTCAATCCCTACGACCAAATCAAAGCTCTTGCTGTGATACATGACCACTGGGCCTTTCCCTGTGGTCAAACAAAACAATGGAAACGTTTGAAATTACAACAAATTGATGTATCTTATAGAGAAGTACGCAGATACTTCAAAGAAAATCATTTCACCAAGACGCGATTAGAGCATGCCGGGCCAGAAACAGCAGTAAGATATTGGGCGCTTTCACCCAATCTTATCTGGCACGCAGATGTTCATTATTTTAAGGGTGTTCGTGGCCAGTATATTTATGGCATAATCGACGATTTTAGCCGCAAAGTCCTAGCGTGTATACAAATACCAGATATGCTGGCAGCAACGACAGCGAACGTTGCGGCTTCCGCCTTCATTGAATTTGGCGCCCCTTATTGTTTCTGGACCGACAACGGTTCAGAAAATAGGGGCGCCTTTCAAGATCTACTTGATCTTTGGGGCGTCCAATGGCGGCATACAGACTCTCATTCTCCCTACCAAAATGGGAAGATTGAGAGATTCTGGCCGACATTGGAGCGCTGCCAAAGCATTCAGGCTATTCCTGCTTTATTTGGGAGTACAATAATAACACACCGCATGAAGATCTCCCAATTATCCATTAACTGGAACAAATTACACGCCAAATCAAATGTATCAGCTGAAACCGAAAATACACAAATGCAGATACAGAAAGGTTGTGGCAAATATGGGATACAGATACAGGCATGACGCTGTTGACACATTCACAGCGTAATAATAAACATAATTTTTTAATTTCATTTTTAACAAAGTTTTTTTTAAAATGTATGTAATGAATAATTCATTTAGAATATGATAATGCACATTGTACAGAATAGAACAATCACCAAATTTTTTTTGAAATTAAAAATAAAAGTAAAAAGTATAAAGTAATCTAACCAAAAAAGATATTTAAAAGAATTTTGGAAAAAACAGAATAAGGATAATGATATTATTTTAGATACACAATCGATGTACTGAAGAATAATCCGGTAAAATGATGATATAAAATTAGAATTATTTTACAAGTAGCTAAAAGAATAAACTATAATATAAAATAAATGAAGTTTAATGAAACAATAAAGGTTAAATAAATAATAAAGATTTTTATTTTATATCAGTATTGAGGAAGAAGTAACAGCTGACACTTGGTAGACAACTTCTTTATGTCTAGAAAATTCTATCTTGCCTTTTATTTTTTTCTCGCTGTGAAACGTATTCGGTCATTTTTTTAAAAATTAATTTTTTGTTAGAGATAAGAGCTAAAACTCGGTAAACAACTTCTTTATGTCTAGAAAATTCTATCTTGCCTTTTATTTTCTTGCTGTGAAACGTATTCGGTCATTTTTTTAAAAATTAATTTTTTGTTAGAGATAAGAGCTAAAACTTTGCAGACAACTCCCCCATGTCTAGCAAATTTAACATTCGTCTCCCATTTTTTATATATTTGGTTTAGAATGTTCGAAAATGCGTAATATGGTCATTAATATTAATTGAAAAGAACCTTGAATTAATTCAAGCTGATCTCACAAAATATTTTAAATTACAAACTTTGTAGTTTGAATAGATAATTAGTATTAAACTCAAATAACTAGTTTATTTTTGAATAAAAATTATTTGAATTTATTCAATTTTGTGAATTTTCCTTCAAAAATCAAGTTTAAATATCTTATTTGCCATATAATTATAAATAAATGAAACATATTCGAAATTGAAAAGAATGACTTTTTCTGTTCTTTCAATCATTCAATTTGAATTTTGCAATATTGGATTTCTCATTAATAGCTATTAAAAACAACAAGCAATTTAACTTACTTTCAAATTTATTTGTGTTATATTCAATCTTCTCAAAACTTATAATTTTCGGCTATAGCATGATTATATGCTATATAATATAATAAACCTATAATAGTATCATTCTTTCAATTATTTGAAGAGAAAACCGAAAAAATCTATTTTCGGTCTATAACAAAGAAGAACACAAAATCTTCTGAAAAATAATATCACATAAACTCATATTATTTTCTAATATATAACTATTTTATATAAAAATCAAATTCAATGATCTTAAAAGCGAAGGATAAACCTCAAAATTTACGAATATAATGAGTGGGAATATAATGCTTATCTATCATAAAACCATATGAAATATCAATTTTTGCTTTACGCCTAATTTTTGACGACAATTAGCAAAAAATGTTAAATGTTAACACTCAGTCCATTTGAATATGAAAAATAAAATTGACTTTGATTAAATGTTTTTATTTATCATGCAATTCTTCTTGCGACCAAAGATTTGAATAAAAGTTCAAAAAATAAGATAGCTTAAGAAATAATATACGGTAGTGTTTACTAATAGATGAATAGTATATAAATTCTATTAAAATGGATTTGATCCAAAAAAATATATAAAATTTGATCATAAATAAAATCGTTTTAAATTACTTCTTCATTTAAATTATAACAATTATTTTTGGTTTTATATTTTTTTGGATCAAATCCATTTTAATAGAATTTATATACTATTCATCTATTAGTAAACACTGCCGTATATTATTTCTTAAGCTATCTTATTTTTTGAAATTTTATTCAAATCTTTGGTCGCAAGAAGAATTGCATGATAAATAAAAACATTTAATATGGCATTCCAAACGGGAACCGCGGTTGGTTACCATGGATTTCCGTCACCGGTCACATTTTAAAGATTTTTAAAGCCTTATAAAAATATGCTTTGTAAATCATTTTTTGTAAATCGGCAAAAATTTGGTAATTTTCTTCAACTAATAAATCTGCGAATAGCATTTATAATACAAGAACAATCTTTTAAAATGCGTTTGATTCATTTTTGTATAATTTCATATAGGCACATATATTCTTCCGGGACTTTCCGTGATTTTACCGTAAAATCATTAGTTTACACCAATTTTCCCGTATTTTGAATAGTTTACTGCACTTTTTCCGTAAAATTGAGTTACGGGAATCCGCAAAATTTCCGGACCTCATTTTTCATAGAATATAATAATAATATTTGATAAAAAGATATATTATTTATATTTTTGATTTTTGAATTACGGAAAAAGTGAATTGTTAACTTGATTTTTTTATATGGTTAATTTTTCAAATGATATTATGAAGATCTAAAATATTAAAAGTAAAAAATTGAATTACGGAAAAAGTGAGGTCAAAAGTGAAATAAATTTGCAGAACAATTTTCATTGAAATAAGACATTGAGTATCACACTTTAGTGAATCAACATCTATAAGAATGAAGTGTTTTGAAGCTGAAATAATATTGAATAGAAATTAATTTTTTCTGAAATTTTGAATGAAATTATGGGAAATAAAAAAATTACTAAATATTGTATTCATACAAATATATTATTTTAAAGGAAAAATAGATGCTGATAGAAACGATGAAAAATTTTGAAAACTTTACAATTAATTTATGTTCGTTAACCACAGAGCTTGCAATCCAAAGCTCACGTTAGACTACAAGAGTCATGAAGTCTCATACTAAGGGATATCCAACATATATTTTAATAATCTAATGTTTGTGACAAATATTCAACATAAAATTAAGTTTTCGTTTCGTTACAAGGCATTCATACTTTGGAGATATCATATTTAATGTACAGAAAAGTTAATATTAAACAATACATGCTAAAGAATTAATAAATAAGATAATAAAATAAATTTATACGTAATTACTTTCATTTAATATGCTTTATGCTGTATAATATTGATTAAGAGGCATTAAAAGGTTCCATAGTCTGCTTTTATAGGCAAGATTTTTGATAAAAATTTAAAATTTTGAAAAATGATGAGAAAAGGAAAAAAAAGGTAAATGAGAGCAAGAGGAGGGAAAAAAAAGAAAAAGAAAAGAAAGGGAAGGGAAAAATAAAAGAAAGAAGGACATATAAAAATTTAGATGCGCATTCTTAATGCCGAGGCGGCTTGCCGCCGAGGCGCGATTTTTTTAGGCCTCTACGGTAACCCGGCAATGTTTTTTTAAATCTTGTACAGCCCTAACATTTAATCAAAGTCAATTTTATTTTTCATATTCAAATGGACTGAGTGTTAACATTTAACATTTTTTGCTAATTGTCGTCAAAAATTAGGCGTAAAGCAAAAATTGATATTTCATATGGTTTTATGATAGATAAGCATTATATTCCCACTCATTATATTCGTAAATTTTGAGGTTTATCCTTCGCTTTTAAGATCATTGAATTTGATTTTTATATAAAATAGTTATATATTAGAAAATAATATGAGTTTATGTGATATTATTTTTCAGAAGATTTCATTCTATATGCCTATGAAAAGTACTCTCAAAACCAACTTTTTCCTAATTATAATTAAATCTAGAATATTGTATTATGCTTAGTATTATTTCATTTTTCTCATTCAATTTAGAATTTACAAATGTCAAAAAATTGAGAGCTGTCACTTTTGATGAATTTCTGTTTATTACAGATCTATAAATAATTTATTTGGTGTAAGCTCATCAAAAAAATTTTCGTTACAAAAAATCCTCAATAAAAAATAAATTTAATTTTTTGTAATGACTGTAAAGCTTGAAATAGATAGAGTAGCAGAGAAAATCAACGATTCGACATCAAAGATTCTTGCCACTCTGAATTCTCTCGATGAAATGCACGCGAACAAGACTTACGAGATTCCTGCAGAAGAAGAATTACAGAAAATACGATCAAATTTCGAAGATTTACAATTGAGCAACAAAGAAGGAGCACTAAAAGAGCTAAACAACTGGATGAAAATGAGAAAAACTTATTATCACGAAGATGACGCTGAATATATCAAAAATATTGAAAACTTACATCGTTCTTTTGCTGACTCTCTCACACCAACATTACAAAATCTCTTCAAAGAAATCAATAATTACGATAATAAACTTCATGCTTGTTTAGATGACGTTAATGCTCTTAGTTTGGAGCTATTTGAGTACTACGAAGCTACCAAATCTCATGATACAGAAGAGATCAAGTTTCCAGACCTCGTTCTCGCTGACAAAGCTGTAGAAGGACAATTATCTTCTTATTCACGCGAAACACTCATTGAGCAATTGACACAAATGCAGAAAAGAGAAAAGTACTTCTTAGAAATCCTCGAATCTCTACGAATGACCGTCAAAAAAGTTCAAACAGATTTGGAATCTTCTTTAGCTCATGAGAAAGAAATACAAAACGCATTGGATGCTACAAAGACCAGTCTCGACCAAATGACTGACAAATCAATCGAATTAGAGAAAACAGTCGCATTATTTCAATCAAAAGAAGAAGCCAGGATAAAAATGTGGGAAAACGTTAGAATTGCTAACCAAGAACCATATATGGTCGGACAAGTCTTCGTTTCTCCAAAAATTGACGTTTCTGACGAAATTAACGAATATGAGATTCCATTTGAAGAAATTTCGCATGATTATGGTGTTTACAATGAAGATATATTCGATATCAATACAGAGCATAATGAAATAGAAGTCCAAACTGATCCTGTTGAGTTTGTAACAGAAAATGAAATAAATCATGAAGAAGAGATCAAGAAAGAGCTTGAATTAAACGCAAACAAAGATTCTGATGATAGAAAGAAGGGAATAATTGATTCAGAATCAGAGAAACAACTTCCAAAATTAAAATCAAATAATTCATCAGAAGTTGAGAAAGAAATAACATATTACAGACCAGATGTTGATATGGAAGTATCACCTGTTGTTGAATTACATATTGCTTTGATTTCAGAACCAGATTTTAATTATTCTTCAGAGAATTCTAGACCTAATCACAGAAGAACTAGTAATGCACAGAACATGGCTGTTTCAAGAGGAATAACATTACAAGATGGATCTAAAAACAGCTTCAATAACCAAGTTTTGAATGAAAATCAAAATAATTCAAACAGTAATCTTGTAAATAACGATAATTACATCAATTCTAGTTCATCAAGGAGTAGTATGATAAATTCTAATGCTAATACAAGTAACAAGAGTTTGCATCAACTTGAGAAAGAAAATCAACAATTATCATCAATTTCAGAAGAATCAGGAGGAAATGAATACTCAAAGAAAGTCATTCCTCCAAACCATAACAACACTAATTATGTTTCATCTTCCATTTCAAATCCTAGAACTAACCAAATTCACAGGAACAACAACAACAACAGAAATGTACAAAAGAGTGAAATTTATGATGAATACGCAGCAGAAGACAGCTTTGCATCATCAGAATCATCAGAATCACAGTTTCAAGACAAATTAATCAGGTCTCAACAAGATCTTGTATTTAATAACGAAGGCGTTTTTGTCGAACCTCGTTCATTCGAAGCAGAAGATGCACATGATGTTCTTCGGATCAACACAAACATCAGTCCTGTTGATGATCCTTCGAGACCTCAAACAGTGCGAAACATTACAACTAACCCTCTTGTTCGATACAACTTTGATGACCAAAATTGTCAAAATCAGCAACAGAACGAGAAAGAGACACCTAAGACAGCTCAGAACCGTCCTCGATCTCCAATTATCGATTTCTGGAAATCTCAACCGAAGAAAGGATGGCGAGTTGGTCAGCCTTACTATTCTGCTGCATTCAGACAGAGGATGCTTCGAATTGCAGCGATGAGAAGTGGATATACACAACGATCTTCAGTCAAAGTGAATTTTGTTCCATTTGGGCAAAGTCAGCGAAATGAAATCGAAGGAGAACAAATTCATAAATCTCCAGTTTCACCGAGAAGAGATGAAAGAGGATATTTGCCTTCTTATCCAGGAATCATGAGACCAAATGTCATTGGATCAGAGGTCGGAAGGAAAGATCGAGGTTTGGGACTCTATATATCTTCTTTCAATTTCAACAGAAAGTAATTTTATAATATATATTATTGTTTGAATTTTGTTTTATATATCTATATTAAATGTTTGATATACTTCCATTTACAACTAAATATTTATAATTTTGATTAATTTCACAGAATATACAGCTAAATTATGTATGAGGTAGTTAGTTAGATGCAATTATTGGATAAATATGTTCTTATGATTAATTCCTAGAGTCATATGATTTCTATTAATTCAACTGCCTTGACAGAGAGAAAGTTAACATATTTCATTTTATCTAGTTTCGTGCGGCAAATTTATGGATGAATTAACAGAGAATTCTTTGTCTAAATATAGTTCACGTAAAACTTCAACAAATGAAATGTTTGTTGAATAGAGATCCAAGATGCATGCAAATTTTTCAACAAAAAAAATTCAAATAAACAAATAATGAAGTTAAATTGTTTTGTTATAAAATCTTTGATGATGTTTCTGCAAATTTGGATATATAAGGTAATATAAATGTCATTTGTTTTGGTTCGATAAAACAAAACTCTGGATAAAAATGTGAAAGTTGATTTAGATCAGAATTACTGTTTTCTTTAGTAAATGTAACAGTTCCTGGTCCTGTACTTGTTGTTGACTTTATTTCAACATATGAATCAGTAATAGTTAATGTGCAACCTGAGTAATAAATTGTAAACATATATTTTGCAGTGTTATTTAAAAATACGCAGTGATCAACATTAGTATTGCAATTACAAAAAAATAGAACTTGGTCACCGTTTGTTCCACATTTATTTCCAATAACATTGCAATAAGAAACTGTTTGTATCAGTGAATCATCATTACTCCAAAATCTAAGAGAATCACCTCCAGTTTGGTTGTTTTCTCTGAATGTTGAGTAATTACAATAACCTGATTTTTCATTAAGAGTACTATCTATTGATGACCATTTACTGCATTTGTTGTAAGTGATGTTGTTATTCAAAAAACGTAGATCACCCCATCCAAAATGAAATGTATAACTTCCTTTTGATTCACTTTCGCCACATTTTGAAACTGAAATTTGAAAAGCGTAGTTTTTATAATCAGGAGAATCTTTAACAACTTGACGAAATGACATGTACCGATCTTTTGCTATTGATTCAGAATAACAATTTCGTTGTTGAACAAACTGTCCTGACTGTTGGCACCAAAAGTAAACAGATCCACCTTCTGAAGTGGATTGGCATTTAGTAAATGTGTTATCTTCAAGTAATGTGCAGATTTCGTTATTTCTTGAGATATAAATTGCACCGTTTGTTTTGCACTCGTTAAATAAGCAAATAAAAACGTAATAATTATTAGAACCTGTAGTATTTGAGAGTGAGGTTCCATCTTTGGTCTGTGTAACTTTATCTATCTCGCCAAAAAACTCTGACCAGCTGAATTTTCTTGAATTTTTCAAAATTCAATGTCATTTAGACGTGTGTTGAGTGATTATTAAATTGTTTCAATGATGTACTTCTGATTCTTGGTGTAATAAAATACTTTTCTCGTAATGAAAGATAAAATATAATAAAAAAAAATTTAAAAAATGTCACGTTTTTACTTCATGAAAGAGGACAAGTTAAAATGGCTTTATCAATACAGTGGCACTTTGTGCTGTTCTAGCCCTATTAATGAAATTGAATTTGCTTTTGAGATATTTAAATTAATAATACATATAACCAGTTAATTCTACCTGCAATTTTGAAATCAATGTTTGCTAAAAATCTTTAAATCCTTTATAAATACTGGATGAATTATGTAAATCAGAGCAATAGATTAATCCTTAAAAAAGTAGAAATAAAAAATTAAATAACTACAAGATTTATTTTATAATTATAATTCGTCGGGATTGATCTTAAATGGGCCGGCAAGACCATTTGTGAATTGACGGATGAAATCGATCTTTGCTGTGTTCTGAAGGAACTTCTCCAAGTCTGCCTTCTCGATACGTTCATTAGAGATTTCGGACAATTTAAGAGCATGCAAACAGATAGATGTGTATTCATAATGGGATTGGTGGTTGCACAATGAGATGAATGCGTGGGCAGCAACAATTGGGCCATCACCAAATGTATCTAATAACAAGATAGCGGGATTAGATTCACTCAAGTAGAAAACTTTTGGTGAGCAGAAGATGAATTCAATAACAGACCACAATGCAGAGAAATTGTTAAGAGATGTGACTGATTCAATATCTAAAAATTCATCACGATAAAATGAATTTTTCCGTGAGATGATGATGTTCTTCAAGATTTTCATCATTCCTGGAATCAATGAACCTGTCGTTTGATGTGGAAGTGCAGCATCAAGATTTGCAATGAACTTGATGATGTTACCGACAATGCGCATGCTAGCAAAGAACTTGCCGATGTGTGAATGACTAGCAGCAGAGTAAACATCCATGTTGAAGTCGTAGAAGCCAACTAAGTCGTGTCGAGCTAATGCAGGAACAATTCGGATAGTACCATTGAACTCGTTGTATGATGAAATAGCAGACAATGCGGCATCTTCAAGTTTGGAAAGTGATCGTTGGATCAAAATCGTCAATTCGTTGTAATTAAACAAACGACACAAACAGATGAATGAATCTGGAACTGAATGAACTTCTTCTTCTTTGTGCATCTTAGCGAATGATTCCGCCCATGCTTCTTTAGACAATGGATCAATAGTAAGTGGTTTAGAGAAAATAAAACAGTTGTTGACGTAATCCAATTTCATGTGTGAAAAATCAATGATTCCGTCAATGCAACTTTGGATTTTGCTCGAAACAGCAAATGGGGAATCTGATGATTTTGCACTCATCCACATCTCATCGAAATCATCGATGTTAACTTTGTTTTCAATCAAAAGATTGTGTGTGACTTTTGCAATGCGAACAAGGTGTTCGACATATGGAACCATTCGGAAATCAGTCAGAATCTTGATGTATTTCTCAAGTTCTTCACGAATGCGTTTGTTAAGTTTTGTAACAACAATCATGTTGAAATCAACTGGAGCACCGATGATTTCAAGTTTGTTCTGCAATGCCATGATAGAGAATCGCATTGGCTTTGGTTTCAAGAAACCGATGTCGTTTGGTTTCATTTCAATAGCTGCAGATGTTTCGCGGATCATTTTATAATATGTATCGGCAAATGTGAATGAAATCATTTCAACAACAACTTGTGTTTCCTCTGCAATTTCTGTGAACAAGTGCTGTGAATGATAGACATTCAATGCTTGGCTGGATGCATCATTGTATATTTCGAATGGGAAGAAAACTAAATCTTGAAGAGCCGGTTGTTCGCGAGTACTTAACAAGTGACCAACTAAGATAAATGGTAATGATGAACGAATAGGAAACTGATAGATATGATCAACATCAAGCATCGTTTCATGGAACCAAAGACAGCCAAGATTTGACTCTTTACGAACTTTAGATGTGAAATTAAAATAGTTATACCATGTAGATGATTCTTGGATGAACTTCTCAATCGTTTTAACGTGGTTCTTCTTGAAGTGGCTTTGTGAAAATGTTGTTGTTTTCTCAAGAAACTTTGAGTTTGTCAAGATCATAGATTGAAATTGAACACGTAAAACATCGATGTGTTGTGGAGCCATGAACGCTTTAGTCTGTGGCCAGTAGAAGATAGTGTGGATGGATTTAAGCAATGCAACACAATCATCGTCACCAACTTCACTTGCATGTTTCAATGGTTCTTCAATGATCTCATCCATGAACTCGCGGATGTTGTCATTAAGGTATTGACCAAGAAATGCGTTTAAAACTGGTTCGGCATCAATTAAATTGCTGACAAGTGACTTAACATAGGCCAATGTTTCGACTAATGAGTTGATGTCGGCTTCAGAGTAGTTGAAACGAACGGCTAAGTCATACTTGTAGACTGTTTCTTCTGATGGATGATCTGGTGGTGGATTTCCTGTAACTGCAAATTTAAATGCTGTTTGTTGAAGAATAACCATGACAAGATAGGAAAGACAGTCAATAACGGAATTAACGTTCGAAATGGTGGTTTTATTTCGGTCACTTCTCATGTTTGAGGCTTTTTTGAGGGCATCACGATATCTTGAACGAATTTCGGATAATTTGCCGGCCAAAAGGAACTGATCTGATAGTTTAGCAAGTTCTGGTTGTGTTGTTGGGAAAGGAAGTTGCTTAATTGCGTTTAATCCGCGGCAATCTGCTAAAACTGCACCAGGAATGAGAAATGTCTCGACATATAATGGGAGAACGGCATTCTGTGCAATAATATCTAATGCATCCTTGCAGAGACTCTGTTGGAAGATATTATTTAAAGGATTATTTGTTCCGTGGACGTAGAGAGTAAATATCATGCCGATGATCAATGAAATTCTTTCAGAAGGAAAGACTGCTTGTTCTTTGTATCTGTTAATGCAATACTGAAGATATCTTGTGAAAAAGTACAAAGATTGGGATTTTGTCTTAGCGCCACGACGTTGGTTATCTTCACCAACTAATGTCCTGATGGCATTAAGGAACAGATTCCTTCCGGAAAAGTATGTTTGGATTTCGCTTAATTTTGAGAGAGTTGCTTGGTCTAATGAGCTGTCACCTTTGCAAAATTGTATGTCGCGTGAAATACCAGTCTTCAATGTCTTCAGTTTCTCGATAGTAAAGATTTGATATAAAAATTCAGTTAATTTCATGAAAAACGGTTCGCAATATTCAATATTGGGATTAATAATAATATCAAAAATAAATTGGATAGTGCTGCTTGCAAAGTTAGTGATTTCGGCTAATTTCACTAAAATTGGTTGGAAAAGTTCTCTGAAATTTGCTCTGAATAAATTGAGATCATTCTTGCCTGTATCAGCGTCAAGATTTGATGACTTCAATTCATCATCAAGTTTGAATAAAAATTCTATTGACCTAAATGTATAAATAAATGAGATATACGGCTCAGCAGTTTCGATCTTTTCCGAGATAGTTTTAAGTAATTGTATTTGATCAATGATAGGTTGATTGATTCTGTTCTGAGATAAAACTTCAATCGGAACTTCGAGATATCTGAATGTAGGCTCTGGCGGATATGAAATTTGGTCTGCCCTGACAACGACATCAGGTACTTTTGACTTAAAAACTAACTTAAAATCAACATTTACTTCAATATTCCGCTTCGTATACATTTTTTTGTGAAGTTATCTGATAGCATTTGACAAGTGCCAAATTTCTAAATTCTAGAAATGCTTATCTCATATATCCTGCCAAAATCCACCGCAGAATTGGATTTTTATTATGGTTGGTTGAAATCTGAAATTTTAATTCTTTATTGAATTCAGATCAGAATGATGTATTTCGTCATTAAAAAACTAGCCCATATGATGTCATTGTTCCAAATAAGATAGATTTGTTTTATTAAGCATTCTATATTTTATTAACTCTTTTTAAGTAGTTCTAGTATACAAAATAACAAATATAAGGTATATACAAATAGTATAATGCAAACAGTTTATGTTAATGTAAGTTCCTTGGCTTTTTGTCTCTCTATTTCAGTAACTTTTTGGAAATCCAAATATTTAAGTTTAGAAAACAATTTGATTGCGATAAGGCGATAATCTTCTATCTTGGTTATTGGGTTTTCCATTAAACTCAGATATTGAATTTCATTACAACGAGTAAGAGGAGAAATATCTGAAAATGTACGAATATTGTTATTAGTAAGCATGATTGATTTGATATTTGGACAGGTATCTGGGAAATTTTCCGCAACTTTTTTGATTAAGTTGTTATTAATTAGTAATGTCGTAAGTCTTTTTAACAGAGGAAAATCCTCGAGTGTTTCTATCTGGTTATTTGAAAAATCAATGACATCAAACTGATCTTGAGTGCAGCCAAGATTTTCTACTCGAGGAATTTTCAGTCCTCTTAAATCAAGCTCCCTCTCTTTCAAAGTATTTCGGAATGCAGGGGCTTTCATTATAATATCGACTGTTAATCTTTTCATTGATGAGTAAAATAGTCACTTTTTAAACGATTTATTTAGGGGATTATTAATTACTCCAATTATGTTATAAGAATCTGCAATTTAAACATGATAGTTATGAATTCTATAGGACATTACAAAATATCGATAAGCGTAAACGATTAATATTCATTATAAATATTATGTTTTTAACGAAATTTGAACCTTCAATGTCACCTTTAAAAATTAATTTATCGTTTCAACAAAATTAGTTGAAAAATCCTATTTATCTATGTGTTTTATGTAATATTTAAAAATTGTGCTTCCTCTCAAAAAAGAATATTTTCAGAGTGTATCACAAAATCTTTTCATAAAGAATAAATGATTTCCACTCTTTTCCTAATTTTGGCTCAAATGACCCAAAGTTTGGAAAAAGAACCATCGCTAATAATTCCTAACCATTATATGAATGTGCATCTCAAAGGAGGCGAACCGCAAGCGTTTCAAGTTGGATTTGTTTCTGTAATTTTAGGCAGAGACATTAAAATTCAGTTAATAGACCCGCATCCCGAAGTTCATAAACCATTTGAAGAAGGTTTTGCTGTTGTATTCGAGCGCCCTCTCAATTTTATCAAAATAATTTCTAAACATACACAAAACATCGCAATTTATCCAAATCTTACCCTCGGCATTCCGGTCAACCGTCATGACTCGGTTATCTTTTCAAACAGAGTTATTGAAGAAATTCGTCCTTTAGAAATCGGACCTTGCGTACATTTCATTTACTTTACAAATAAGAGCTTGGCACGTGCAGACATTGTCAAAGATAAGGTAGTTAGAGCGATTTATGGTGTTAACGACACTGATATTAGCAAAGGTTTGATTTCTAAAGTAAATTTACATGAAATCAGGAATCTTTATGTACACGCTATGGGCCCAAGGGAAGCTAGTATGTGTCTCAGAATCACATCAACGAACAAATCAGAAGTTAACACAAAAGAAGAAAATATTTATGGAATTTACAAAGTTGGGAAGTTCCCATCCATAATTCGCCGCCATGATCTATCACAAGCATTGTCTACAAATAATAATTGGATAATTATTTATGTATTTATTGCATTTTGCATTACAGGAGGAATTGTCTTTGTTGGATTCCTTATTTATAGAACAAGGATTAATATGAGGCGCCGTCAACAATTGGAACTCAACGAATTAATAGAAAATACAATTCCTCCAATAGAAAGTGACACTCCAATGAATGAAGAAGAAATGAAGTATATTTCTGCAGAAAACATTACTCCGGCCATTCCAACCAACGAAATGGGCGAAGTAACAATTTACCAAGGTCAATTAGAAAACCCTTATCTTAATGATGAGACTGTTTTGTAAGTCTTTCGTATTTTTGTTTTTATTTGTATGTAAAAATTCTTTGTTATTGATATTCGTACTTATTTACCATGATTATTTTAATAAATTTTAATAACCTCATTGAACTATCGAAATTCATTGCTTAAACAATGAGTTTATAGCTTTGTAAAACTATGTGACGAATAGATATCTCCAATATACCCTTATTGTTATCTTATCTAATAAAAACCAAGTATCCATATGTTATGTATCCATCACCCAAACCATAAAATCGTTATTTTGGATTTATAAACCTATCTTTATAGATATTAAAAGATTTTTGTGATAAATCAATAATTATAAGTTTAACATTTTGTATCTATTGTTTGGATAGTTGGGTCCTTACTCACAATGGGCTGAATAAGAATCTTACTATTGAAATTGACCACTTATTCAAAAAATGGAAAATCTTTTAAGAATTGAATGAGGACTAGCTTTAAAAAGTATGATGTTTTTCAATTAAATAGTCTATTTACTCTAAAAATCTCTATCAAATAAAAAAAAATAAGTTATTTCAAAAATTTCTATTCATTTTTCTGGAATCTGTCTCCTCTTGGTGGTCTATCACCTCTAGGTGGTTTGTCTCCTCTCGGCGGTCTATCTCCGCGAGGTGGGAATCCGTCATTTCTAGGACCTTTTCTGTCATCTGGTCCATGGTGGAATTTCGGCTTTCCTTTCTTTGGAGCGTTCTTCATTGGCTTCCTTTCTTTGTTTGCGAAAGCCCATGATGGGTTCTTTGGCTTCTTTGCGTTCCATGTTTCTTCAGATGATAAATATTCAGCGAAATTCAAGCAATTTGTAGCAGCAATCTTCAATTCATCGTATGATTTTTGCTTCTTACCCTTTTCTTCCTCTGAAAGACCCTCAAATTCCTTTTCATTTTCTTCAATTTTCCTTGCAGCCTCTGTTTTGAGGTAAGGAATGACTAGATCGAGTTGTGCCTGCTTTGCTTCATCTACTTCCTTCTTTTCTCCTGTTTGTACAAAAGTAATTCCGAAAATTTCGTTTGAATGTTCAGGAACTTTTTTAATTAATGTACTCATGAGGAAAAGAATTGGTTCCACAACAAGCATGCTTGAGAACAAACTGCCTATTTTGGTAAATAAGTGTTCGTAAAGCGAATTAATTAATTCAGTCGCAGAATTTTCGTTTGCGAAACGAGCAGCGTCTGCAAATACTCTCAATGTAAATATCTGCCACTTCTCATCTGTATTACTAAGCTTGGGGAAGATTAATTCAGCTGCAATTGAAAATAATCTTTGACCTGCTTTTCCTTCTTTAAATGGGATATTTGATATCGAAGGAAGGATGGAATGTTGTATTGTTGACGTATATTGCTCGACATCGTCTGTATTCAATTTTGTGTAAATATTGTTGAAAAACTTGTTTAAGCGGTCATCTCTTTGGTGATCTGTCATGAGTTCACTGTATTTCATGATAAAGCGGACAGCTATGACAGGATCAGCATCGTAAGCAAAGTCTATTACGTCGCAAACGAATTCTTTTGTATCTTTACCGAAAGTGATGTATTCTTTTATGATATTAATCATTGCAAGCTTATCTTCTTTTGTTGTTTCTTCTGATTTCGCAACATCTATGAAGTTTCTGAGAAAAACGCGATTTGTATTTGACAAATGTGACCTAAAATTCGATTTTACCATTGTCAAAACGCTTCCTTGTGCTTCAGAATGAAGTTTAACAAGAGTTCCAATAACTTTCGATGGATTGCAAACGACAAGATCAAAAAGATTTCGAACGCCGAATGCTTGGACTTGTTCTGACTCATCTTTGACAAATTTCATCTGTGTGTGAAGAGCTCTTCTCTGACATTCTGGGAATTTCGCGATAAATTTATAAATATTTTGTGCAATAAGCTTTTTCATTTCTTCATCACCACTTGAACCGCCCATAAATGTTCTAAAATCCTCTTCTGTGGCTGCTTCGTCCTTTTCTAATTTCTGTAAAAGCTCTTGAAGTTCAGTAATATTTGACATTTTTGAAATTGAAGAAGACAAAAATATGTTTTTGCTATATCTTGCTTGATTTAAGACTTCATATTGTTTGGATTGATAGCATTCCCTATGGGAGACTCATATTAAGTGTTAGCTTTTAAACCAAGTAATATCATTTCTGAATAGAAATCAATTAATATTTGAAATGTCTCAGTATGAGTTTATCTCAAAGGTAAGAATACACTGATGTGTTAAGTTTTATTGTATAATCCTACAATGTTATTTTTCTCGATAAGCTGAAAAAACATATCAAGAGTTAACTTGTTATTATAAACATTCTTATTTCCTTTTTTATTATCATTTCCATGCTTACAATTCTTATTGTTTGCGTTATTCTTCTAAGAAATTCCGCTGTAGTCCTGGAATAAGTGATTCTTTTATGCGAATGGTTTTCACTCGTTTTTGTGTTTCTTATTCCAATCTTTAGCTAATTCAAAGTATCCAAACCTCTTCTTATTGTGTTGTTCGATCTTCTTCATTCCATGGATTTGAACTAACCCAAAACTCTTTATCAGTACTATGAAATGGGTTTCCCTGTGTCTAAAAAGAAGATTGAGCTTTTGTGTGGAGTAAGATCTGAGATATTCAACAGAGGATTTAATCCATTCGTGGTAAAATTTGCTTCAACTCCGATTTGATAGTGCTTGGGACTCACTTCCTATATGTCTTCAATATCATCGCAAACAAAAACATTTATTTATCAAATGAACGTTTAGAAAAAAAATCTGAAATGATGAACCCAGGAGTCCTTAACACACAGATTACGAGACTTCTGAACATGTATCAAAATTACTATGAAACTTTCAACTCCTTATATCGGCTCAAAACAGAGAAAGAAGAAGAAATTAACTAAATATTCAACAAAATCAAAACAAACTTGATCGAAACGAAATACTTTACACCAAAACAGATGTGTACCATTGTTAATAAAGCATTGACATTCAACAACAAATTTATAAAGTCTTATTTTGCAATTTACAAAAAGATTAAAGAAGAATATGATACCACGCAACCTGATGTTATATCCTCTCCTTTTGATTATGTAAATTCTAAATATTATGGATATAATATTGATGTTTCCACCCCAGAGGTCAAATTAGAAAAAATAACTCAACTAACTACTTTAGCAAAAATAGAATCTGGGGAGCTATCATTAAACATTCATGAAGATGACTCAATTTACAAAGCCATCATGGAAGACGATAAAAATTCATTAATTGAATTCACAAAGAAATTTGATTTTAATAAACATCAGACACTTGAAAGTGATTTCTATCCTAATACAATCCATCATATTTTTGGGAGAAACGCTTTATCATTACTTGAATTATGCTGTTATCACGGATCAATTAATTGTTTTAATTTCCTAACAACAGAATTAAAGTTAGAAATTACACAAGGATGTGTTAGTTATTCATTTTTAAGTGGAAATAAAGAGATCATTGATAAATGTTTGGCAGAAAAAGACCCTAATTTCGTTACAATGGAATATGCAGTTATTTCACGCAATATTGATTATGTAAATCTTTTGATGGATGAACACGATCTTTTCCCTGATTACGAAGGTGCTGCTTATTACAATAATCTTCAGGCATTCATTATTGGTTTAAAGAAATGTCGCTATATCAATGATTACTTTTTCCATTCATTATACTTTGGCTTTGAACCAGTTTATGAAATTATTTTATCTCTTGGAGCAAATATCAATGCAGTAAAAATCAAAAATAATGTTCCTCTTATCCATTGGTGTGCAATCTATAATAATGTAGAATTTGCGTAATTTTTAATTTCACATGGTGCAGATCTTGAAATCAAAAATGATTTTGGAAAAACTGCTTTATTCCTTTCAATAAAGCATAAGACAAGAGATGTTGCAGAGCTTCTGATTCTGAATGGTGCAGGTTTCAAAGTAAAATCATCAGACGGAAAAACATATCATCATTGGGCAGCGGCGTTTAATTGCAAAGAAATAGCTGAACTTCTTATATTTAATGGAGCTGAAATTGATGCAAGAGATGGTTTCAAGAATACTCCTCTTCATGTAGCTGCCTCAGAAAATAGTGTTGACGTGGCAGAACTTCTTATTTCTCATGGTGCTGATATTAATGCAAAAGATGGATTTGGAAACAAGCCAATCAACTTTGCAATGAAGAAGAATAATAAAGAAATGATAGATCTCCTTACTGTTAAGTATTGGTTGGAATAATCTAATATTTTAAAAAAAAATCATATTTGTTATATTACTAAAACTTATATTATTGCTTTCTTTTAATAGGGTCATGTTACACCAAAACATATTTGAATTATAACCTGCCCACAGTTTTTCCTTAAGAATAATAAGATGAATCCGCTTGAATTGACATAATACCCTCACAAGAAATATATCAAATTCAAAACTTGATCAATTGCTTAACATACTTGAGTATATTTTTTTACAAATATCCTTATGAATCTCATTTACTTCTGTACTTTTTATAAAATATAACAATTTCATCATAAATTGTTCGCATAATATTGGCACTGCTTATCTTGCGTGAAAATAGTATAATACATAATCAGTAACAGAGAATTGTCGTCATTTCTGATTATATATTATAGAATTATAAATGTGTTTATTATATATCTTTCAAATTCATAAATAAGTATTACAAAAACAAACATTTTATTATTCAGTAACAGATTCAATTATAATTTGAGCTAGAGTATGAGTTTCTTCACTCAGGTCTTTGTTATCCAAAATATCTTGAATATTTCAATGAATTCATCGCTATGAAGATATTCTTGGATTATGTTAGGAAATTCTGCTAAATTGTCATTAATAAATCTCAAAAGTTTCGTAATCAAATCTTTTCCACATAAAAAAATTGTAGAAAAGAAATTACTGATGTCAATAAGTTCAACATATTCTTCGGACTGTTCGAATCTATATAAATTCATGTAAAAGTCAAAAATAATATCGAAATCTTCGGAATATCCGATATTATCGAAAATATTTTGGAATAATTGTGGAACAGATGAACTAAGTAAGTTCTCAACAATTATTTCGCTTTTCTCAAATAAAATATTAGAAATTTGAAGAATCTTAATAATTATAGATCTTTCTGTGATAATTCTAGGGATACTGGTCTCACACCATGAAAACATCAACTTTGGAATATTGTTCTCAAATAATATCTCAAAATTATTTGATAATGCGATGTTGATGAAAATATTCAATGTAGACTCTTGGAAATGGAGTGATAATATTCTAAACTTCCTTGCTAAGTTAAATAATGTATTAGTTGTCTCAAACAAAGGGAAAATATTTTCAAATTTTGAACATTTTTCAATAAAAAGAATTGATACATTAATTATCTGTTCATCGGTAGACTGTTCGTATTTTTCTAGTATATGGATATAAATCTCTTGATTTTGTTCAATATTAAAAATTTCTGTTTCTATTATCAGAGAAAGTAGGGATATTGAATTGCAATATGCATCTGTATTTACTGTTTCGTCTGTTATAGCGTTAAATATTAAGTGTAGTACATCTAAATTGAAAATTTGAAATTTCAAACTAGAATCCAGCAAAATAAGATCTGATATCATAGGATATGGATTAATTTTATCAATACTCTGTATGAATATTGAGATAATATTCGAATCTATTATCATTTGTATCAAATTCGAATCTTTTTGCAATAAATTGTAGATAAATGAATATGACGTCTGTACTAATGTCTCTTTTAATGTTTCTACTCCTGAGTAATTGGTATAATTTTCTGGAATCTGTGATAATTCAGCGATTCTTTGTATTATTTGGAAATCAAGATTAGAAATATCTAAGTTACCTAATAGAAGCATAATGTCTAGTGATTCAAGGCATTTCTTGCAATATGTAAAATCTTCGGAAAATAAGCCATGAAATAATGATTCTTGAGATAAATTACTATTAAATTTCTGAAGGCTGATGAAAATTTTCCTATTATCATTGCTTTCTTTCAAGTCCGTAATCAAAGATGATTGAATTGGATTTGACATTCATCAGTTTTGATAAAATCATATATTAAAAAAAGCGATACATGTAATCGAAAAATACAAACATAATATTTATTAAAAATTAAAAATCATCTGATGAAGATATATCTTCAATATCAGAATGATCTGGGTTTTGGTCTTTACTTCCTGTAGTATCAGACATATTCATCTTTGTAACCTTAACAGTTGTCGTTGTTGCTGTTAGTTCTTGTTTTGGAGCCGAAGATTTCTGAGATTTCTTAGATTTGGTCGAACTGCTTGAATCAGTCATCATTGCAGTGTTTGATCCTCTCAAGTCTTTCTGACTGTCCTTATTTTGAGGAGAATTCGATTTAACAGAAGATTTGGAATTAGATTTTGACACAGATTTGGATTTAGACGAAGAAACAGACGAAACAGAAGATCTTGCAGAAGATTTCTTTGATTTCGTGGAAGATTCAGACTTTTCTTCCACTTTTTCTTTCGAATCAGCAAAGAATTCGTCAATTTTATCTTCTTTTGTTTCATTATCAGACAACTTGAAATCCTCGAGTCCATCAGAGCTATCAGATACAGGCTGTATAGCGCTCGAAGAAGTCTCAACCTTAGTAATTGGTTTATAAACCTTTTCTGGTTTCGGTTTTCCGTAATAATAAGGATCTTCGAAAATTCCAGGGACAGGTTCAGATGAAGTTTCACTTGTTTCGAAGTTAGAAACAGGGATAATGTCACTGGAATCAGGTTCAAGGAGATCATTTGCTCTTCTATCAACTCTTCTGTGTGTGTTTTGAGGAACTTTTGATGGTGATTGGTCTTGTAAACGCGCGAAACCAATGTCTTGATTGAATTTTCTTTGCATCTCCTTTGTGAGAACTGGTTTTCTCTTGGGAGCTGCCAAAGGAAATGTCATTTGTCTATTAGCAAACAATGATTCAACTCTGACATCTTCTATAGGTGACAACTTCTCTAAATAGATCAATAACTCATCGTGTTTTGTCAAATATTCTTTCTTTCCTGTACTCAACACTTTTGATGCGTAAACATCAGTTGGAGGAGCGTATGGTCTCATCTGTCTGAGCTTGTCAAGTTGCTCTGTGACCTCTCTTAATATTTCACTGACGTATTTGTCGTTTTGCTGCTTAGTTACTCTGTATTCCATTGGTTTGTTGATAATTGCACGTGCTCTATCAATCAATGTCTTCTTTACACCGTTTATCTTAGCTGGGGACTTCTCAATAGGCTCTAGCATTGAGAAAACCATGTCTCCTGTAACAGGACGAGCAGAACTGATTTCAGATTCACTGATTTCGTCTTTAACAGGTGGAATTCTTGGTTGGAGAACCTGTGGAGGTACTTGGAATGGTGTCTCTCCATCAGCATAATGCGGAATAACAGGTGGCTTGTCATTGGCTGTATCGAAATTCAACTCAATATTCTCTCTCTCCTTGTTCTTGTTGATTTGAGGAGATTTACTGATCATGACTGGGTTACTGACAAATCCGGTCTTAGGTAACTCGAGTTTCTGGATACTTTCCGCTGTTGGAGTTGGAGTTTCTTGTTTTTGAATGGGATTTGGCGGTTTTTGTAAACCTTGAATTTGAATGGGATTTTGATGTGGGGGAAGTTCCTTCAATTGTGAAGGGAAAATAGGCGGATTTATAACTTCCTGTGGGTTGTTGCTTAATGATGAAAGGCTTAGATTTGGGAAAGATATTCTTGGACCACTTGTATTCTGTTTCATGACTAATTGTTGAGTTAATGACATTTCTAGGTCGTGTTTTATGAATTCAGGAGTTGGCATTGGCGGCATTGATGGATTTGATATCTTTTCTTCCATTCTACGAGCACTCTGCCTTAATTGTACAATGGCACTGTCAAGTTGATTTCGAATTTCTCTTCTGAAATTCATTTGTGCCCTATCCTGGTTATTCTGCTGCTCAATTAATCGATCCTGTTTCTCATTCAACTCAACGAGAGCTCGTAATTGCATGTCTGGCTGCTCAACAATGTGTCTAACATCATTATGATCTGCAACTGCATGAGAAAGCTCAGCTCGTGTTTTAGAAATAGCTTGGCGTAGGTTAGTGATTTGATCTGTGATATCTTCAAGTCCTTGCGGATGTCCTGATCGTAATGATTTCCATGCAGGTACTAAAGCTGCATGACGGCGTTGCATATGGCCATCTAAGTATTCTAAGGACTTAAACACTCTATGACAAACAATGCATTTCTCGGATCCTTCACCTGGTTTTTTGCCAACTTTGTTTTTAAGATGACTGACGGCTGCTGTAACTGTACGAAGCTTTTCTTTTAAGCTTTTGTTGTCTTCGTCTGATTGTTTGAGGATTTTTCGAAGATGTTCTTGAGTATCATAAATATATTGAACGCCTATTTGTAATAATCTGTAAAATTTAGCCGAGAGTGGATTTGGAAGTAATTGCGCTTCGGTATTTGTAAATCTTGAATTTAAAAACGAATTTAATAGTGCTTCAATTGTTTTGACGTCATTTGTCTTTGCAATTTCTTCAGGAGAGCATGCTGCAACGATATTCCAATTGAGTCCTCCTGTGCTTGGAAGTCCAGGATGAGGAGTTGGAGGAATATCAGGTAAAGCAGTTCGTTTCGGCTCTGGAGGCAAATTTGGTGGTTTATCACCAATCATTGGTATATTTGCGCCGTTTGTTCTCTGAGGAAATGCTGTTGGTGGTAGAAATTGATTATAAACAGGAGCTCCAAACATTGCAAATTTTTTAAACGTGTAAATCAGACGATTATTTTCTTTTCAAAATATGATTTTAAAAATTTTATGATGGAAAAGAGAATTTGAAGCTTGAAAGTAGAAAATATAGATTTGTATTGTATTAAAAATTGAGGATAGAGTAAAGAAGGAAAATTATGGAGTGAAGAGGAGAACAATTGAAAATAATTGAGCATGGAATAAAAATAGAAAAGAAACAAATAAAGAAACATGTATATGATATAATAAGCAATGTTTAGATGAAGGTTTATCAATCTCGAAAAATTTTTGATTACTCGATTTTGAAAAACTTAGAGTTTTCGTGAAGCGCCGTTGGCCCAATTGGATAAGGCGACTGCCTACGGAGCAGTAGAGTCCAGGTTCAAGTCCTGGACGGCGCGATTTTTTCTTTTCGTCAATAATTTGGAATCTGGAAGTCATTACTTTTCTCGAAATCAGTCAAAGAGTCAATCTTTGAGTAATGAATGAAATTACCGAGTATTGTAAAGCGATAGGCGATTAGATGTTCTGTTTATAGTATTAGATTGAAAGAACTCAATCAAATTACTTATTGAATACAGATTTTACTGTAAATTCTACGATAAAATAATCTTTTTCGGCTTATATGCTTCAAAATTCTTGTATTGGGAAATTTCGGATCAGTTTGATAAAATGACTTCAAATGATAAACTGTCATATTGTTTATTGTATAATTTAATTCGATCGCAGTTTAATTGTTTTTGTAAGATCGTTTCTTACCTCAAAATGCCTTGGAAATATTGTAAATTTATTAATAACTACTATAAATAGGTGGATTTGTAAATTAAGTTAACATGTAACCGGCTTTACTGTGTGATATCATTGTGGATTGATTAGAGAAAATCAATAAAAATATCAAGCATTTGCAAGATATTTTTGCTTGGTAGCTACTGTGCGAGGACTGTAGAAGTAGAATCTTCATACTTCAATTTTCCAAATTTTTTCGAATTACAGGAATGTCTAGGTGAACTTGTAATTATGACAAATAAATTTTACGTTTCTGAATTTTTTTGGAAAATTAAGGTTTCTCAGCAATAAATTTCAATTTTCTGATTTATATGAAGGTTATTGAAAGATTTTAATACTATAATGTTATTGTATTTTTATAAAAATTAGAAAGTTATTCTTTAATTTTTTATTTTGAAGCCAAAAATAATTTCCAATTATAAAATTCTCAAAATAAGATACAAACCTTCTTATGTGATATATTGATTATTGGTGCTTATCAAAATTCTTTTATACAAACATTGTTAATGACAAATTTTATCCTCAATAAAAATTTAATTTTAGTAAATTATAGCTGAGTATAATCAACTTATAATTACATAGTATAATTTGAGATAACAATAACGAAAATGATATATTTATTCAATCATAAGCTAAGGATATGATTTTAAATCGTAATAGAAATCTAATGACGATAGAATATGGATTATTTTGGTATTCTTCGCATTGCATTATTACTAGTGTATTCAAATAGCGATTCTTTTGGCATTGCGGATATAATAATTTGTAATCATAAAGTTTATGAAGAAAATCTTTGATATTAGAGCTCTAATATGCCAGTAGAATATTCAAGATCAGTTCTAAAAGATTTGTAGAAATGCTTCGATAAATTTTGTTGTAAGAGTTCATTGGACGTCACCAATATGTTATGCGTTTACTTTTCTTGGAATGCATCGGAAAAAATCAAGAAATCAATTTTTATGGAAAATTAAATGTGTTGAAAACATGAATTATCATATTGTTACAATATGATAATACTTAAATCTCTTGGATCATGACTTGTCATATTACTCACATAGACCAATTCTATATTCACAATCAATTAAACCAAAACTTTGATCTGATATGCCACTTTTTCTTTCAGATTCACATAATATTGCCTATTAGTCAGCAAGAATAGATACATCTAATAGGAGACGAGGAAATTTCTTTACTGATTGCAAATAACTTCATTTTTTGAAAATGATTGTGTAGCATTTTTTCTTTTTTATTTTATCTATTATGTATCCAGGGCGATGATAGAGGTGTTTCCTTCTCAGACAATTTCGACAGACTTATTCGTGCTCCACCTAGCTTAAGTGGAGAAGACGTCATCATTAGTTCCGTTGTTGAGATTGCAGGCGGAAGCACAATTGACGAAAGCCCATTTAAAGATTGCCGCGCAAACATTCGATCCATCCGCTTTGATTTTTCCAGCAAAATCAAATCAATCTGCAAATTTTGTTTTGCGGGGAGTTCACTCGAGATGATTGATATGGAGCAATGTTCGGATCTCCCGAGCCTGAATAACTCATTATTTTCGAATTGCGCTAAATTAAAATCAATCAAAATGCCACAAAGATCACAATTATTGGAAATGGATGCTTCTTTAATAACGTATTGCTTAACTCTATCACAATTCCAGACTCAGTTCAGATAATAAAGGGATGGAGTAATGTGGATTATGCTCCATTTCAAAACACTCTCAAGGAAATCAAAATATCCCCTAATTCTAAGCTCACGACAATTGAGAACGCTGCATTTATGTCATCTAAGATAACAAATATTTTCATTCCGAAATTAGTAACTTATCTTGACCCAGGTTTTATTTTAAACTGTAATATTCAGAGAATAGAAATCGATAACGATAATCCTATTTATAAAACCGACGGAACTGTTATATACAAAGTATTGGAGATCATGCATTCCTTGAGTGTCATAATCTAGTAAATATTGAGCTCCCTCCAGCTCTTACTAAGATTGATGATATGGCATTTTCTTCTTGCACTAGTTTGAAAAAATTAGTTTTCACACCTAATTTGTCTAAGATTGGCGAGTCCGTTTTCTCAGACTGTACACTTGAAATCGACACAACAAATAACTCGTACTTTCTGTATCAAAATCACATGCTACTTTCTCAGAATAGAACAGCTTTAACAGATAGTTTTGGTACTGACAGAGATACAATACTTAATATCCCAATTGAATGTTTTACTATTGGAAAAATACATTCTATAATAAATTGCTCAAAAAGGTTACATTTGCAGGCAATAATCTCACCAGTATCAATGAATCAGCTTTCGCATCATCAAGTATTGTTGAGATCATACTTCCTTCGAGTCTTTGTATTCTTGGAAAGCAGTGTTTCATATCTTGTTCTCAACTGACATCAGTAACTTTTAATGGAAACTCTCTAAATGAAATTCCAGATGAGTTTTTCCGCAATTGTGCCAAACTTAGTACTATTGTTCTTCCTCCTTCGATCACTTCTATTGGCGACTACTCTTTCTACCAATGCACTTCCATTGGAGATATTGGCATCAGCAATACTCAGATACTTAATATTGGAAGATATTGTTTCAGTAAGAGTAGCCTTAGTATCTTTGATGTTGATCATTATATCTCTCGAATATTATTCAACAGTTTTGAGTCCAGTTCAGTATCTACTGTTTCAATTTCGAGCAATTCTATCCCAGAGAGATGCTTCCGGAACTGTGAATCTCTTACAAGTATAACTCTCGGCGAAGGCATTGTCTCTCTCTCAGATGAGTGCTTCAAGGGATGCACGAAACTCGCATCGTTCACTATCCCAAGCACTATAACAACAATCAATTCATTTGCCTTTCAAGGGTGCACATCACTTACTTCAGTCATTTTGGGCGAGGGAAGTTCTCTCAGTGAAGTCTTCGGAGGAACATTTGCTGACTGTGATCTTCTTGAGAAAATTACTTGTAATAGTGCCGCTCATAAATTTAGAAACGGAGCCCTTACAGATGCTGAAGAAACGAAGCTTATAACATTCATTCCCTCAAGTAAGATTTCTACTTTTGTTGTTCCTTCTACCATGAAAACCATTGGTCAATACGCCTTCATGGGAAGCAAAAACCTTGTGCGAGTTATTGCCGATGGAGATCATCTTACAACGATCGGATTTATGTCCTTTGCGGACTGTACTCGTCTTTCTTTCCTCTTTGTTCCATCAACAAGTCTTGAGAGAATTGGTGATCAAGCCTTTAGTGGATGCAAAAACCTTTTCAAATGTGGAGCTATCCAGTGCATGAAGAATAAGCAAAACTTGTTTACCACGCGTGGAATTCCATCCATCTCATTTAATGAAATTTGTCCTGATATTAAATTCTCATGTGTATTGAAATACACATTCATATTTTCTATCATGAAAACTTCTTTTGTCTTGATTCTTTTTCAATTTTAAAATCTTTTTGTTTAATTAATTCGAACCATCATTATTTGCTTACCTGTTGTAAATATAAGAATTTGCATTTATGAAATTGCTAAATAATGCAGATCTGAAATTATTTTCAGATTCACTATCACAACAAGCTCTAATAATATATCACAATGCCAAACCAAATAAAAATAAAGAAAGATATATGATTATTTCCGTTTATTAATAATAGAACAAATAAAATTTGAAATAACAAATAAAAAACAACATAAACTTAAAACAAAAATTCTTTCTTAACCTCTCCTCTTTGTACTGAACCGTTTACTAAGTTGTGGAGACAGCATAAAAACGATATGTAATTAATTACCTCTATCCATTCTTTTAGCTGCTCGTATTGATCTCCATTAATGACAAGCTTCGAATCTTCGTAGAACTTATTTGGTCCGATGATCAATTTCGAATTATTATTATTGCTTGAAATTTCTAAATTGAAATCATCGCCACTTTTTGTGACCTCTGCAGTAACGTCGTAAAGAAGGAACGAATTTCTCAGATTCTGATATTTTGCGTCAGAATAAACTTCAAGCCAATATCCGTTTGTTCTAAGGCATGTAACTTTGTTTCTCTTGAAGATTGTCTTCTTACATGATATCAGTGCTGATTTGGAAAGAGTTGGGAGCTCGTAATACTGTCCAAAAGTAAATTTCACATCTACTGGACGAGTTGTAATAGCTGTATACAATCCGAATATGTTTTCTTCAGGTAATGATGATCTGTTGAAGTAAAGTTTAAA